GCTCAACAAGTAAACAAACAAACTTATAAACCTTGGAATGCTTATTCACTCAGTAAAACAGCTAATATCTATTTTACTCAAGAATTACATCGCCGTTTCGGTGCACAAGGTCTTAAAGCATATGTTCTTCACCCCGGCGCAGTCGAAACAGGACTAGCAAGACATTTGCCTCTATTTAAACTGATCTCTACTCCATTTCGATTACTCATCTTCAAGACGCAACTTGAAGGTACTCAAACAAATCTATTTTGTGCTGTATCAGACGATGTCATATCAGGAAAATATTATTCAGATTGTCACGAAACTGAATTAGGTAACCCACATGCACTCAATTCAGAACGAGCACGTGAATGGTGGGAATATTCGGAGAAGATGGTATCAGAAAAGATCAAAGAACGTCAATAATCATTTTAAATAAACACTATCATAATTCAGAAATAGATATTTTTCATACTTTATTACAATCTTTTAGTACATCTTTTACAACATTTACAATAAATAAGCTTTCGTAGAAAATCATTTTCGATCGATATCAACTAAATAGAAATAAAGCATTAACTTTTCAAATTTCTTTATTATCCTATTCATTATTATTATAACTTTAGACTCGTTACATAATTGGATGTGAGTGTCAGTGTGGTTGCGTTCTATTGCAGATTTTTCCACACCTACACCCACCCTCAGTTTTCATATCAAATACTTTCAAAACCATCATTATAAATTCATCTTTTCTTTAGATAATAAAGACATGAGTGCTTCATTTATTTCAACGAAAGAGGAATTTATAACTATACGTATTTACCATGAAAAGAAGTACTTCAGATTTGTTTTCTATATATCGTTTGCTCAAGGAGAATTGAGATAAGAATTTTATTATGCATATGTCAATGGAGCACTTACATACATACATACATACATACTGACAGAGAGATTTCTTCGAGAGATTATTTTCAATATGGAAACTACAAGACGTAGAAATATTGAATCAACGACATGGTTTGACTATTTACCTACAGAAGTTCTTCTTATGATATTTAATTATTTATCTAATAATGACATTATTTACACATTCTTATATTTCAATACGCGATTTAACGATTTGATGTTACAAAATCAACATTATATGCAACATTTAGAATTACCTAACAAAAACTTTGATACATGGAAAAATATTCTTTCAGTTATTGGTTGTCTTATAGAATCATTAAATGCAAATACATTCGATTCCTCATTTCCATTGACATATTTTCCAAATTTGAAATCATTCACCTTCTCTTCATCCAGCTTTTGCTTGATAGATCATTTGGAATTAATCATCAAAAGTAAACATTTTCAACAATTACATTCATTCAAAATAGTAGGTTGTGGAATCCTCTTTCCCCGCGATTCATCTTATATATCTTATTCAAGTTATTTTAAACAACCCAGAAATGAATATATGCGTGAAAACGTTCTCACTCATCAAAATACCTTAAAAATATTCCATTCTTCATTAATTACAGGAGTATCACTATACCCTTCACCTATTTATCAAACTAATGCAAATTTACATTCATTAAAACTGGTACTGGCTCATTTCTCTGATATATTTATATTGATTTCATATACACCAAATTTAGAATATTTAAATGTTCACTGTAAACCCCCCGGCTCTACTATAGGAACGCTGATAAAAACCAACATCAGATTAAAATCACTATATTTGAAATTCTCTCGTCAAATTCAATTCGGAGGAAATGCCAATACATCATTTTATATTGATGACTTAATTGGTGGTATAAACCAGTTTTCATCGTCATTAACTTGTCTATCACTCAGTTTTGTTGATTTATCAATGCCAACTATTGATAATTTTCTTTTCGACAGAATACTATTTCGACAATTATTGCAATCAATGAACGAACTCAAACAATTTCATCTCTATGTTAAACTAACTCAATTGTTAGATAACAAAGAAATTCTTTTATCTCGATTTCGTGATCAATTTTGGGTTGATCATAATTGGTCATTTGGAACACATGGGAAATACTTTTATACATTACCATTTCATTTTGATCATCTCCATGAATTTTATGGTGGTTTTGACGCTTTTCAATCAACTCATTCTAATATTTTATTGAACAACGATCGAATATGGTCTCATGTTAAATCTATTGATTTACCTCTAACGTCGAAATATGATTTGAATCTTTTAAAACAAATGAATAGAAAGATGCCAAAATTAACTTTTATCAACTTCAATTCAACTGATAATATTAGCGTGAAGAAATCAGAAGATGTCTGCATGAAAAATCATATTACATTCGATAAGGTGACAACGATACAATGTATGAATGGATCACTTGAAGATGAAAAAGAATGGTTAATTCATCGCTTACCAAATTTAAAACATTTGATTTTATATTCTACGAAATTACCTTCAATGGCTAGTGAATTAACTCCGATATTAAATCAAAGGATAAAAAAATTGGTTTTAACGAATTATTTTTCACTTGAACCATTAACGGAAATAAGTTATTTTTATTTTTCGAATGTGGAACGTATTTCTTTTAATATCTATAACAATCAGCTACACGAAATTGAACGGTATGCAGATAATATCATGGTGGTAATGAAGAATTTTAAAAATTTACAAATATTATTCATAAACTCGCGTGACGACGATTATATCAAATCTCTATCAAAACGATTGGGAAAACTTATTCAACTTCCGAATAAGAAAGAAACGAAGGAGAAATATCAAATGAAACAGTTTTTTGAGAAGATTTTATTCTCGAAAAAAGAAATTGATAATGACAAGATCCAGAACAGCACATTCTTATCGCGTTTGAAAAAATGGTGGTAGAATAAAGAGAAGAACTACATATTTCACAATTTATTCCTTCTAAAATCAAATTCTGTAATTATCATAAAGAAGAGTTTTCATAGAAAAAAACAATTCTTAAAAACATTTATTTGCCATTGATTACTATCATCGTTGTCTTTATGTATCCTAACAAAAAATCGATCAAATTATTTTTAAGAGTTTTATTTTTTATGATATAAAGACTTGCGGCATGTTCAAAATGTTGAATCACTGCTCGAAATACATATAAAAGACCATTAATCCAAAACAAGTTCAAACCTTGTAAATCTGTATTAAAGGGTTTCATCATCAATGAATCAAGTGCAGAATCACTTAAGTTAAAATCTAACAAGATCTTTTTTAACCATCAAACTATCTAAAACTTAACTGCAAGTACAAGTAAAGAAAAATCAATGAATTGTTTAATTCGATAATAAAAGAATCGAGTATTTAAATTTTTCTAAATTGCTTTACATTCGGAACAATAGTTTGCGAGGGTGTGGCTGTGTGTGAGTGTGCGCGTAAATGTAAAGCTTTTTCACTCAGATCTACCAACACCCTCAAGATGGTACCTATAAATGTTCCCTTGAGGGTGTGGATAAACAGAAGACCATCATTCACACCCAACACTCTCACGCCCACACTCTCATCATAACGGTCGCTCTACTCACACTCATCCTCACTCTCAAAATCAAATAATATCTTTTACGAGATACCATCACATAATTAGTTGTTCATTCAAGCAAGTACCAGAAGCTTTACTACATTGAACGATTTTCCAAGACTGTTGAGACATGACATAAGTTTTTTTCCCTTTATTTCAACACTTTTTGTAGATCGTATTACATACAATGAAAGCAAATCATAACATAAAATAAGCATGACGAACGTTACAAAAAATATAATCTATGTAAAATTCTGAGAGCTTATAATAATTATCCGCTTAAAAATCCACCAAATTTAGGAGGGTTTTGCGAACGATTTATTAACAAAAGTCAGTATTCAGTCATATTCATAGATTATCGCGTCGTAACTTTTCGGAAGTCTTTATACACTAGTAGTATTTGAATCGAATTAAAATAGTACCATGACTTTATAGGATCCATCTTTAAACAGTTCACTATCGCTTTAAAAAATAGTACTTTAAATCGTATTACGATCAAGGTACTACCCTTTCCAAAAACAGTGCGTGCACATACATTATCACGTATAACCACTAATTGCGCAACATAAGCAAAAAAGTAATCTTTTTTTGTATTTGTTATTAGAATCATGTTATAAAAGTTCGAATTATCTTCGACAATATGTTAATAAAACTGGAAAAATTGATTACTGAAGAGTTAGTCGTCGTCGCCAATTACTGATCGAGTTTTTAAATGTTTTCATGTACAATTCCGAAGGTAGAACAAATATAATGAAGGTAAACATCGATGGAGTGAATGAAATGAAATACGCACTGAGATATAACAATAAATTTTCAGATACTCTAACACACCCAGGCAGCATGGCGATGATGAGACGAGGTATGGATAAAACGAGCAAAATCATGGGACTGATTACCAATTGCTTGTGCTCACTTAATTGTTCACGAACATGTTCTCTGTAGCTTTGATTAGTACGAATTACTGATCGCTGTCGAGCCATTCCAAAGATAATAAACAAAGCAGAGAAGAGATTGGTAAAGAATGGGACGACGAGGTGAAAAAATAGAATGGCTGTATTATAGTCTTGGACGGAACGAGAATAGCCAGTCACACACCAAACATATCGCTCTATCATACCTTCATCGCTCTTACCTATGTATGGCCCGTTTTCCTTAATTGCATATGGGTTTCCCAAGCTTTTCTTGGTTCCATTTGCATATTCCTTGTTTATCTCTGTTCGATATTCAAATAGATTACGATATAAGGGTTCGTGAATAATAGTACTCATTATACAGAATGGTAAAATTAATATTATCCAACGAGCAATACGTATGCTCTTCTCTTTGTCAAAAGAAACTCCTTTGAAAACATGAATCGCTCGTTCGATAGCTACACAAGCATTGAGCCAAGCATCCAGATATAGAAAAAGTTTAAGAATAGGTTCGATAGAGACACAATCTCCCCGAAGGATAGAGAGACTGGTAGATCCATTGATCTGAGTGAAAACAACGAACCAAAATTTGATTGTGAACATGCAGATTGTAAGAAGAGAAGTTATTGACAATGCTAGAAGGTACATTCCACATCCAGCTTGTTGTGAATCTTTTCTTGTAAACGTTAAAAAAGAGAAAACACTATTGATCAAGCCTGCAATGAATATAATCATTGTTATAGCTGCGCTTATTTTTATCGACAACAGTTGTTTGTTCAGTGTCATGTTCGGTCGAATTTCATCACGCAAAATATCATCGAGAGTTAAACCAATGCTTTTAACGAAAACTTGGCATTTATCGCCGATAACACACCTGCTTTGCCTTGGAGCTAAAATATTGCATAAAATTCCATGATTTTTATATTAAAGTAAAATAAGTGATCTATCTACCAATATATTCAACTCATTCCTGCATTTTCATTTATAAAAAAGAAATATCCAAAGAAATGAGTTATTTTGAGAGTTTTTGTCTAATCATCTAAAACTCTGTGGAATCTAGTTTTGGTATGTTTTAAAAGATTTACAAATAGCAGTGTTTTGGATATCTCTCTTTTATTAAAGACTTCTCTGCGAAAAGTTTAGGTATAGGTATGGGTGGGATATGAATATCGCTTTAACACCCTTTCGGGCACCATATTCACACACATCTTACTAAAGTAATTAAGATTGACTTTGTTTGGACCAGATACAAAGATGGTGAGTTCTCCTGTCATATTTGGCCGATACGTTGTTACAACCAATATATATCGAACTTTGGCCTGAAGACCAATGATGAATTTAAGTTGTCCTTGGTTGCAACTGCCACTATGCTGGAAAAGCAAATTCTCAAACGGTTTGAGCGGATCGAAATCATCTTTATATATATAGCCGTATGTATCGACATCACCTTCACTCCAAAGTGTATATGAATTCGATGTTATCACATTCACTTGTAAAGTTTCATAGTGGTAGTTTGGTATTCGACAATCTCGATAATACGTTGGACTATCAATACTTAGCTCCAATGAATTGATCAACTGAATTTTTACTGCAGTGCCTATTTAATAACAAAATAAAAACTATACAAATGTTCAACATGAGGGTGTGGATATGGGTCGGTGTGAGCAGCGAACTTCTGTTTCGCCAGCAGCCTAACCTACATCTACCTGTCCACACCGTCACGATGTAAATACCATCATACAATTTTTTCGTGTGCGCCTTCCTATACCCTAACACTAGTAAAATGTCTTTATTTCTAGCGGAAAGAACTATAGGCATCTTGCCCACTTGGGATTTTTCATACCTCCATTGAGTCCACCTTATGTGCAGTCTGAACTCATAAACGACTGATCAGTTGAATCGATTCCTTCGTCAGTTTGGTTCGGCTTGCAATTGAACCGGTTTTTCTCCGCAATCCTTGACCTTCTATCTGTGATCCGGTAATAGATACACCGACCGTCGATATCGTATATAGAAATTTCTCAAGTCATACGTCCATTACTTCATAAAATAACGGATAAATCTTGTGGGTGTGGGTGATACCAACATCTCTCATATCCACACCCTCAACGCAGACCTAAAACTCCTGATATACCCTTGATAATCCTGGAGAGCTTTCAAAATCTAGAGATATTTTTCAAATATTTTTTTTAACTGGAACTCATAGGAAAATGCATGCCATGATAGAAGACACTCGGAAAAGGTTTGTACGCAGCAACATAAGAGAAGATGCGGCCTTTTAGTATAGAGGGAGGAAGAGGGACGGGGTTATTTGCAAAAAATAATAGCTAATTACCGAAACGGCTAATACCGACGGTTCTTGGACCAGATACAAAGATCAAGAATGCTCCTTTTGTATTTGGAGAAAATGTTGTTACAACCAAAATGTATCTTGTGTTGGCTTGAAGATGAGTGATGATATTAAACTGATCAAAACAGCCGTCGTCATCATCCTGTGAGAGTAGATTCTCATATGGATTGAGGGGATCGAAATGACCATTGTATATATAACCGTATGTATTGATATTACTCGTACTCCAAAGACTGTAACTACCGTTTTCTATCACGTTCAACTGAATAGTTTCGTAATAAAATCCTACTTTCCCACAATCTCGGGAGTATGTGTGACTAGTCACACTCAATTCTGATGAGTACAAAGACTGGACCACTGACGTTGTATCTATTTAATGAAAAAGAAAAACAAATAAAATTTCGAATATGTGTATATGGATTTGAATGTTTTCTTTGTACTTTCGGGTACATGATCGTGCAATGCAAGGACGTGTGCTGTAAGCTAAAAAAATGAACAGTGTTCGGGTCAAATCAATGCTCATACCATCGAACTAACAAGCTCGAAACGTGAGCTGCCCATGGCTTGTGTAGACTGAGTTGCCCGAGTTTTAAATTATTATAGTAGATATAATGTACTCATTACTGAAAATTTTAAGGACATTTCTTTTTCTTTTTTCGTAATGGTTGATAGGATTCGTCGAGTTACAGAAGACAAACTATGTTCCAAAAATTAAAAAAAGTTATATGAACGTCAGAATTTTGGGTCAATATGTTCTTATATTTAAAAAATGCGACGTCTTAAATTTTTTCACAATCTATTTTATAGACTTTGATAGGATGAGGTCTCGATAAGTCTTTGTGATTTAGTTCAATGAATACTACTTTGTCAAGTTCATTTTTGCACCTTTTCGAAGATTTGTTGGGACTCAACATATTGAAAAGGTAGATATCAAATTACAAAGAAACCGATTGTGCAAAAACTATTCTGTTCAATAAAGTAGTTTTCTATGCCTTATGTGAATTCAAAATGGAAATTGAATTTACATGCATTTTCTTATGCCATCCTAATTATTTACAAAATAATTCACATACTTACCGAAACCGTTCAGACTAACATTATTTGGACCGGATATAACGATCGAGAATGTTCCTGTTACATTTGGAGAAGATGTTGTCACAACCAATATGTACGTAGTGTGCGCTTCAAGATGAGCATTGAGTCGAATATGTGTATTACGGAAACTAGCATCATTACGTAAAAATAAATTTTCCATCGGATTGAATGGTTTAAAATAGTCTTTGTAGATATAGCCAATACTTTTCAGAGTGTTATTACTAATAAAACTATAACAACCACTCTCGAACACATTCACTTGTATAGCTTCATAGTAAAAGTACACTTGGCAGTTGGCAGGTGAATACGTTTGACTACTGGTCGTCAATGCTGATGAGTAAATCGTTTGGATGAGTGATCGATTGTCTATTCAATAGAAAGCAAAGGGTGACAATTTTTTTAATCACCAAAAAAGAACTACATTTTCGGTCATTACATAATTCTAGATGCAAATGATCACCACAAAAAAATAGTCTTTTGATCGTTAACCTTTTTAGGTATAAATGATCATCACAAAATCGTCTTCAGGGTGGATGTGGGTGTGGTTGCATGCTTTTTATCGATTTCTGTTTCACTTCCACACCCACTCACGCACCCATACCCTATCTTAAAGATTATTCTTTTTGTTAAACAATTCTTAACTTACCACAACAATTTTCTAAGGATAGAAATTTTTGAATTCGATTATGATCGGAGTCAGTAACAAACATATTTCCATAAGTATCAAAACTAATAGTTTGTGGGGATGCTAATTCACGCGAAAATGAACCCCATCTATTACATCCAACTAAACATTGAAAACCATTTGGTCCTGATCCAACAATACGATCATAGTCATCATTCACTATATCTGCAATGAACAAATATTTCTGAGCATCTAATACAATTGCAGTCGGACAACCAAGTCTGATTGTTCGATTTGGCGAACTCTCTCCTGCTACTGTTGTTCCATTTGATTCTCCTGAATGAAAGAGTTGAATTCGACGATTGTAACAATCTGCTACATATAAATCAAAGTTCACATCCACAAAGATTCCCTCAGGACGATTAAGTTCATTCAAACCAGGTCCCGCTTTACCTGTCCCAGCAGCAATGACTGATGTCATCGACTCATCATTCATCCATCTTTTCACAACTTGATGATGTCTATACATTGAACAGTATAACGTATCATTGATATCGACAAATAGACCCCGGCATGATGCATTAACATTCATAACATTGACGAATGTATTTGTATTTGAAATCCACTTATCAACTCGACCATTCAATTCACCGTTATCAATAAAGATATTCCCGTTGTTTGTAACGAAGATGGAGCGCGAGTTTGAGATATTGGCAGAAATAATTTTTGCTGGATAGTTACTACCATTAAACCACACCAAAATTTGTTTGTTTTGTCCATGAGGAACATAAACTGTATTGTTCGTATCAATAAAAATGCCTGTGGGATTCGAACCAACTGTTGTTTTATCAGCAAAATTAATTCCATTTGTATCCCAAATTGCTGTTGGACAAAATTTTGGCTGATTAAATGAAAGAGCTAAAATACGACAAAAAAAATTGAATATGAATCTAAAGAAAATTTTTATGAATAAAGTCGATGATTTATTTACTTATGAATAAGAAAATCGTCGTTACTCCTAATTGTCGATTTTCTTATGGTCAACTGAACCTTTTCGACAATTAAGAGAGACTGTTAAATTGCGAATACAAAATTTTCAATTTAAGAGAAATAAAAGTATTCACCTGATATATTATTGATTATAATAATGAAAACAATAAAAATGTAGAAATTATTTTTTGTAAACATACTGAATAATATTTCTTCATCAATTTTAATAATTGATGAACAAAAAGCTGAAATTGTTGTAAACCGTGAGACGATATTCTTGTTCGATGAAAAAAATGATATTATTTAGTTATTTTTTCTCTATTTATCTCTCGCTCTTTTTCTTACTTTCCATAGACATGATAGAACGACAAGGAGTACTTTTTACCGAAGATTTTTCCATAGATAATAAAATAAAAGTTATTTTTCTATATTATTTTTGAATAAAAGCTATCGTTTCGTTTTCAATTTAATTAAAATAACTTGTAAAATAGATAATTAAGTTCTTGTTTAAAATAACGAGATACATAAATTCTTTTAATTTAGGAAAAAATTGTGTTTCTCTGAATAAGTCCAATAAAGAGATTTAGTAACTGATAAAACCTACATTGATGATAGAACGTGTCTAAAATGAAAATAAAGTATCAATTTTCATGATCAATAAATGACTGACGTCAGTAGAAATTCTTTATTAGTTTTATCTGTTCGTTTGCGTGTGTTAAATAATCTCTTTTGTCATGACTCGATTTTCATGGCGTTGATTGTTTTTTATTTCAGAAAAATTTTGTTTTATTTCTAAATAAATTTTAGGGTGTGGGTGTGGTGTGTGGGTGTAGTGTGCAGGTGTGGGTGTGGGTGTGGTGTGTGGGTGTGGGTATGGGTGTAGTGTGTGGGTGTGGGTGTGGGTGTGGGGTGTGGGTGTGGGGTGCAGGTGTGGGTGTGGGTGTGGTGTGTGGGTGTGGGTGTAGTGTGTGGGTGTGGGTGTGGGTGTGGGTGTGGGGTGCGGGTGTGGTTGTGGTGTGTGGGTGTGGGTGTGGGGTGTGGGGTGCAAGTGTGGGTGTGGGTGTGTGTGTGGGTGTGGGGTGCGGGTGTGGTTGTGGTGTGTGGGTGTGGGTGTGGGTGTGGGTGTGGGTGTGGGTGTGGGTGTGGTTGTGGTGTGTGGGTGTGGGTGTGGGTGTGGGTGTGGGTGTGGGTGTTGGTGTGGGTGTTGGTGTGACTGAAGAAGATACTTCACATCCTCATCCACATCCACATCCACCCACGCCTTTCTCAGACAGCATAAAGACGTATAAGCGAATCATTGTTGCGCGATATGTTATTGTAGTGATGACCCGACAGTTGAGCCCCCAACAATTGAGCCCCAACAATTGAGCCCCGACAATTGAGCCCTCGACAGTTGAGCTCCCCGACAATTGAGCCCTCGACAATTGAGATCCCGACAATTGAGCCTCATATATAGAGAAGATAATAGAGAACACAGAAACTTTGTATGTGATTTATTAAATGAATTTTAAAGTAGAGCATACAGATATGCGAAATCTTTTGATGGCACCAATGGCCAGCTAGAACACCCTTCTTTGATTGAATCAGTCATCTTTAGTAAAACAAATAATGTTTCGGAATAAATTTCGTTTATTTAAGTAATCGACACAATTGCTTGTGTACTTATCTGTTATTATTATTACAAAATGTCAGTTGTAAAATCCTCCAGAACACTCACATCTTCTCTAGTATCTTCTTTACATTTGATTACAAGAGAAATGTAGTTTAAAAGAGCACGCTCTCTATTTAGTTTTTGATGTTAATGTTATTCTGGTGAAGTAAAATTAGTTTCTGGTGTTCTCTAATTTCTTCTCTATATATGGGGCTCAGTTGTCGGGAGCTCAATTGTCGGGGGCTCAATTGTCGGGGAGCTCAACTGTCGGGGGGCTCAACTGTCGAGGGCTCAATTGTCGGAGCTCAACTGTCGGTGTACCTATTGTAGTTGGTGATATATATATATCTTCTATATTGAGATACTCACCAACATAGCATGCGGAATTTGTTGGTGGTAGAACTGCTGGTGATGATAGGAAAAAGTCATTAGTACCCCCAGGAGAAGAATTCAAAGATATAGAAATAAGAAATAATCATCACTATTCAGCCATGACTAAAATCGAAATGATTATGTGTCTACGTCGAGTTTTATTACCTGTACAAGTAGAGTGTGCTTGCACAAGCGACGTTTTGCGATGACGTTATTTTTCGCAAATGCACGCAGTGTTTATACAAAAAAAATATTGTTAACACAACCAATGCATTACGTTTGTTTCTGTTATGCATAAAATCAACAATTCGATTTACCAGGTAGCTTCACATATGACGCTGTCAGAAAAAAATGTCAAATATTTGTCTACTTTCAAAAGAACGTAGGTGATGCTGAAAAATTTCACTGACTTATTCATCTTTTCAAACGACGCATAGTAGTAATTGTACGTCATGACTTAACGGTGCTGGGCTTATATGCCCATCTATGTATATACGAAAGGCAATTGTTCAAAAAGTTAGAATGATACGAAATTGTCTGGTGTTGGATTCACATATCTGTCCAGTCAAAAGACTATTCTCCTCATGATTTCAATCATTACTCGTAAAGCTGAAAATTTTGCTATGTTTGTGCATATAGTACATCAGAAATGTACATCTATGCCGCTGCCTCTCGTTGATCCCTTGAATGTAAGAAAGTCTTAGGAAGTAGCAATCTTTTCTTTGTGAGATTGATAATGCGGCAATACAAGAACTTTTGAACCGCTTAACGCATCAGAATGAATCTCTACTGATCTGAATGTCTATACCATTAGCTTCATCGAGTTCTTTGAAAAGAGTTAAAAGTCATAATTGATTTACTCTGACTATATATCTCAAAAGATTTACGCTCCATCGGATCCTATCGGATGTGGATATGTTCGTTTGGATTTTGGTGTAAGTTTGTCGGATTTCGACAAAACCCAGATCGAAGTGCGACCGATCGGATTGTTTCTCCTGGGTAATGGTGAAGAATACCGCCAGAGGTCTTTGACGGGAGCAAACCTTAATGAAATTCAACGAATTCACTAAGATTTTTTACAGAGTATTTCTATTATTTGGAGGGTGTGGCTGTGGCTGTTGTTCTTATCTCACACCAAAACCCACAACCTCACTCACCCTCACCCACCCACGCCCACACCGCATAAATAACGTGTAATCTTTAAAGACACGATACTTTTGTAAAGAAACGATCTTTACCATGCCCAATCGCACGTATTACAATAGTAGTAACAAGCATCTTAATGTTTAGTGCTCCGGAAAAATGTTATCCGACAGAAAAATTCCCTCTTTCTAGTTCTTGAAATAATAGATATTGTGAATAGTTAACAGTTCGGAATTTAATTGATGTGTTTCGAATTCATTTTGTACAGACTAGCGAACTAAGTGAATACAGATCAAAACGAGGATGGGTTCGAAACTAATTATTGCATATGACGCCGCTGTTGAAGTAACAATTTCAGGAGGTTGTCCTTGTTCTTGCCAAGCGAGATAAATGTTGATAATACCTGCCTTAGTTTCCCAAACCGCATCGTCGTTAGCAACATTTGTTGTGATTAAAAGTGCCATCGGCTGAATCAGTCGAGGATAAACTACAACATAAGCGTACCAGAGAGTATTGCTGCCAGTGTGCCAGAGCGATAGACCAAGATTGTCTCTATTACTAATCATTCCAGATAGTGAATCTTGAGAATTAGGAGTAGAAGATAAAGGAAAAACATATTGGGTATGAATGTTTTGCCACATGTAAGGTGAAAGTAAATAAGGTGAGGTTGTTGAGTTAAGGAAGCTGCTGTTTATAGGAGCAAAGCCGAATGGCATTAAGTCACGTCCTTCTTGTAAATGACAAGCAACGAATTTAGCCCAATCATTCAGGCTTGCGTGGACCGTACCTGCAGGCCCCCAAGCTTTAAAATTATCAGCATCAGTACTGTGTAATATACCAGCTGCATCCTCGTAATGACCAAATGGTTGAGTAGCGAAAGAATTCAATGGTACCTGTTCAGTAGGTGAGCCGAATCCTGCGGTAATCATTCCTAAAGGATCAAATAATTGTTGTTGAATGATCGATTCCCATGGTAAGGACCAAATCTCTTCTAAGATTAATCCTAATAAAATAAAATTATTGTTCGAATAAGACGAAGCTACAGGAACATTAATCGACGGTGGTGGACTGGGAATGGTCATCGATAATAGTAGACTTAAATGATAACGACGTGAAGGTAAGGAATAGTTGCTACAGGATTCCTTACTACCATTTATTTCCAACGCTGATTCTTCAGCGTAATGTTCAGGAAGGAACGCTGTGTCAAGCGCTTCAATGCCCGAGGCATGAGTCAATAGATGAGCGACAGTCACATATTTCCATGAGATATGCATCGTTAAACCACAAGAATAGGGAGACTTGGCGAAATAACCAGCGACATTAGAGAAATTGGCGCAAATACATGAAGTTGACGGTGGTGTTGAAGTTGGAGAGAATGGTAAATAAGGGAAAACATCACCGACAGTAGTAGTAAGGTTTAATTTGTTTGCTTGAATCAACATTTGAATGAGAATGGCTGTCATTGATTTGGTGTCCGATCCGAGATGCCATTTATCACCGACTGTTACTACCTCTGGAGTTACTGCATCAGCCCGACGAACACCGGCGACCACCGTTGACACAGGAATAAATGGACAGATCACATGTGCTGGTGACTGTGCTCCTGTGTACGATTGTAAGGTAGGCATTTGAATGATCGAAGCACCAATGGCCGGTATGTCACTATATTTATTTTGGATTCTTTGTGATATGGAGAGTATCGTCTCGTTGAGATGAATATTGCTGGCAGAAACTGTGTTAGTGCATGGTGATCCTATTAACTGAATGAATGGAGCGGCAGTACCAGCACCAAAAGTATATGGTGCGGCTAAAAGACTAGGGAATGATCCATTCACAGTAGTAAAGTTGTTAGCTGGAATAAGCCATGTTGAATTGGCGGGACTAGTAGCGAATAGCGCGACATAACCAGCACCATCATTACTAGAGCCAGCATACCAATAGGCGACACTATAGCTAACACCGGCTGTAAGATTGACTGGTTCATCGAATGGTAAAGTCCATGGGTTAATGTGCACATTCGACAACTCGACTGCAGAAACGGTAATTGTTGCCGTCTGTGCGATCAGCACCGATGCAGCGTTATAGAGAGCGGCTCTGACAGTAAGAGAGACGTTATTTTGGCGAGCAAACATGACAAGAGCAGTAATCTGAACGGTAGAGGAAAGTTGGAATGGCGTCTGAAAAAAAACATCGGTGGCAATTGTCACAGGATAGGAGAAGTTTGATGAAAGAATCGGACCATTAGATAAGAGAACTTTTGGCTCACCCAAAATGGAGCAGAAGAAATTAGGGGTCAATGTTGATGAAGTGAGTCCAGGCCAATACCAACAAAGAACAAGTACAACGAGACAATGAAGATGCATGTGATACTGAACAACGATGGTTGTTGAAAGTGATGAGAATGAACAGTTGAAACTACAAATTAGTGCGAGAAAGTCTTGTCAACTCGTTCATAAATAAAATAAACAAGACGAAAATCATTCGTACCAAATAGCATCTTAGGCTTTGATTTTATGTTTTTACATAAGTACTCATCCTTGTGAACCATTCGAAAAGATACATGAATATGCTCTGCTGGTTGAATGAAATTTTCATTTTGACATATAATTTAAATAATGAAAGTTCAGATCGATAGTTCAAGATATATAATAAGAAAATGTGTTAATTTTCAGTCAGATTTTCATAGATTTTTTTCAAATGTTTCCTGAAGATGGTTAATTTAAAAGAATTTCGTCTTATACATTATCAGAGAAAAAGACATTCGGAGGTCTTTTCTATCGCCGTTGTCGAGTTATTAAGCTTATCCTTATTCCTCTTTAATTCTAGAGCGGACATTAGTTAATTAATTATCAACTATTTAACAATCATGTATTACTCTCCATATAGCACTCCAGCTGAAAGTTTGAGTTTATGAACCCTTTAAAAATGGCTTCTGGAATAAAAACAAAATATGTAAGACTCAGAAATCCTTTGAGAGTATTCTTATGAAACTGCAACGTATCGTCCATAGGGGTTTATTATTCTATGCTTGTCTTACAGTACACGAAGATACTTCAAACCTACCGTTACAAATAACTTCTCTTTGTTAGCTGTAATTGTTTTGTGTAAAAATACGAGTGTGTTGCACGTAGTGAAATCAAATATTTGTTTTTTTCTTTCGTATCTTCATTTTATGACTGATGTAATGTATATCCTGATAATAGTAAGATGTAGAAATCTTTAGTTTGCATTGACTCATGTGATAATACATAGAAGTTATTTACCTTTTTACTTCGTATTCTTGCTGATGTAACTCAATGCAAACCATCTTGAGGGTGTGGATGTGGGTGAAGGTGAGTGTAGCTACACCTTACACACTCACTTCTGGTTGACGAAATTATTTTTCACGTAATTCTATAAAACGAAATTTACATTGTTTTGATTTGTCTTATTAGAATGCTTTTTTCAAATTTTTATTAACTCATTTTATCATATTAACAATGACTGAGCATATAGTAGTCGATCAAATTTCATCACAACAACTCGATAATAGTAATATATAACAATCTTATTTAGGATCATCTTACTTTAATAGCAAATAATCGAAAAAAAAGAATTTAACGAAACTTATCGTGAGACCATTATTTATTATTTTTGAAAACCAAACTACGGATTTTATATAGAAGTAAAATTTTAAAAATAAATTATCTCAAAAAAACTTTTTAAGGCGGCTAACTGCATCTTCTTCTTCTCGACAGATGAGTCACGATTCAAGTCTGCCACTGGTTCTTAGCATCTAAGCAACATTTTCAATCGAGAAAAAGCTTCCCATATTCGTGAGAACGTGCTGAGTGCACATCTGAAAACCGTTTTTTTTTAATTTGGTTCCGTGTGGGAGATACATAATTTTAAAAAAACCATTAATTAACACATGATGATTTCCTTATATGGTTATGTATGACTCAGTATTATGTGATCATTGATATATAAGATACTATATGCATATACATTTTAATTATCGTTTTTTGTGACTTAAATCGATCATAATAGAGTCTAATCTATGAGAAGCACTTATTCAATGGCTTTTTTATCTGAGTTTAATTAATTGATTTTGAGGATAAAATAAAACAAAATTTTAAGCGGTTTAACTTTCCGCGTTCATGACGGTTGTTACACTTCTGCAGTCAGCCGCCTTTCTCCTACTTGAACTTGCTTCAAGTGGAGGTCTAGTTTATTTATGCATTGTAGATTAAATCTAAAGATTTCTTTTTTTTACAGATCTCAGATTTTGAATCAAAGTAATTTCATATTTATTCATTCAGTATTGACTTTTATTTAAAAAAGGTAAATGTAATGAAATGGCTATACCTATTAAAATATTGTCACGTACAAAAGTGAATAAAAAACAATGGCAGACATAATACAATATTATAATAGACTGGAATGTACTTTTTTTTAAATTATTTAACTAATGATTATTTTGTATGTATAATTTAACAAATCACATCCTACTTTCACTCATTTTACAATTATGACATCTGTGAGTAACTTTATCCTTACAAAAAAATAACATTTTTGAATTATAATGATGAATTTTGACGACTTTTTGTTCATCATTTCAAGCTATTGAAATTGAATTCAAATAAAAAAATTTTTATTCATGATTGTTCAAATAATGATTCAACAGTTTATGCAAGGTGAAATGAAACAAATATATATATAACAAATCTACTGAAGCCATGAAGAGAACCACATATATTCAAATAAATGTACAAAAAAAATGACTTTCTCTTGTAATATTTTTAAGTGTAAAAATATATTTATAAATAGTAAACCACTCGATGAACTGTAACTAATAGAAAGTATGTTTTTAGATTCTATGTTTTCCTTTAAAAGAATCTCGTAGAATTAGTCATACTCATGGCAGCAGTAAAAAGAAAAATATGTTTTTAAAGCTCATTATTCAGGACAGAACAGAAAGAACTAAAGTAAATCTAGTTTTTTTTTTCTTCTGTTCTTTTACTCAATGCTCCTTCCTTTTTTTTTATTTTTCTACGTAGTGGAAAATGCAAGGCCAAGACAACGAAACAACACATTTACTTGACGTTTGTCATTACAATATCTGAACTGATATGGTATTCATATGTGTCACATGTCCTTGTATAAAAAAATACTTACCATTACTAAGTTCGATTATTTTTTTTCTTATATTATTTTATACAAATGCTGTTGTAACAACAATTGCAGATCGTATTGCACCATATTATCAACCCGCATTACCTGATATTGGTCATAAAATTTTACCCTATTGGAGTTATTATCAAATAAATAATTACTTAATTATAATTGGTTATGTATTTGTCTTTATCAGATTTTTACCACAATCTGACATTCGTATTACTGTTTTTCGTCGATGGTTTTTTGTACAAGGTTTAATGTTTGGTATGCGTAGTGTGTCTATTTTTGTCACTTCACTTACTGTGCCACAGCCAGGTTGTGTTACTAATATAACAGAATTAGCAACACCAGCTGTCGAAGCATTTTATGTTATATTCGCATTACGTTCGACATGTGGTGATGTACTTTTTTCAGGTCATACAGTAGCATGTAAGTATTTTTGATATAGAAAATTAACAAATATACTAATGAGATTTTTTATTTTTGTTAAAATTTAGTCACAATTTGTGCTCTTTGTTGGACAACTTATGCTCGAGGTGAAGAATATCGACCATTCGTATTTATTTATCGTAAATGTGGTTTTACACGAGAATTTCATTTTCCTGAATGGTTCATTCGACCTAAATTAGATGCTGTTGGAGATCCTATGACACTTTATTTAACAACTTATATTGTTTGGTCTTATTCTGTAGCTGGTTATTTAATTATTATTGCTACTCGATTTCATTATACTGTTGATGTTTTCCTTGGTTGTTTATTAACAGTATTAACTTGGTATACATATCATTCCTATGTTAAAAGACTTTTAGAGAAGAGAAGATTTCTTATTGCAAGAATATTTGTTTGGTTCGAAGGATTAGAAGGTGATGCATCAACATCCATTAGTTTACTCAATGGACCTGTACCAAATCAACCAACAGAATTACCACCTGTTGCTGTCGTTAGTGCTGGTGATGCAAGATTTTAATGAAAATTATAATCTCATCAGTGTCAGATAGAATATATTTACTTTCGACATCGTGTCATCTGTGATGACAATCTCGTGAAAATTTTATTTTATTTATGAATGAATTGTATAATAAAATTACTTATTTATATTTGTAAAGGAAAGAGAAAAAGCTATATAGTACATGTAAAAGGGCAAAAAGATAATTTAAATAATAGAGTAACATGGTATAAAGTATCTAATATCAATAAAAAATGTCAAATCGAACTTATTTTTTTATGGTTTTACTATCATAAACCTTCAATCAAATAGTACAAACGTAAAATAACATATAATAAATAGTACATATATTCTTGATTAACAAAACAACAATAATACAAGAGAAAAAAATCAAACGTTTTCTATGTGTTTGTTTTTCTAGTAAAAATAAACTAAAGTACTAGAGACGACTACTAATACCAGATAATCTATCAAAATCATCAAATGTTTCATTTGTATGACCACATTTATTTTCTCTATTGTCATTGATTGTTACTACGGTTTGTTTTGATTCTTGTTGTTTACAACATATTAATCGTTGTCGATGATTAAATATATATTCATCATACCAACTTAATGTATGAAATGGTCTCGGTAACCATGACCATGTTTGTAATCGATGTGGTAAAAATTTTGGTGAATGAGTTTGTAGAAGATTAATAACAATAGCCATTAAAATAATCAATACAATTGGACCAAATACACCAATAAATACATACCTAAAAACAAATAATAAATTCAAAGAGTTGAATAAAAATTCGAATAGTTCTATACCATCCAGCAAGAGATATAGCAAAAATAATTGAAGGTATAACAAAGAATGATGCAATAATGTAAACAATAGCAAACCATCGGTATTCCGCTGTTATTGCACCTAATTTTTTAGCTAAGCTGATTGGTATATTACGCATAAATGGTATTGGAAACCAAAGAAGAATACCGAAAATATTAAAAAATGTATGACATAAAGCAATTTGTAATGAATTTCGTAGTTCTTGAGCTGTTGTTGCTGTTAATGCTGCCATCATACCAGTTATTGTTGTGCCAATATTTGAACCTAATGTAAATGGATACATTCGTTCTATTGATATAATTCCAAGGCCAACAAGTGGTGTTAAAGTTGATGTAAATATTGAACTACTTTGTACAAGTATCGTAAATATACATCCAACCTAAATATATTATTTAAATTCAAACCTAAAAATCTTATTTTTCTTACTCCAATAGCTAAATATGGTGTTAAATGATGAAAAATACCAGGAAAATCAGCATTGACTGTTTTATGTATAATTGTACTAATTGTTCCTTTCAGCATTGATTGAAGTAATTTAACAAGTAAAACAAGACATGTACAAAGACATAATAATGAAAGAACAAGAAGAAGAATGCCAATTCCCCAATCTGGCCATGTAACTGTTGCAAATAAAAATCCACAATGTTCTTGTGGAAGTAGAATTGATGTATTATTCTCATCAGTTATATTCTTATATGAACAATAACGTTTAACAAGTGAAAGATCCGTTTCTACTGATCCAGTTGCTATATTTTGAATGACTTTTTCATCTAACTAAAAAAAACAACAAGAGAAACAAATTAAAATAAAAACAAAAAATTTTTTTACTTGAATTATTCGATGTGTTAATGGTCTTGTTAAAGCATTTAAAAATTGTGGATTTGTACTTGCTTTTCTATCAAGACTAATTGTTCGAGTAATAACCTCCGTCAGATGAAATAATACACCTAATTAAATAATGAATAGATAGAAAACTATTCTTTAGAATTTATTTTCTATATACCTGATACAATTTCTAATGGTAATAAAATAATAACTGTTACCCAATTGAACATATCATGAACTGTAGCACCAGCAAAAGCTCGACGAAATTCATCTCTTCGACTCTAAAATAAATATTCATTCAACATTTACTTAATCTATATTTACTTACTGATTGTGTTAATGCAACGATTGTATTTGTTACCGATGTACCTGTATTTGAAAAGAAAAATGAATTAAAAGATTTAAATCAATAACATCTATATACCAATATTAGCTCCTAAAAAAATTAATAATAATTTTTTCATAATAGAGAAAATAATTATCCTACCCATAATTATTGGAATTGCTCTTCTAACTGGTAGAACTAATAAAATAAAAAATAAGAATAAATTAAATTTTTTTTAATATAAATTATATACTGGATGATGAAACCATTGAAACAACAATAGATGTTGATGTTGATGAACTTTGAACAACTACAGTTGCTAATAATCCAAGCATAAGACCAGCAATAGGATTCGAAAGAACAGCACCTTCTGTAAATGCTTGTCCAGTTATTTTACCTAATAGAAATAAATATAGATTTTCGCTTTGAAACACAAGAAAATTATTCTTACCACCAACAAGTCGAAATGCTGAACTCATTATATCAAGTGAACATACAAAAGTATATAATAATAATAATAAGCCGATAAATTTAGTAATTAATACAACGACATGTTTTATACGTGCTGATGTATTCATATCTATATAAAATAAATCAATAATTAAAACAGATTATATTTTAAATTTCTTTACCTTTCCATTGAATTTCGTTAGGATTAGTAATACTATCTACAACTGTATTCCATGAATCTGGAGGAATAACTTCACTTTGTGATAGTTTATCTTCTTTCATTATTGATTATAATATAATGTATTGTCGACAATCGATGATCAATGTCTTAAATAGTCATGTTCTTATTCATACATTTGCTATTAAACTTTGGAATGTAAACATTCCTTGACAGTATGATGAAAATATCATATGTAAAGGTTTAGTATAAGTACGTCAGTGGTGAAAATATTTAACTTATTATTTTTTTTTCCTTCTTCTATAATAATTTCATGCACTTTATGTAAAGATAACCTTTTTCCTATTATTGATTCCAACGAATTTTGATACTATGTCATGATAGACTTTACCTGATCATTAGCAAATTTCATTTGTTTTCTTGCTTATGAAATATTTATAAAATGCCAACATGACATGAAGTTTGTGATTGAATGGAATGTTTCTCTTAGAGCAGTACGCTACTACTAGAAAGATGGATTTTACAAGATTTTAGTATCCTATGTCTAAGATTTAATTCCAACAATATATTTCAGCTTAGAAAAAAATAGAAATCCTAAATAACTTACCTGTTGTAAAATACACTTGTGTTCGTTTGATACTTTCGGTATAAATGTGATTAAAATTGACATGTGTTATCTTTTTATATATACGATCAATTCGATTTTATTATAATTATCACTTTGTCCAGTGACGTAATACGTAGCTTTAGAAGATTATGTTGTATTGATCTAAGGCGTTTCGTTAGTTGTAACAAGAACATGTACTGAAAAAACATCTTATTCATTCTTAATACCTATTATTTCACCATGTACTTCATAAATCAATTAAGTCAGTGATACTAGATTCTCTCCGCCTTTTCAATAATCGACATAATTCAAAAGGTCCAACGAAAGATAAATAGAACACATTGACCTACTACTCATTGAAATGTATTTTTTTTTAAAAATGAATAAATCATTGAATTTCAAAATGAGACAAAGTAAATAACAGGTAGATCATCATTAAATTCAATTATTAATATTTTGCAATACTGAAACTTCAGATCAATATATAAATCATCTATGATTATGCTTGACAAAAAAGAAAGATAATCAATCCTGAATCCTAGATGATGATGAAGTCTATTAGAAGAGTATATGTGCGACATCTATTTGTCTTAGTATTCTAGTTGGTTAATACTTCTATTCTATTAATAAATATTCTTCTTGCAAGAGACTTTTACCTATATACTTCTTTCAACTACAAGACAAACATGTCTTTGCTATTCGTTTCAGCAAGTCGAACATGTCGGTCTTCTTTTTCTCGACAACATATACTTTTATCTACATCTCGATTTCAATCAACTCAAATAAATCCAGAGATTCATCAAACTCAAAATCAGCAAACAAAAGCGGATTATCCATCATCATCATCTAATTCTAGTCGTCGATATCGTTTTTATTTCTTATCTATTGCTGCTGGAGCATTAATTGGAGGAGCATATACATTTCGACAATCTCGAAGATATGAAGGTCTTATGCCTGAATATATTACTAATTCTGAACAACTACAACGTAAAGCAATGGAAGCTCGACCAATGCCACCACCCGTAACAAAACATATTACATTTGATGAAGGACCAAGAGTAAATTTCCCATTTAAATTAACACTCTATCAATATGTTACATGGTTTGTTTATCTTATCTTTTAAAATAAATTTTTAATGAAATTTTGTTTTTTTCATTTTATCTAGTCCATTTTGTTGTAAAGTTCGTGCATATCTTAATTATAATCGTATACCATATGATATAGTTGAAGTTAATAGTGTAATGCGTTCGGAAACAAAATGGTCAATATATAAAAAAGTTCCAATACTTGTTATAGAAAATGAAGAAATTCAATTAAATGATTCAAGTATGATTATATCAGCTATTGAATCTTATTTACGTATGCCAACAAAACGATTTGAAAATATATCGAAATTATATCAATCAGTTGTTGAAAAAGATGAAAAGGGAAAATTATCGTTTAATTATCCGAATAAATATTTTCTTGTTGAACCATTAACAAATGAACGAGTAGATCCAACAAAACAAGTTCAAACAGAAAAAACAAAAGATGATGCTCGTGATAATGATGCAACAACAACAACGAAAAATGTTAATAATCAATCTTCACCATGGTTTTTCAGTAATTAAAATTAAATAATTTCTAAATTAATTTATTTTCTTTATTTTTTATTTTTAAGCTAAATTTTTTTCAAAATCAAAATCAGAACATAAAGAAGGTTTAGTTAATATTGGTTCAGGAACTGTTACAGACAATGAAACAAAATCAATTACTTCATATAATAAATCAAGTGAACAATATAAATTAGAACGTAAATGGCGTGAATGGGTTGATACAAAATTTGTTCATACATTATCACCAAATATTTATTGTACTTTAAATCAATCATTGAATACATTTCGATGGTTTTCACAAGCAGGAGATTGGGAACAAATATTTCCATGGTATCAACGTTGGATTATTGTTTATGTTGGTGCCGTTGTTATGCGTGGTGTAGCAGGACGTTTAAGAAAAAAATATAATTTAAATGATAATGTAAGAATTTCTCTATATGAATGTGCAAATGAATGGGTTAAAGCCGTTGGAAATAAAAATTTTCTTGGTAAGATAAGATTCAATTTAATTAACATCGATTTTGCCAAGGAAGAATCGCAAATCGCTCAGACTATCTTAAAATTGCGGATTTTTTTAATTTTAGGTGGATCTCAACCAAATCTTGCTGATTTAAATGTTTATGGTATTCTCACAGCTATTCAAGGATGTGAAGCATTTCAAGATCTTATGAATAATACAAAGATTCAACCATGGTTTGAACGTATGAAACATTCAGTTGAACCTCATTTTGCTGATAACCGTCTTCGTGCTACTACTTAATAAACTTAATTTTTTTCATCAAAAGATAACTCGAAAAATCTTTTGATTCTATATTCATTGTTTAGTTGAAAAAAGAATGAAATTTTGTAATAGTGTACTATTCTAGATAACATAAAAAAAGAATTAAAACAAAAAAATGACGATCATGGAATGTGCTGGTTGTACATTAATTGCATATGGTGTACCATTTTCAATGTTTGTATTTACAATTGCACATCATCCATTTCGTATAATTATTTCAATGACAAGGTAAGAAGAGAAATCAAAACAAAGAATAATTCTTCATTTTTATTACGATAAATATTTTTTCTAGTGCATTTTTTTGGCTTATATCATTACTTGTATCATCATTACTTTGGTTTGCTGTAGTACCATTACGTAATCAACTTGCTTTTGCAGTACCATTTGCTGTTATATTTCAAGAAATATTTCGATATTTATTCTATCGTGTTATTAAGTAAAACATTTCATAAGTTATTAATTTGTATTTGATGTATTTGATTTATTTAGAAAAGCAGAATTTGCTTTACAAAAAGTACAAATGCAAGAATTAACAGATAAAGGAATGGTATTTGATCGATTTGCTGTTGCTTATGGTAATATAAAAAATTTCATATTATTTTAAATTAGCCATTCTTTTTTTAAATTTAAGCTGCAGGATATGGTTTCGGTTTCATTAGTGGAACATTTGCTATTGTTAATGTGCTTAGCGATATGATTGGTCCTGGAACAATTGGTATATTTGGACATTCGCAAGATTTTTTTATTGCTACAGGTAAAAACACAGGATTAATCAGGACACTTTATACGCCCTTATTTTTCTTTCGTGATAAAGAGAAAATACAACAAATCGATACGTCACTTAGTCGACGTAGTGCATATAGTCGATATTTATTTTTTTCTATGATATATTAATAGCTTTATTTCGAGATACGCACAATGCACGATATATTTTCGAATATCATATATAACTAATTCGTATCATTATATTTTAGCTTTTCTAACATTATGCATAATTCTTCTGAATACATTCTGGGGTGTTATTTTCTTTACATCACTTGACAAAGGTGGTATTCATCGACTTATTGGACCAGGAATTGTTGTTCTTACACACATGCTTTTTTCCTGTATTGTAAGTCTTGTCTCTATTATTTATAATTTTATTTTTATGAATATTAATTTCTCTTAGACATTATTAAATCGTAAATCACAACCACTTTATTCAGTATCACTTGCTGTTGGTTATTCTCTATTAATTGGCATGATTATATATACATTAATGTTACGTGGATTTACAATAAATAATATTCGTCAACGAATGAATCGAGATTAATTATTTATTATCTGTAACATTCCGTTTTCTTTTCTGTTGTAAATTGATGATTCTTTTTTTTTTATGGAAAAATCTGATTGTTCTTTCTTTCATCTATATTTGTTGTTATTGTTATCGTTCTAAAAGAAATTGAGAAAAGAATGTTATGTAGAAAAACTTTAAAATATAAATCAAATGAATGTAATTTTGATGTGTAATAAAATAAATTGAGCTCAGCTTAAAAATATTTTTATAGATGTTTTTTCGATGTATTTTTCGTTTTCATACTTATTTTTTAAGTAGAAAAAAAGATACATTTTCTCTTGGTGAAGAATGATATACTGTAAAATTATTTTTGTTCCTCTTTTTTTTGTAGTATACAAGACATATAGTATGGCATCGTCACAAAAAAGTATCGCACTTGTTGGTTCAGGTAATTGGGGAAGTGCCATGTAAGTTATTTTTGTTTTCGATCTTTATTTATAATAAAGTTTTATTATATAACTAAAGTGCTGGCCATATTGGTGAAAAAATTCGTGACTTAAAAGGTCAATATAATGAACGATTATTAATGTGGTGTAAAGAAGAAACATTAGATGATGGACGTAAATTAACTGAAGTTATTAATAAAGAACATGAAAATGTTAAATATTTACCGGATAAAAAAATTCCTGAAAATGTTATTGCTGAGCCTGATCTAATTAAAGCAGTTAAAGATGCTGATATACTTGTTTTTGTTATTCCACATCAATTTGTAAAAGAAACTTGTGAAAAATTAAAAGATAAAATCAAAAAAGATGCATTTGCATTAACATTAGTTAAAGTTAGTAGAAAAAGAAAAAGACAGAATATTTTCTATTTTACAATAATATTAAATTGTTTTTAGGGATTTTATGTTGATGAAAAAACCAATGAACTCCAACTTGTTTCGGAAATTATTACAAAGACATTAAATATTCCATGTCTTAGTATGATGGGAGGTTTGTAGAAAAAATAAAATAACTAATCCGAATTGAATTTATTTTTCTTTAGCTAATATTGCAAATGAAGTAGCTGAAAAAGTTTTTTGTGAAGCAACAATTGGTTCTCGTGATGATAAACATAGTGAAACAGTTCGAGAATTAATTGATACACCTGTTTTTCGTTTACGTTTTTATCCTGATGTTGAAATAATTGAAATGCTTGGTGCTTTAAAAAATGTTATTGCAATGTTAGCTGGTTTTTCTGAAGGTTTAGAAGCAGGATTTAATACACGAGCTGCTGTAAGATTAAATATGATGTTTTTAAAATTTAAATAAATATTTTTTTATATTTAGGTTCTTCGTTTAGGCTTTCGTGAAATGATTAATTTCTGTCGTTTATATAAAAAAGAATCAACACCAGATATTTATTTAGAATCATGTGGTATAGCTGATTTAATCGCATCATCATTAGGTGGACGAAATTATAATGGTGCAAAAAAGAAAGCTGAAACAAATAAATCTTTAAAAGATATTGAAAAAGAAGATCTTAATGGACAATCATTACAAGGTCCAGGCACAGCTAAAGAAGCTTATCAATTTCTCGAAGGAAAAAAATTATTAGATCAATTTCCATTATTTCGTGATGCACATCTTATTTGTGAAGACAAAATTAAACCAAAAGTATTTCTAGAAAATTTAAGTAAACATCCAGAATTCGATCGTAAACAATAATTTCATATTTTGTCTTTCATTTGTGATATTTGGCCGAAAAAAAATTATTTATAATCCAGCTATTTTTTATTATGATCTTTAATTCAGCTTTTTTATTTTTTTTGGTAAAAACTGACTTTATTCTGTGTGTATGTGTGTTTTTCTATTATATTATTCAGGCATATTAAAGTTATTTTTAATAAAAATACTGATAGACTTACATTGATTTTAAACAGCTTATCAAATAGAAAGACTAATCTGAATCAAACAATAAGAATTATTTATGTGCATAGATAATATTATTTGTAATAATAGTGTAATCTCTATACTGATATTTTACTTTGTAAATTTATGAGATTACAAACAGATTCATTTTCATCACAATCAATAAAAACACTCAGTGTCTAATCCAATAAATTAATATTCGAGAAAATAAGAATTGGAATTAATATATAAGATGAAATCAATAGTTTTATATAAATAATTCTCTTCTAATCAAGTTTCATACAGTATAATTAAAGAATTTATCTGTTTGCAATTAGAACTATTATTTTTGTTTTTCTCACTGTTTTTACGTTCATTTTTTCTCTTCTTCTTCTGAAAAATATTTAACATAAATGGGATATTAATCTGAAACATGATCACTATTCAATTAATCAATAATATTCATGTGTACTGGTAAGATTATTTATAGAATGTAATATTCATATTTATTTTTTTACATAAATATATATGACATTTGTCTGAGAGGATTTTTTATGAAATAAATTTTTTTGACTTTTACTTAATTATTAGTTCGAGCGTGTATCTTCCTATACTATGAACTTTTTCGATTATGTCTCGCAGAATTTACATCCGTAGATCCAGTATATATATATTTTAAAGGAAATTAATATTGATAATCATTAACAGAATTACTTCTATTGTCTAACAGAAATAAAAAACACTTCATACTATATATTATGAAAGATAAAAACAAATTTGAATAAAACACTGACAACGCTATTGAAGTAAGTTTCAGTTTAGAACATCAGTTCTTTTTATCTATCTATTTTTAGCGAAAAACAAACATCCACAGTCCCTATCATATAGACATGCCACGGTATATCTGTTTAGTTTCTTTCAAACTAGTTAATCATTCCTTTTGTGATTTATTATTTCTCCGATGATTTCATATAATTAACATCTGCAATTTAGTAGAACTCTTCGAGATTTATCATTCTATTATACTCTCGTTTTTTTGCACAAATCATTTTTTCTCTGTTTTGGTAGATATGCTTACAATTTATTTGATAAAAATAAATCTCTATCGTATTTTGTAAAGTATAAAACATTTTATTTTTTAATATATATATATATCAGTGGTGGATCCAGGAATTTTCGAAGGAGGGTGCGGATACGATACAAACCCAATATTTCTGCGGAAGACTGCTAAAAGTTAGCATAAGATCTGTTTTAAAGGGGGTGCGATCGCACCGCCCCCTCTCTTGGATCCGCCCCTGATATATATAAAACAAAAGATTATCTAAAGTTTGAATACTTTTTTGAATATAAATACATTTTTTTGTAATCGAAATATGATATTAACTATTTTTTATTTTTGTCATTAATTTATGCATACTTCCAGACTGTTATTTAAAAGAGGAAATAATTATGATAGAGAATCATGGATTTCAGTATAAATATCATTTTCAACATCGATAAATATACTATTTTCATTTTATTAATCATCAATCTTAATTACTTTTCTTTGTCTTTTTTCAATTCAAGGATTAATAAAAAACATTTTACTACGGAACTTAATCTTTATTATCATCAATAGAATCATTTTCTTATTTTCTAGTAATTTCCGTATGTGTAGTCTATATATGATATATATATTAAAATGAAACTCATATTATTCAGTATCATATATATAATCTTGATAAAAAAAATATGTAACAGTATAAGCATTTTAGTTTGTTTGATTTCAGATTCTTTAACTATGGTTTCCTCAACTACATTTTGTCTTCTTGTTGCAACAATCGTGATGACAACATACGGTCGAACAGTACCTGGACCTGATCAATTATTCCCTTTATTGTTTCAATCAGTTGGTACAGATGAAAATAATATGATGCCTCCATCCAGTGGTCAGAGTAGATTGATACATGTTATTGAACAAATCATCAAGTAAATTGTTTTAGTTTATTAAATATTAAAAAAAAACTTCATTTCTATTAAATTAGATATGTTTCATCGATAAAATCCAGTGAAAATTTTATTGAAAATATTGTTAGTGGTCAAAAAGATGTAGCTGACAAAATTAAAGTACTTACATTTTTAAACAAATGTTTTGAACTTACTCATAAAGTTATTCAACGTGAAATTGATCGTATGTTAGGAACATCAGAAACAATGAAAAAATCCTCAATTCCATCACCATTTTCATTAGAAGAATTACAACAAGCCCAAGTTAAAATTAATGATTTACTTATTAAAATTGAAAAACGTATGGATACATTAAAAACATGGATTCCACCAACAATGCCCTTTCTTGGCTTCTTCTAAAGACTCATTTTTCTTCAGTACATACACATATTTATATATGCAAACAGAAAGTTGAATAAAAAAAAAGAAAGATCTTAATATAAATGTTTGAATTCAATAAAAAGTTCTTAAATAAATCAAGATGTTGATTAATTCTATAACAAAGAAGTTATTTATTACTAATTCAAATATTTGACTTACGCATTAATGAAATATAGAAAATAACTTAGTTTATTACAAATAAAGTAATAATAAAAATTTAAACGGATATAAATGATAAAAAAATAGGTCCATCTGCAAGATTTAAATAAAATCAATAGGTATTATTTAAGTTGATAGAAACCAATGTAAAATGAATTAAACAAATTGTTAAAATCGTAATAATCATAGACTGTGTAGTATGTTTTCTCGTATATTTATAATACTAAATTCAGTGCTATGAAAAAATGTACCAAGAGAAAATATCTCTTATTTATGACTCTACTGACATTAATTGATCTCATCGATTGCACTACATTAGAGTTCCAACAACCTGTATAGCTAGTGTAGTTAGTTGAATCAGAAATGTCAATGAACTCAGTAAAAATAAAATAATCAATAGAGTAAATTTCTACTATCATAGGTGTTATTTAAATAAATAAACATATTGCCCATTTCAAAATAAAAATGCATTGAAATTTGTATGAAAAGATTTATCTAACTACTTTCCTAAGAGTTGTAGTAAACTGTATTTTGATGACTAAAGTATCTTATTAGTAATAGTTAGAAATAAAATCTTTCCATAATTTTAGAGCTTTTTCTCTGGTGGTTGTAGAACGCTCCCTACAATCAATAAATCCATATGCTGTCGATCTTGTTCATATAGGAAATTGTTTAAAAAAATATACCCATCGGCCTTTTATTTTGAAATGGTCATTAGTATCATTACCAGGAAGTTTGGTAAAAATCCCGTGCCGTATAACAAAAATCGATTTTCGAGGGGAGAAGCCTTAATGACTTTTATTGACTCCATTGAACTTAAATACATTCTTACCTGATACAACTATTTACAATATAAAATAAATTTATTTATTAACATTATTAGAATTTATATTTTTGAATTAGAAAAAGACATAAATGACAATAAAACATGTTTATATATATATGCTTATTAGATACAAAAAGCAATAGATAAATAATTAAGACCAAAAAATACCGATGAACACTAAAAAACTAAATATTATCTAAGTGAACTATTAGTTGATGATGATTTTGATACTTGATTCTTATATGTTTTATATCTTAGCACTATTATCAAAGTAAATAATATAATTGTGACAACAATTGTTAATATTATCAGAATAGTACTACAAATAATTATAAAACGTTTTCGTTTTCGTTGAATACTTGTTCGTGATATTCGATGAATTTTATTAAAATCCTTAAAAAAAACACGAAATGATTATTTTTTTTCTTAATCACTATAACTAACTTGTTTTTTAACTGATGTTTCAAGTTGATCAGCTCGAGCAAGTAAATTATTTAATGTTACATTATCATGATCTATTGTTTCATGAATATCTTCAACTAAAACATCGGATTCAAATAATGATTCTCCCGTATTTTTTTCTTGTTTTAATAATTGATTTGATGCTGCATTATTCTACATAAATGAATATTTTAATGAAGATGAAGATAAATGAGTATTTATTTACTGAAATGATTGATTGAGATAAATCGTTGGTTAATCTTCGCGGTGATGGAGGAGTTTTAGCTTCATTGGATGTTGATTCACATGATGTTTTATGTAGAAATAAGAGACGTTTATTTTTCGTACTTCTTCGTTTCCAACCCTCCTTAAAAATAATTTCATTTTTATATAGTATATTATCATTCAAACATACGAATCCATGGCGATCAGATAATTTAAAAGATTTTTTATGATGTCTAGTTTTAATATCACGTTCTTTGGAAATTGTATGAGTATTATGATGATCATCATCATCATCACTTTCTTCTTTTTGTCTTTTTGTTATATGAAATATTCGATAAGAACCATCTAATCGAAATGAAGGTTTCTTTCGTAAAACATTTGATTTAAACTAAGAAAAAGAATAAATATTTTTCAATAATAATGAAGATTAAGAATATACTTACTTCCATATTTGTATTGATCAATGCATTCATTTTATATCAATAGATTGTGTACTTCGAAGATTTTCAGATAAAGAATTACTAAAAAATCAAGAATGAAAGATTTGCAAGAGAAAATAAATATGTCTGTTGTTCTGCATTACATGTTATGTCTATTCTCATCTATATTTTATTTTTATTCATGTAGTGATCATCAGTGTGCAAAGAAGAAGAAAAAAGACATTCTTATAAAAACGATAATGATAGTTGTTGTTCTTTCTGATTGAATACATTTAGAATATTTATCTAATTTTACGCATTGTTCAGCAAATACTATTATCGCTTAGGACTATTATAGAAAAGAAAATAGAAGTAGAAAGAAGAAGAAGAAGAAAATCGAACAAAAAATAAAATGCACGTTGTTGATGAATAAATAATGATATAGTAAGAATAAAATTGCTGTCTGTAATTAGACAATTATAGGAAAGAAGTTCGACTACTTAACGTCAAATTATTGGATACTTTATCTTTTTTTTCTTTCTTTATTCGCAAATGACAAAATAAAGACGAGACAAACGGATGTCATAGATATTTTAAAACTGATTTATAATAATACTCAAAAAAGAAAGAAAGAACTAATTAGATTTTGTTCTAATTTCATATATCACAATAAATTTTCATCGACATTAATATGGTAGGAATATTAAAACAATATTTCTATGCTCATTCATCATAGGAAAAACGAATCTAATGTTTTTTATTTCTATCAGGAAACTCTTTATCTTAAATAAATAAGATCCATTCAATGTAGAATACGAAGCATATGCTGTTGAATATATTTTATTCCAACTGCGTAGAAGATTATATTTAGCATATAAAAATATCGCAAAAATCTATATTATTTTCTTAATAAATAACGTGTTACATGGATAAATAATAAAAATGTTCTAGTCGTTCAATCTTTCGTATGTATAGAAATAATACAGAAATTATTCGTGTAATCTATCAAAACGTCTTTAAAATCTATAAATAAATGATACAGTTATGAGAGTAATGAATTGAAAAAGATACTCGTTTGAAAAGACACTCCTCGTGTCAGTTTATCGAAAAATCAAATTTTAAATTTGATAGGTATAAATAAGTGTTACTTCATCATGTATATATTCCTAACGGGCATTATGTTTTCTATTTGGTAAAATTAGAACGATGAGTATTAGTTTTTCGTCCTGTTATATTTATTATATTATTAGACAGCTGTCGAAAATATTTATCAACTTACATTCAATATAAAATTAATCAAGTTCTTATTTTAATATAACATGATTTTTCACTGAATCCTTACCAATTATTGCATAGTTGATAGTAACTATAAATATACATGAAAAAAAAAATTTAAGAAATGCTTCTATTTGATGTTATACTTAATCCTACAAAACAACAAAGATTAGACGAACTTCGTTCTTTTGTTGCTCTTCAATAATCACGATGATGTATGTCTTATTCTGCTATCACAGTGAGATAAAAGTATTGTCTAGTGAGTAACAAATGTCACTTGTTAAGAAAGTGAACAATGAACCGGATGCAGAGCAGTGATCAAATGAAAAAGTATTCTTCGAAAATAGATGACTCCTAGATAATTCCGTAAACGGAAAGAAAAAAATAGAAAGCAATAGGAAGTTATCATCCAGACAAAAAAAGACACTTGTTCCGTTTTAATAGAAACTTTTTTATTCCTTTTTTTAGTTAAAAAATTTATGTTAACTAGATAAGAACAGATACTCGTCTTTCTAATAATATTTTATATTATAATTTTTTCAATTGAACAAAAGTCTCGCACAGATATTATATGAAAAGATTTGTTCTTGTATAAACTTAGATAAGGAAAAAGTTTGGAATTGAATATCTATAAACAAAATATTATTTCAATATTTCCTAACTTTTACATATAAAAATCACAACATTAAAAATGAATGTTATTTCTCTTGTTTTTACTAGTCGAATACTAGAATTATAAAGGTCAGACATTTAAAATTCGTAACAACTCAATCAAGTTCATTGTCTTATTGCAAATATGTTCACATTCTCTTCTTCCATATACAGTTCAAAATACGTTATTTGTCATTCCGTTAATGTCGACTACTAGTGCCATCTATAACAAAACAAACGATTCGATTTTCCTAACCAGTAATTTTCAAATTTTTTTATACCGAATAACAAAGATCGATAGAAGAAATAAATAGTAAATAAATTATATCACGACCCTCATTCATTTCTATGCCTGATCGTTTTTCATGACAATATTCGTAGTTTTAATTCTCTTTCGTTTTTAATATTTTTAATCATATGATTTTATTTTTCATTGAATAAATGATTTTGTTTATATTAATGTAGTTCGTTCTTTTATTTTTAATCGTCATATGATGAAACTAAGCACATTGAGTTATCTTGTGTCGCATGAAATCTTGATGGCTATTTGTGAAACTAATTAATATGCCATTGTAAGGCCATGCAAACAGTAAACTTTCTGCTTTTCTATCTGAATTCTTATTACTGCCTTGTTTAAAATCAATTTAACAACGTGCAGATTTAAGATAAAAAGCAAACATAATCAATTTTTATAAACGAAAAAAAAACTTCTTTTTTTTCTAAACAACTATGAAAATTCTTTAGTAACCTGATGACGATGAAAAATCTTTAAGAATAAAATTTTCCTATTTTGTTTTAGATATACTATTACCATCGAATTATGCTACATAAAACTAGTGCGACTAGTACAACAATAGTACGAAATTTTAAAAGATCTATTTCAGTAAGGAAAAAAATTTAATATAACAATAGAAGTTTATTTTAATTTCTATTCTAGCCTGATTATACATTAAGCATTGAACGGAAATCTAAAACAACAAAATTTGAAGTAAGAATTTGTTTTATTTAAATTCTATTCGACTCATTTTCTACATCAGTTGCTTTCAATCATATTTAAATAGAATATCAAATTAAATCCTTTTTATCAGAAGAATCTACAGAATCTTTCTCTCTCCCTTCTCGTTAGTTTAAAGCCACCTGTTGTGCATATGTGTTAACAGTCAATTACTAATGTCTATTTAATATGCATAAAATTCACGAGACCATATCAAATTCTTTCTTGATAAACAACTGACGGTATTTCTTCAAAATATATCTCATCCTATATAAATGATCGATTTTTTCATTACAAAGAAAAAGAAATCATGCTGCTGAAAGTGTTGCACAATCTACACAAGACCTTTTTTGAAGTCATATTATATTTATGAAAAATTAGGTCTTGTCTAGTGTGTGCGTCATATTCGCTGCTTTATACCTCGATCATTTATTCTATACAATATAAGATTTTCGTTCTTTCTCTTTCCTCCTTTTTTTTCATTGGAAAACAAACGAAGAGAATGGTTCGTTCATATTCATGTCAGCATATGTATTTGTCCGATCGGTCAGATAAATCGATGTACTATTTATAAGTTGACTGTAATGAATCAACGCAAAGTGGGAAAAAAACAAGAATTTTATTCGTTTAACTAATAAAATATTTTTTCTTTTTTTTTTAGTTTACTAAAAATGTTGGAAATAAAGAAAATGTTATAAAAAGAGTTCAATCAGGTAAGATAAATTCAAGACATATTCTCAATAATTTTTGACAAAAAAAAATAGATAAGGAGAGAAGGGAAAAGTGTATGCTTTATGTATATCGAGACAATATTTATCTTTTGATATACTATCAAACACTTGTTCATATAAATACTTTTTATTTAACATCATCATATGTAATATCTACTCGTAGAATTTTAATGAAGAGATTTGAAAATTCAAGACAAATTGGTAGGATAGAAAATTTTTACTTTCTTTCTAAAATCGATACCAACAGAAACTAGTCATTTATGATCTAATCTAATATATATTCTTGGTATTCATTTTAGAAATGATATTTACGAAACATTCATCATTTGTATTCAAACAAAAAGAAAATCAAATTAATATTCCATGGTATCAATCACATCGTTTATGGTCAAATATGATGAATAAAACTCATGATAAAACATATAAATGTCGTGTTAATTTTCTTGATTCACATCCATCAATAACAACAAAGATGCGAAGTGTCTTATTCGATTGGTTAATTGAAGTAAAAATTTTTCGCAAAATAAAAAACAATTCTTATATTTTTTTTCTTTAAAGGTTTCTGAAGTTTATCATCTTCATCGTGAAACTTATCATTTATCAATTGCTTATATTGATCAATATTTATGTAAAAAAACGAATTTATCTAAAAATAAATTTCAATTACTTGGCATAACTTCACTTTTTGTTGCTGCAAAACTTGAAGTAAAAAATACATAATTTTATATTCTCTCTAAATAAATTTTTTTCTAGGAAATTTATCCACCACGTTTATCTGATTTTTCCTATGTTACGGATAATACATGTTCTGAAGATGATATACTCGATATGGAATTAGATTTAATGAATGTAAAAACAAAATCTTTGATTTTTTTTTAATCATATTTTTATATTTAGGTATTAAATTGGCATATAAATCCAATAACATCTATAAGTTGGTTATTAATTTATCTTCAATCTGAAATTGAACTTAAAAATATTTTGAATAATAATGATTTATTAATAAAGAAACAACATTTATTAAATAATGAAATTCTTCAAAGTTCATTATTAACGAATGTACATCGATCAAAAGATTTTCTTCAAATATTTTCATTAGCTGTTCGAGTAAATTTTCATTTTTTAATTTTTACTTTAAATAATATTATTTTTATTTTAGTTACTTGATTTATGTTCATTAGATATTGAATATAATCAATTTTCGAAACATGTACTTGCAGCTTCAGCTATTCTTTTGTGTAAAACAAATTGGGCAATTGAAGAAATAACAGGTAAATATAAAGATTTTAACGTTCATCATCGAAAATATAAATTAATATATTTAGGTTTAACTAACAATGATATTTGTATATGTAAAGAATGGATGAAACCATTTTCTGAAGTACTTAATAATTCTTTATCAAATTCAACTATTCGATTATCATCTGATGTGCCCGTTGATGAAGTTTATTCAATTCAAATACATAATATATCAATAGATTTACTTGTAAATAATCTTGAATTTTTGAATATTTATTTACTTATGTATTTATTCTTAGGAAAATGTTTACAAAAAACGTCCAAAATTTATACCAACAATGATACATAATCGACCTTTTCGAGATCTCTTAAATCATCTGTCTTGGTTACCAACATTATTAGAAAAACAACAAGATGAAAAACAAATTAATAAAGTTGTTGCTATTATATAATTTCAATTGATTAGAATCAGATATTTTTCATTTGTTTTATGAGATATTCATATGTGTCAGATATTATACATATATAGAGAGAGATTCATAGATAGATATATATATATATAATTTTGTTTTCTATGATGATTATTAATTGTTTTATAGATACTTTTCTTTTTTTTGTATAAAAACATAGTTGTTTATATATAATTGTTTTATCTTATGTGTTTATTGATGATTTCCAAATGAGAAATTTATGTTGAAAAAATAAAGATAATATTGTTATTTGTCTATATTTTGTTTTTATTTTGATATATCTTATAATCAGATATTATTTTTATATTGTAAATTTTTTTTTTCTTTATCTTTCATTCAATCGATTGATTATTTAAATGTTTATTATTCTTTTGATAATATAAATATTTAATCTTTTCTGTACCCGCGTTCTTTATTTCGGATAAAGATTCAAATTTATTTTTTCTTTAGATCTACAAATCATTTTCCATAGAATTGATCGATTACGATGGGTTTATGTATCGGATCATTAGGTTCATCCGTTGCATGTTGCTTTGGTAATGCATTTTGTTCACTTTGTTGTGCTGCATGTCCAGCAATGAAAGGTTCAACTTCATCACGTATTGCTTATGGTCTTATTCTTCTTGTTGGTATAATAACATCATGTATTATGTTAATACCTGGTCTGGAAAATACTTTAGCAAAAATTCCAGCTTTATGTTCTGGTGGTTCAAAATTAACAGATGTTGTTATGCCTAAAATTCCTTCAATTGATTGTTCAAAAATTGTCGGATTTTTAGCTGTTTATCGTCTGTCATTTGGAATGACAATTTTCTTTTTTATATTATCATTACTTGTATGTTAAAAAAATCTTTTTTTGAACATATATATATATATATATTTATGAATTTAGATGATCAATGTAAAATCATCAAAAGATTTTCGAGCAAAAGTTCAAAATGGTTTTTGGGGATTTAAATTACTAATACTTGCTGGTTTAGTAGTTGCTGCTTTTTTTATTCCAAACAATGGTTTTGCTCAAACATTTATGGTTATTGGATTAATTGGTGGATTTATGGTATTTTGAATTTTTTATTAGAAATTTGTTTTAATCTTTTCTTTTCTTTTCTTTTCTTTTAGTTTATTCTTGTTCAATTACTTTTATCAATTGATTTTGTTCATTCGTAAGTATTATTTCGTTTTCAAAACAAAAAATAAACCAATTATTTAGATGGAATGAATCATGGATTGATCATGTTGAATCTGGTTCAAAAAAACATGGTTATGGTTTATTATTTTTTACATTTCTTTTTTATGCATTATCAATAACTGGTATTGTACTTTTTTATGTATATTATGCTCCTGATCGGAATATCTGTCGTTTACATACATTCTTTATATCATTCAATTTATGTTTATGTTTCATTTTCTCAATTATATCGATTTTACCACGAGTAAGAGAATATAATGCATCATGTGGTTTACTTCAATCATCATTTGTTAGTCTTTATGTTGTTTATTATACATGGTTAGTAGAAGTGTATTTATTAGATTTAATAAATATTTATTTATATATATGTATAGGTCAGCAATGAGTAATAATCCAGATGAACGATGTAATCCAAGTATTCGTTCATTAATTCATCCAACAAATTCCACAACAACACCAAGTCCTAGTCCAACAAGACAACAAAACTTATTTGATCCAATAACAATAATTGGTTTAATCATGTTTGGTATTGCACTTTTTTATTCTGTTTTTACAACATCACGTAATAATCGTGCAAAAAAATTATTTTTAACTTCATCATCAAATGATTATTCAACAATATTAGATGATACCTCTGTATCCGATGATAGATTATTAGGTGATGATGACGATAAAACTCATCAACAGGTTTATGATGATGAAAGTCGATCAGTTAGTTATAGTTATTCATTATTTCATTTTATGTTTGTACTTGCTACTTTATATGCAATGATGACATTAACTAAGTAAATAAAATTTATTTTTATGTTTTATTTTGTAAAATATTTTCTTTTTTTCTAGTTGGTATCAACCAGCAAAAAATTTCAGTACATATAATAATAATTTAGCATCACTTTGGGTTAAAATTGTATCAAGTTGGATATGTGTCGTTTTATATATTTGGACATGTATTGCACCAGCTTTATTTCCTGATCGAGATTTTTCATAAATATGATGAACAAATATACAAGTATTTTGTATATTAACGCAAATGCCAAAGACAAACTGACATTCTCTTTTTATGTTGTATTTTGTATTTCAACATCAAAAAAAAATTAACATTTTCTTTTTCTGTTGTATTGTGTGTGTAATTAGTATCTTACTAACTATTTTCAACAAAACAATTTATATATATATATATCTATATATCCCCGATTTCTAATCTTAATAAATGTATATTTTTTGAAGATAATGCCTCGAGTACCGATTGCAAGTGAAGATGAAAGAAAATTTATTGTAGATGGTATACAGGTAAGAATTATTTAGACTAATAGAATTAATTATATATATATATATAATAAGAAAGTCATTTCCTATTCCTGTTTATATGCGTCTATTATTTTAGTTCTTAAAATAGAGATGATTATCTAGCATGACTCTAAATTACGCAGGAAGTTAATCCTTGCTTTCATCTTGTATAAAATAATGTTTTATTTTTAACTCTATGTCTAAGATAAATCTATTATAGAAGTATTGAATCTAAAACTTAGTCCAAAGAAAATCTAAAAGTCATTAAATGTCACTTTCAATGAAGCTATAAACACAATCATTGCTAAATTCTAGGAGAAAACAGCGGACTTCAAGACTTCATGAGACTTCTAGAGACTTGAAAGATCCCATGAGACTTCATGCATGAAGTCTCTGTTGTTTACGCCTTGACTAAACTCTAGTTTATAATGAAAAAGAAAATATTTATAATTGTTGTTTGCAAGTTTTGCCTATTCTTTTTTTAGTCACAGTGCCGAAATGATGGTCGAGATTGTCGTTCCTATCGTCCATTATTACTTGCTACTGACGTGATAAATACTGCCAATGGATCATGCCTTCTTAAATTAGTAAATTTTATTAAAACATAAAAATATAGGAGAATAAAAATATTTTCTTAGGGTGGAACGATAGTAATGGTTGGTATTACATTTGAATTTAGTCGTTCAAGTCAAGATAAACCAAATGAAGGTCGAATTGAAGCAACTGTTGATGGGTAAAATATTTATTTAATTGAATTCTCTAACGATTTTTCCTCTTCATAAATATTTTCCATTGTTTTATCAATCCATTTATCGATATTACAAATCATTTTTTGATGAAAACGATGATAAAGCATCTTTTGTGTTTTAAGAATTGATGACCACTTCGAAAAAAGAGAACTTTTCAAAAAAAAATCAGAAAATTTTTTTTTACCAAAATTTTATTTGTTGCTCTAGTAAAAAATGATTCTTCATCAATTATAACTAATTCAATTAATTTATAAACACACATTAATGATTGATTTTTTGATAAATTTTCATACCATTTTGTATTAAATTGTAATGGTAAAAGATTCGGTTTTTTTAATGAAATATTTCTTGTTGGATCTTCATCAATTCGATAATCTTTTTTATCTTCAAATCGTTCTGATATATTAATTATTTCATAATCTTTTAAATATTTTCTCTGTTCATCATTAAGTGAAAAATATAATTGAGAGTTAAGATTCATTTGTGATAGAGATATATTTTTATAATAACTTTGTATTATAATACGTATAGAATTTTCAATATTTTCAATAATTGTTAATGTATATGGCCAATTATCCCATGAATATTCATCTAAAACAAGATCTATTTTTGATTTAAAACTAAAGAAATCAAAAAATTTTGATTTCTGATCTTTAATATAATATTTTTTATGTTTCATTTGTATTGATGAGTTTATTGTTGATTGTAATCTTAAAGGAAGTTTTTCATGAATTATTTCTAAACGTTTTTCTTCCGGAATATTATCAGAAATTGTTATACATGTTGAATAGGTTTGTAAACTTTCTTTAAGTAATTCAATTTCAGTCCATTGTTGACCAGGACGATATTCATCAAGTGTTAAAGGCATTGGAATACGATATTCTTTTAATTTCATTTTTAATTTTATATTATATATATATAATGAAAAATAAAATTTATTAAATACGCGCAAATTTTATTATTCTTTTTTTTTAGAAGTGGTTGTCGATCATTAAGAATGTTTGGTAGACATAGAAGACAATATACAAAACAAATAGCTAGAAGTTTAAATTATATACTGAATAATCCAAAATGTTTTGATTTAACTCAGTTATGTGTAGTCAAAGGACATCATTGTTGGCTTGTTCATGTGGATATTTCCGTAAGTAGTAATTTCTTTTTTAAGAAAAATAATAAACACATACAGTACGATACAAAGATGTTTTTCAGAATGAATAGGAACGTCAAATATATACACAGATAAGACTTGGTAAAAAAATATCACAGCTAATAGTTAATCCTCTCTCTCTCCCCCTTCATGTCAGTTAAAGCTAAATATCTTGCTAGTTCACTGAGATGTGCGTGCAGAAAGATGAATTATACACAGATTGAAGTACTGTATATTGACTTAACATTGATTACTGAACGGGGTTTCAAGTGGAAATATTTACATTGCAATTTATCACAATAAATCTATGATAAATAGTAATAATTCATGCCTTTAAATATTTGATTTGGTCATTTACGATATTTAATAATTGAAGAAATATAATTCGTTGAAATTTATCTAACGAGGACATCTGTCTAGACAATCAAAAGTTTTTGAGACGACACCTACATTATGAAGTACAGTTCACTGACAATAGACAAAATCTGTAATTTTTTACTATTTTTCTTCCTATATCAGGGCTATTTATAGGAGATACTAGATATATAAGAATACCAATTTTGAACACTACGATTCTTTTTCAATCCCATGCATTAATAGTTTCTGTTAATTCTAAATTATTGTTTTAATTTTCAAAGAAAAAATAAAATATCCAGTGTTTGATTGTTTAATTACATTTCTTTGTATATAAATAGGTTCTACGATATGAAGGAAATCTTCATGATGCATGTTCATTTGCAATGAAAGCTGCTTTGAGTGAAACAAAGTAAAAATTTGAGAAGTTAACTGAATTAATAATATTTTATTGTAAACCAATTTAGAGTTCCAGCTTTAAAAGTAAATCATGATGAAGAAACAAATGAAGTTTCAGTTGATGTCTGTGATGATCCATATCAATATGGTGTTCTTGATGTATCAAATTTACCTGTACTTATCACTGTTGGACAAGTAAATAAATTCAGACAAAAATCAATTTTGTTATTCATAGAATTATTTTAGATTAATGGTGTTCATACTGTTGATACAACAATTAAAGAAGATTCAGTTACTTTAGCAAGGTATAATCTTTCTTTAATATTCTCAATATAATTTGTCTTGTATCTAGAATAACATATGGAATAAAACCATCTGGTTCTATTGTGTATATGAATAAAGATGGTGGTGGTAGTCTTGATTTACTTAACATTCGTTCAATGGGAAAAGTATGTTTTATTTATTAAAAAAATAGATAATAATTTTATTTGATTTTTTTTCTCTTTCTCTATAGATTGCTAGTGATAGTGGTTTACAAATGAATGCATTACTAATGAAAAAAATCCAATTAAGTAAAGAAAAGCAAGCTTCATGGGGTCATACTAATGAACGACTTCTTTTTGATGATGATACTTTCGTATGAAATGTTTCATTTTATATCTAGGAATAAATAAATAAACAAACAGACAAAAAGCTTGATTTTTAATTTATTGTAATTTTTATTTTATCATAGAAGATAAATCTATACATAAAGTACGTTTTAAAATACCAGGAAAAGTATACATCAGTGAAGTTATCGGCTGATTCGTACAGACACGTGTTCCATGCAGAATTCAACGAGCTCTATCAAATAATCAAAGTAAACTTGACTTTGGTCTAAAAGATATTTGAATACACCATGTGATAATGCTCGTTCAACTCTACGTAAAATACATATCGATACGAATCTGCTGATAACTTTACCATCTATAAATATCAGATTTGATCCAGTGTTTCATCACTCAACATACGTTGAATATAAATACGACACTTTCTTGATTTTAGTTTCGAAGAATAATCATTTAATTGATAGTTTTCTCTTTGGTTAGAATTAGTCTCTATTGATATTTCACTATTTGAATGTTGGTATAAATCTAATTCAGTATATGATGAATTTGAATTCTTAATTATTGTTTTCTTTGTTATTTTTAAAGAAGAAGAAGAAGAAGGTGATGATGATAAACTGGTAGAAATACTTGAATGATTATTTCTTTTAGATTCAATTGATGATGACATAGTATTCAATGGTTCAGTTTCATCTTCATTCTGCTGATCATTTGTCACTAAAATGATATTATTCAATCTATGTGAAATAGTTAACAACTAATCGATTGTTTACTTTTCGAAATAGTTGATAATGTATTAATAGATTGTTCAATTAAAACTTTTGAAAAATCGATCCGTTTATTAAATGATGTTTGAGTACTTATTGTCTTTTGATAAATTATTTTCTTGTTTTTTTCTTCATTATATAAATTTTTATTAACATATTGTAAACGATATTTCTCAAGTTTTTCTTTATTTATTCGATATACCATAGAGAAATTCTATATGAATTGAATCATATTTATTAATATGAGATAATAAATTATTTGTCAAAAACGAAAGAATTAGAAAGCGCGATTGATAAAATTTTAGATGTTACTTCAAATTGATCAAGTTCTTGATAAAGTCGACGAAACGATCGATACTGTACAAGGTACTTTATCTTTTTATCATTATAAATGTGATGGACAAGACGATCGAGGTTGGGGTTGTGGATATCGTACATTACAAACGATATGTTCATGGGTAATCAATACTAAAAACGACTGTTCTTCGTCAACAGTACCTTCTATAACAAAAATTCAAGAAGTACTTGTTGATTTAGAAGATAAACCAGCATCATTTATTAAATCTAATCAATGGATTGGTACATGTGAAGCAGCAATGGTTCTTAGTCAACTTTATGATGTAAATTTTCTCGTTTTATTTCTTATAAAAGAAAATTATTTTATTTTTTCTAGGTTGATTGTAAAATTCTTCATATTTCTAATGGTGATGATATTTTAAATAATCTAAATATAATTTCTAAACATTTTCGTGAATTTGGTTCACCCATAATGATGGGTGGTGATGCTGATGGTGCTTCAAAATGTATTCTTGCTGTACGATCTAATAAACAACTTTTAATACTTGTAAATATTTGAAAAATTAATATTTTTAAAAAAATTGTCTATTTATTTTTAATATAGGATCCGCATTATTCAGGTTTAAATTTTACATCAATTGATCAATTACGTGAATCACCTTATTTAAAATGGTATAATGTACCAAATGATTTTGTATCAAGTTCTTTTTATAACTTATGTTTACCTCAATTAAAAAAAATATAAAAATCTATTGAATAAAATCATTATATAATGGTTATTTAACGATGTCGATTCTACTTCTTGACTCCTATTAAAACAAAATATATACAAACATCTGTTGATGTCATTTATACATATATATATATAGATGGTTTGAGATGAATGTATATGCGTAATTTTATTGAATATATATATATATAGAAATATCTGGGTTAACTACTTTCTTGTTTATATAGAACAGAAAAATAAAATAAAAGGCAAAACGAAGAGGATAATATACACGCCACTGTATTAGTCTTTATATGTATCTCTATTAGAATATCAAATAGACATTTCTTCTTTTAACATCTCTTGTAGTGAAATAATATTATTCGAGGGCATTTTATTTCTGATTCTTATCTATTTAGTCTTTTTTCCCGTTACTTTTACTTATGAAATTTCTAAGAGAACTTGTATATCATGCATCATATTTTGTTGAACAAGCAAATGATACATTATCTTTGCCCAAATCTACTACGAAATATCATCATCATTATTACAAACTATTCAAGAAAAATGATAAAAATAATTCTAGTAAGTTTTTTTTATTATTAATTTTGAAACTATTAAAAAGAAAATAGAAAAAACAATTATATTTGGAATATATATGACGTCAAACAAGTCATATAACATATAGAGAGAATCATTTAGACTATTGACATTTTCACTCAAAATAGGCATTTGTTTCTGTCGATCAGTCAACAATAATATATATATCTTTAATAGATATATATATATATATATTCATGTAAATTACTTATAAACATCTTAAATAATCGATGAAAAATAATATTTTTTTATATTTCAATGTGTAATACTGTTTGTCTTACAATTCTACTATAAACATTGTCTATAGAATGATTTATTCATGCTTAATATGTTGAAAGAATGCTATTTAGTTTGATGGAAGATAAACACTGTTATCTCAATTAGGTCTATTATATAAACATTAAGATCTCTAAAATATAATAACAGTTCAGTGAGCATAAAGGTCTAATCTGGAATTTTCAAAAAAAAAAATATCATTGCAGTTTTTTTTCAATATCTAAGTTTACATATGAAAGTCACTTTATTTTGCTAGCCATTTGGTTAACAGATGTCAATCAATGGTTCTACTTTGTGAGAATATCAGTTTATTTATTTCTAAAGAATTGTGTATAAGTATATGTACATGCGCAAATGGCTTTATCATTATTTCTATTATTATTATACAAACATAACGCGTAAATTATGAAGATTATGCTCTGTCCATTAAACAGACATAACAATGCCTGTTAAGTAGACATAATCATTCATAATTGTAGATTGAATCCCTCGATGGAATAAGCATTTTAGAATAAATATATATACATTTGTGTGTAGAAACACCTGAAAACCAATGAATATGTATCTTTCTTCATTTATACTAACTAATTAATCAAAGTTCAAGGAGAGAAATTGAAAATAAATTCAATCGTCAAGCGTAACACATTAATATTTAACCAATAGAAATGAAATTTTGTTTCTCTTCTAAACAATACATCTTAGAGGTCGAAAGAACATCTATTGAATAACTTGAATATTTTTCTTTATTATTATTTCAATAATCTTGAGTTTTTTAAATAACAGATTATTCTCTAGAATTTACTTGATATTTTTTTTTTCTTAAAGAATCATTTTTTATGCAAGTAACCTAGATAATCATAGAAGATAATCTTTGAGAAAAAAATAATAATTTCCGCACAAAAGTTCTATATACTAATTGATGTTAATATAATAATTGATATATTAATTGTATATCGAAAAAATATTCTTTTTTGATCATAGTAGAAAAAAACTAATGTTTAATCAGACTTTCTTTTATGTATTATTTAGTAGTATAATAATCTTGATGTCAAGATTAGAGATTAAAATATTCTACTATATAGAATAATTTACAATATCAGCATATGGACTCTTTTTTTTTCACTTCGTTTCGTATAGTATTACTTTTCATCAATAGTAGACATATGTATGCATGAAAAGAAATAAAAAATACCATGAAATTTGCATTAGACACAGTCTCGTCTGTTTTTGATATGTCTATAAAATAGTATTTCATTTCTTTTTCTTTTAATAATAACAAACATTTTAACATAGTTGGCATATCAAAGTAAAAGACGATGAAGAGGAAAATGAAATATTTAAATAATAACGTATAGAAGACGAGACTATACTTCTTCTTTTTTGTTTTTTTTTGATGAAAATTTATTTATCTTAGTTTATCAATAATCAGTCTGGCATGACTTTGTCTTTACAAAGTTGAGATGTCATTCATTCAATCAGATGATTTCTCATATTATATGTATATAAAGAGAGAACATTAGTTATTCTTCCTTTCGTCATTTTTTTCTCACTCTTCTTTCTTCTTTCTTCTTTCTCTGTTGTATGCGTATGCTTTTTTTTGCGTCGTTTACATCACCAACAAAAACAACAACGTCAAGCGAGCACTCGTGTTCGTCACCTAATTACCAGCCACCGTACTCGCTCACATACACATACACATGCTTTCTCTTGCTCTCTCTCCCTGTTTCATTTTGCCGTTGTTATTTGATGCTTCTAACTACTTTTGTTGATAAAAGAACAAGAGACACAGACATAGAAAGAAAGAAAGGAGCAAAAAAAAGGTGCATTCGTATTCATTCAGCAATCTTCATTCAATTCACATGAGACAAACAACACGTCACAATCGTAACGGTTTTCATTGTTTCATAAATATGCATAATGGTAAGTTATTGAGTCAAAATGATTTAATAGTTTCCTTTTTCATTTTTTTGTTACTCTTCAGTATTTTTATGCCAATATTATAATGTCACTTGTTTGTGTGTAGGAGTAGGAGTAGGAAGAGAAAAAAATTGATGAGTGACTACACATACGTTTATGATTATTATCAGAGACAAGGAAAAAACAACAAAAATATTGATTGTCACAAGAGTATATAGCGTAAAAGTCGTGATCATTAATATGTCTGATGTCTTTTTAATATGTCATTCGTCAGACACACGCCTATGTCTTCACATTTGTTAGTGATGCATTCTTTCTGTTCTCTTATATCATCTTATATTTTGTTCTACTAATCAAATGTAAGTGACGTTTGCATGTAGGAGTGAATATTATTAAAGATTCTATTTGCACCTGTTATACTTCCTATATGCAAAATGTCAATTGTTATTTTGCATCGTCATAGTATGTATTTATTCATCTTTTGTGTCTATACGATTTCATAGAAAGAGTTTTAAGAAAATAGAACAAATATTCATACACTTCACTTGTTTTTACTTGTTATTTGCCGCGTGACAAGCAATGACAACAAAAATAACTACAAATGAAAGAAGAAGGAAAAAAAAACAATGACTATTTGTCTGTCTCGTATTTTACACTAAAATACGTAGGAGTACGTCTGCCATTGAAACATAGAATCATAATTCTTTGTATTGCATGCCGCTTTCGTCGTGTGGTATTGGTGGAGCGAAGCCAACGCTCATTCATTCAAATGTAAATGCCGCCACTGCCTAGTGTAAACTCCCTAGAGAAACATACGAGAGCAAATGTGTATGCATATGTGTGTGTGTGTGTATGTAAGAATTTGTCTTTTCCATTCACACAATAAGATAGAGAAGCCGTTACTTGTCAGGAACGGCAACATAGAAGATGATTATAATTGTATTAGTCTTGGGAATAGTATGTATATATTTAGTAATCACTTAGAAATATTTTTTAATTGAAATTTTCTTTTTTATCTTTCGTTGGTAGAATATTCATAATTAATATATAGATATATTCTTGTAACTTTTAGAAACAAAATATTATTCGATATATATATATATGTACTCAGAGTATTTTATAAAGTTATATAGGATAATATAAAAATATGTATGTGATTATAATAGATAGAAATAATGTGAGATGATCTTTCCAGATGTGTAGAAAACAGAGTATTGTTGTTCTTATCATTCTGTCTACTATTCAGTATATTTATTGAGAAGTGACAGATTGATCGAATACGTCAGCAAGTTTCGATAGCAATCAACTTATCCTTATATCATAAAGAAAATAATCAATAGATTAAATGTACCTAAAGTGTGAATAAGAAACAAAAGTATTCGATCTTTTGTCCTTAAATTATTGTAGCTATTTATCAGTACTTTTTCTTTTTTCTTGTCTGAAAATAAATCATTATAAGACATTGAAATATGAAACCTAATCATTGCAAACATTGATGTATATAACCTATGTGTATGCATATAATCAAATTCTATGTTTGTGTGTTAACATGAGTAATGACAAGAAATTTTTTTACTTTATTTCGATGTGAATCTTTTTCTTCTCGTCTCTCTCTCTCTCTGACGAAGCTCTATATTTTCCTTCGTATGATGTTATCCTATAGCTTCATGTCTTTTCGTCTCTTTCAATTCACTTCTACTCACTCAAGTACACAGCTTATGAAATCTTAGAAACATCTTTCGCATCCCATTGAACGTATATATGTTAACACTTGAGTAAAAGAGTATGAAGTAAAAAGCTGTTCTCATTTTCTCAAACGAAGGTTTTTTTTCGTCTATTCAGACAATGAGTAAGAAAAATATTTCGATTGTTTATGTTCTTAAGTATCCTCATTCATCTATGGTACAGATGTTCCCAGAAAAAAGGTCATAATGCATTTTTTTTTTAAAAATCACTTGTAAATCTTATGTTTATATTAACTACTTGTATTCTGGATAAAAAAGAAATAATATGTAAATGAAAGAAAACTCTTTACTTTCGATTATGTCAATATTATACTAATTGGATATTGGCTGTTCATCATATATATATATATCCATAGAATAGTACCTATCATCAGTATGTATAATATGACGTTAAGATTAACAGTTATATACACGCTTAGAGAGAAAGAAAGACACACTCATTGAACGCCAGAGGACATTTTCTATTTTCATATGCTCACCGTTAAAATAATGAAAAAGGCAAAGTGCCGCTTATAGAACATCGATGTACTATACATTGTGAATAGTGGGCATAAAGTAAAAAGAATGCTTGAAGGCATCTCAAGATTGAGTGAATGAGTGACTTAAAGTAAGTGATGAAAAGAGTTCTCATTGATTTAGGAATAACTAACGAATAACAGTTTCATAGAATATCGATATTGACATTTGATTGTCACGTTTATTATGATATCAAAATCTTATTAAGAATATACCCTCTTATATTTTAATTATCTCGATTTATATTAACAAATAAAATAATATTTCATAGAAGAATTTTTATTTGTCAACACCATTTGTAATTATATTTACTTCTTTCATTTTAATTTTCTTTTCTTTCTCCTAATCAGTATAGCCATCATTATCATCATCGTTAGAGAACACAAATATATATATATATATATACATTATTCAACGTCAACATACATCCTTTCTATCGTACTATAATTTCATTCATTCATTCATTCATTCATATCGTGTTGCTTTCTCGTTAACTATTTCATTATTGATTTATATGTCTGCTTGGCATATTGCCAAATCAATGTGTGCATTAAGATAGAGAAGAGAAAAAGGAGACAATGTTGATTTATTTATATATTTCTGTATTCTTTGGCTCATTTCCAATCGTTTTTCTTGTTATATTTATTCATTCGCTCTATATATATATATATATATATGTAACAAACTAAATTGTTACTACTCCAACAATGAATAATAGTAACAATATAGTCGTTGACAAGAAATTTCTTTGATAAGCTCTATGACTATAAAATTAAGTACATAGAAGAAATGATTATTCTCAAAAGACACGGAAATAAATCCCCCTAATTCTGACATATAAATTAGACAAAAATCATGTGGATATCACCAGATGCAAAAGTTTTCTCTTACTCTCACAATACTCATGATGATACTTGAGAAGCAAGACGATTATCCTATTAGAGAAGATAATAAATACAACGATGAAAAATCTATCCATAAATGCGTACTATCAATATTGACAACATATAGCATATATATAGAACAAGCAATCTGGAATGAATTTTTTTTCGTGTGTCTGGATCTGTGCCAGGAGAGATATTGATCTACCTTGACTTATTCTTCTTGTTCGCTGTTGATGCGCCAAGCGTGCGAGCGAGCATTTTCTCACGATCTCGCCTCTTTTCTCTTTTTTTTTCACGACGCGCGAGCGCGCGCGCTCACACATATACATACAGACACGGTATGATGAGGACGAGCGTATGTGAGCATCTATTTCATTTTTATTTTAAAATGTGAGAGACATTGAATAAAGAATCGATTCATCTTCTTTCTTTTTCTCCTCCTTCTCTTGTTCTTCTTCTTCTTCTTCTTCATCATCGTCTTCTTGCCATAGACACGTTCAAAACGGTCAGATAACAACACCAATAATTCAACCGAAATTTTTATTGCAAACGTAAAGGTAAAAAAACAAAGTTCGAACTCTCTCTCTTTTCTCTCTCTATATCTATCGTATTTCAATATATCTATTTTCTCAGAGTCAAATAACCTTTTTTTTCGAATGAAATCAAATATTACATATATCATGACTCACTACAAATAAATCCTATTGGTACTAAAAAAGGGAAAGAAAAAAGCTTCCCATCTATCATCTTATTTTATAGTTTTTTTAACCTTTAAATTATTTTATTATATTTGTTAATACTTCATTATATATATTCATGTATATATATATATATATATATATATATGTATATACGTTCATCATTCGAGGGTAACTGAGAATATTTAAAGAAAAGATAAATTTTGATTTAAATAAAGAACTTAACTGACTGCCGAGACGACTAGACAGATATAAAGAAATGTCTATTCTATTGTGAATAGATGCCTTGAATCATCGATATATCGACCTGTTCATAGAGAACAAAAAGAAAAAGATAATCGATGTGGTCGATGAAATAAACTGTCAGTTATCTATTATCATCGTCATATCATTTTCATTTGATTTGACCCTGTACGCCTATCGTATTATAAAGAAATAGAAGAAAAAAAAAGTTTTTTTTATCTTTATGTGTCAAGTTATTGTTATTGCGTAAAGATGAAGAATCATCCGAATGGTGTGCAACTTGTGTGTGTGTGTGTGGGCAGCAAAGAAAAGAGAAAAGAGAAAAGAAAAAAGAGGAAGGGGGGAGTAAGAAGTTGGGAGAAAAAAGAGTGATAGATTCGTTCTGTTTTTTTCTTCTTCCTACATCGATTTATGACGATGAAGGGAAAGAGAAGGGAAAAAAATGAGAGAAAGAAAGAGGATGCTTCTTCTATTTTTTTTTGTTCTTGTTCGCCGAACGGGCGCGCGCGCGCTCGCACTCGTATCCACACTGAGCGGAGTCGCAAAATGCGAGACACATACACATATTGAATGAATAGAAGTAGTAGTGCGCTCGTGAGTATACGTTAGCGTGTGTGTGTGTGTGTGTGCGTATGCATTGTTTGTATTGAAGCGAAAGAAACAAGAAAAAAAATTGAAGATTTAAAAAAAAAAACAACAATGTTTTTATTTTATTTTATTTTAGCATTAACTGATCATTCTAAATTCACAATAACGACGACAACGACGACGACGACGACAACAAACAATCCTATGTGTCAAATCGCTACAGTACAAAGTAGTGAATATAACGAAACTATTAAAATGTCTCCTAATGATTATACGATGACAACAAATAATATTAATCAGCATCAACATCATCATCATCATATTGACGATAGAAATTATTCTATTGATATTAATTCAAATATAAAATATTTTGTTGATATATATACAGCCGCATTACATCTAAGGTAATAATCGTTTTATATTCATCCATCATTTTGTTTTATTTATGAATGATAACTTTAGTAGTAGATTTTTATTTTCTTCTTAGTCCATTAACAAGGCACGTCTTTGTTTCTCGTGGGAGTCATCCAAATATCCATCTATTTCTTTTACCCTGTCTCTCTCTCTCTTGTACATCACTATTTACATTATTAAAACAGATGTCGAACAATTAACCTCATTTTGTTCTTTTTTTTTAGACAACGAATGCAAGAAGAAAATTTAATCCATCGTTCATATTCAGCGTATTTAAATGATGAAAATAGTCCACGTTCGTTATTTCATAATTGTTTTCATTCTTATGAAATTATTGATTGGCTTATAAAACAGCAATTATGTAAAACAATATATGATGGTCTAGAAATCTTTCAAGTTTTAGAAAAATTAAAAATTATTCATCATGGTAAGTTGTTTTTTGGCTTGAAGCCAGAAAAGGAAAAAAAAGAAGAAAGAATTTTTCTCTTTTTCTTCTGCTTCCATTCATTATTAATTTTGTATGTGTAAGCGGAAGCACAAGCGCGTAATTGCTTTTTTTTTCTTTCTGCCGACTGCGCGCGATCGACCATCTTAAGAGATACTTATAGAAAAAAAAGAACACAAAATATCGTAGATAGGTCAGCGTGAACTAAATTGTAAGAAATAAATAAGGCAATTTACATTGTATATACGTAGAAACAGAAGGATAAATAGATACATTAGCCACAGTCAAATACCATAAAATATAATAATATATTTTTAATTATTTTTTTATTAGTTTGTGATTTAAATGAATTCGAATATCCACCAACCAATTCATTATCACATATCAATGTCAAATATTTATATCGTTTCCGTCTTGATGATGGTACAGCGGATCAAAATCGTTCATTTCAACAATTTGCTACAATTTATGAAACATATACAAGGTTATTAGATATTCTTAAATGAAATAATAATATAATAATCATGCAATTTGTTTTTTCTTTCATATTTTAGTTTATTTACACTTGATAAAAGTCAGTGTCGTGGTGTAGATTTACAACAACAGATTCCATTAACAAACCCCTATGATGAACAACCAGGAATTACACTTAAAGGTGATAATTTAGCTCGTATGCTTGCATTACGTAGTGGTGCAAATATGCAAAATGTTGAACGTCTTGCTGATGATATGATTATGTATGGTCTTATTCGATTTGGTAAAATAAAAAAAAAATTTTTTTTCTCTATTTAAAATAAATTATCTTATTCTTTTTTTTATTTGTAGACGAATGTGATCAACAAAATGAATGTTGTTATTGTTGTACAAATAAATTTCATAATGATAATAATCATCAATATATTCTAAGTAATTCTCATCGTTTAATAGCAAAAAAACGTCTTGATCTTATTGCATTAATGCAAAATGATATTTTATTATCATCACCAATACATCATTCACCACCACTAACTCGAAATCAATCAAATACATTCGTTAGTGTATCATGTCGTAAGTTTACAACAATAAAAGAAACAAAACTATTTAAAATATAAATTGATTCTTTTTTTTTAGCTGATCGTTCATCATCAATATGTAATATTCCAGCAAACATCTCTCTTAATCGTACTCAAAGTAATTATCATTGTAATGATTCATTAAGCAAACTGTCACCATCATTACCAATAAACAACTGTTGCCATCAGTATTGTTCTCGTATATCACCTTCAACGCAAACATTTGTTTCATCATCATCATCATTAATACAACAACAAAATGGACGGCGACATCAAATATCAGGCGCAACTAGTAGTAATAGTTCATTAATTGATGATGACCACCATCATCAACAACAACAGCAAATTAATAGAAAAATTTCAAATGGTGATGATATTGATTGTACAACAAAATTAACATGTACAACAGTTCCAACTAATGAAGGATTTCGACGAAAAAAATCTGCTAGTTTAAATTCACCGGCCAATTCTGGTAAAAGATTTCTTTTCATCTCTTAAGTGAAATAATTACAATTATTGTTTTTTTTCTTCTTTAAATAGAAAATCGTCCAACCGCTGATGAACTTGAAAGATTAGAATTACCATGGAGTTGGAAAAGTTATTCAGTAAGTGAAATTAAATCTATAAAGTGTTCTAAAAAAAACATTTTTATTTTATTAAATTTAATAGGTTAAACGAGATCGACGTGGTTATGGATTGATTCTTCAAGGTCAAGGACCATGTTATGTTGAAAGACTGGATCCATATGGTTCAGCGTATACATCAGGAATTCGAGTAAGACTAAAAAAATAATTTCTTTAAAAAAAACTTACTTATTCGTTCTTTTTTTAACCAGATCAATGAATATATATATGCAATCGAAGGTGTTAATGTTCTACGTCGTTCAGGAAAAGAAGTTGAACGTTTATTATCAATGTTTGATAAATGTACAATATATACTGTATATAATCGTGATGATTATCCTCAAATAGCAACTCCACCTAATGAATTAAACTCTAATAGACTATATCCATTAAAACAACCATCATCATTATCATCGTCATTAAATGATTATAATAATAATAATACAAATATATTGCTAGCAACAATAAATAATTATTCATTAAATCAACAACAAATTCCATATTCATCATCACCACAACATCAACAAAATTCATCACCATCCTCATCAATTGATGGAACATCATCTTGTTCAATATCGCCAAAACAACCTGCAACGACGACGACGACGACGACGTCAGCAACATCAAAAAAAGGAGCATTAACGAAACATTTAAATTTTTTTAGACTAAATGCTCGATCTTGTTCGAATTCTTCATCATCAACACATACATTAAAATAATTCTATATGCAACAATAGTATATGTAACTCTCTTTTCTGGACCCGGTTTGTTCATTTATTTGTGTGTTCACTTCTCAGGTCATTTCTTTGGCTTAGTGTGTGTTTGTGTGTGTGTGTGTGTGTGTGCTTTTCTTTGCACGTTTTTTTTTTCTTGTACGATGCGATGCGCGCAGCACATCTGTCTATATAATTTTATTTAACTTGTAAATATTTCTTTCTGGTTTTTTTTTTATCTCTTTTTTCTTTTGTTGGAATTTGTGATGTGATTGAAACAACAAAGAAAAAAAAAATTTGACGACAAATTGACAGAAAAAGAGAGGAGAGAGATGAAGAAAAAATAAAAAACAAAGTTTGAACTGAATATAGTTTATATTTATTTTTCTTATAGACAAAAGATAATGAATAATAATTAATATTAATATGTTTATAATATATATGATGAATGAATAGATAAGATAAATATATTGAAATCAAGCTAGAGAAATATTGATGAAAAATAAATAAGAAGATTTTTTTTCAATGAAAAAAAACAATACTATCAACATTTTGATAAATAATTAGAGAATAATGTTGATATTTATAGTAGTTTGATGTTTCCTTTTGTTGTATTTTCATGCATGAATGACGAAAAAAACTAGGAATACGCAATTCACTTAAAAAGAGATTGGCACTTAATTACACATGGCAGAGAGTTATTAGAAGATAACAACGAGCAACTGATATGCTAAATAACCCATTGAATGATGTCTTTGATCTGCAGCATTTGTCATTATTAGCGGCTTTTATCTTTCTGAGAAAACAAAAAAACGAGAAGACCAAATATAGAACGAAGTAGGTCATAAGAAATTTGGTATCATTAAGTAAAAAACGACCTTGTCATTATGTCGTATAAGATAAAATCATGATATATTATATATAATTTGAATATTTATTACAAAAAAATGACTAGTCATTTTCAACAATAATATTATTTTATTGTACTTTTTACACACAAAACATTTATCACAATGAAAAATATTTATAATAATTAAAAATTATTCGTTCGCTTTAATTGATTGATTAATAAGCCATTTTATACCATCTGTAAAACCTTCATTTCTTGAAATACTACACATACATAATTTAACTCGAGGATCTTCTACATTAAGAAAGTTTTCAATTTGAAGATGATATCTTAATTCTTGTTCGCCACAGGCTGTTGCAACATTATCAATTTTATTGGCAAGAATTAATATAGGTATTGATTGAACATCTTCATCATCTAAGATTTTCATTAATTCATGACGTGCTTCAGGTATACGTTGACGATTACTTGCATCAAGGATAAAAATAAGACGAGTCGATGCAAACATATACTCTTTCCATAAACGTCTTGCTTGTGCATGACCACCAACATCAGTTACAGCTAGATGAGTTGAACCAATTTTAACTTCATATTTTGATGGTTTAGCACTTGGTGCTGTTTGAATAAGACGGTTTTGAGTTAAACGACCCGTTAATGTTGTTTTACCAGCATCATCAAGACCAACAAGAAGAATTGCTCTACTATCAGAACTATTTGATGACCACCAAAACCAAGTATATTCAGTGACTAAATCGCGCATCCATGTTAATACAGACCACATTATTTGTATATAATTGAAAAATTAAATTTGAAATTTTCTCTACACAACTTTTATATAACATGACAATTGTGTGTAGACGTGGCTGTATTGCGCAATTACAGCCACGTCAAAAACAAGTATACGTGTAGTACTTTTTTTTTCATTTATGATTAGTTTACCTGTGACATTCTAAAGCGCTTGTAGAAAGGGAAGTGATACATAAAGTAGAGATTGAGAGAAAAAGGGGATGAAGAAAAAACCAGTAGTGGGAAGAGGGGAAACCATGTGATTGTTAATTGCAAATACTTTCTATCCACAATCAGGTGAAGACTCTTGTATGTCAATGATTAAGAAACTGGGAATTTATTTTTTTTAATCAAGTTTTTCACTCTTTTTCTCTTCTTAAAATCATTCCAAAAAGTGAAATCTTCAAAGGAGAGTGACAACGACTTGTTCGTCTTGTATATCATTTTGAATCTGTTTAAGATATATTTTTTCACGTACTGATCTAATTCTTTCTCATGTGTAAACGTATACAGTTCTTGCTCTCCTATCCATGAGCATCGGTGGATTAACCTTAGCCGGGCTCTATATTTCTTCCATAGAATCTTTTGTTGTCTAGTCAAAAGATAGGAAAAAAGATAAAAAAGCCAAGAGTAAAAAGGAAATGAATACGGAAAAGAAACATTACCTCAGGACTTCGGTATAGATATCTCTATTGTACTTTAGTCATTTTAATTTAGCATATAATTGTTAAATCTTTTCTAGACAGTTAGCTATCGTTTTATGCATTGAAACGTATAATAAATGTTTTACGTTTCTAGTTGTAGATATAATACGATGTTTATTAAACAAATATAAATAAACTATTTTCTATTTCTACAAGATAATCAATTCTCTTTAAATATTATTACATTCTTAGTGTGTACGATAACAATTTATCATAAACTAAACAAACTTGTCATACATGTCTGGCAAATACGCATAATTTAAATGAACATGTTTATTAAAGCAGATGACATATCGATTAATCTGTGACATTTGTATTAGAATATTGTTAAAAATTATTGATTAGACATCGACATATGTCATCTCGACATACATAATAGAATACTGCATATTTTATTTAGTTTGAAGTAATCTGATACCATAAAATATATTTAACTAGTTCGTCTTTTTTTAGAATGTCGATGATGTTTATCACTAGTACTACGACTAGATCGATGTTTTTTTTTCGATGATGAACGATGTTTATGTTTAGATTTTTTTACATTATCTTTATTGGATCTATAGAGAAAAAAAGTCGTTTTTTTTTTAATTTTTCTAAAAATATAGACTTACTCATTTTGATGATGCATTTGTTTAATTAATGTCATTTCATGATCGATCATGTCACGAGCACTCTATAAAATTGCTATGAACTAGATTTCTATTTTAAAACAAAGAAGTACATACGTCATATAAAGATTTCATATTTGTTCGAGTTGTATATTTCGGTCGACGACGTTTTTGATCACGTAATTCAGCTAATTTATCTATTTGTTGAGTTAGATTCGAATCTATAGTAGTAAAGATATAATAATTATTTATTTATTTTCGATATAAAAACTAACGTTCTGATTCAATAGAATGATTATCATTATTTGGAAGTACAATTGATGGTACAATTCCTAAACGCATCGCTTCATTATGTACAGATTGAGCAATTAAACATCGTTCATTAGGTGTTAACAAAATTGTTGTTTGTTCAATATTTAAAGGAATATCTTTAGCAAAAAAAAATGAATCATATTATAATTATGTAATGATTATTTTTACCATTTTTAATTGGTAAAGATCGATGAATAATATGACTAAGTATTGATGGAGTAAAAGAAATATCAGATTGTTTAAGTAATTGTTTTTCTTGTTTATATTCAGCTAATTCTTTCTAGATATATATAAAAAATTGATTTAATTTATCTATAAAAAAACAAAACCTTCGATTACCAGATAGTCTTTTGAAAAACCTTCTTTTATTAATTGACAATTTTTTATATGTTTTGAATGAGTCGGAAATCGATGTCCTCGATCAATTGGACATTGAATTAATGTTTCTTTCTAAAAATCATTGTTAATTTCTTATCTGTTATTTGAAAAAAACATACTTCTTTCAATAAACAATCTTCTGTCCAACCAAATTCATTTAATAAATCATTAAATTTTGATTTTTCTCTTTTAAAAAATATGATTTCATCATTAATCATTTATCTAAACACAGGATACTAGAGCAAAGAAATGTTTTTTTGTAACTCTCTTCTGATTAGTATATTTTAATAAATCAGATAAACATCGATATTTAACAAAAGGAAAAAAATATATAGAAAGAAACAAAACAGGAGATACAAAACAAAGTTAAGTATATATTATCTGATAATAAGATGATCTCGACATGTGGTTTTAATAATCATCGTTCTCAAAAAAATTGTAAAAGAAAATTCTAGCTGTTGTACAGATCTTGAATGATAGTGTTTTAAAAAGTTTCTTGTGTATGTGTGTTTACATTAAACTTTTAAATAATTGTCGTAGAGTTTTCCAAGCTATCGTTGATACATTTTCTTGTGCACGTATTAATGATAGTCCATGACCACGAAATTGTGCAAGTAGACGATTATCTTTTGATAAACTTAATATTGATTGATATTGATTTTCATCATTTGTTATTAATTGATCATCATATTGTATATGAATATTTAATTTTTGACATGCATTTATTAATTGTTGTTTAATAGTTATTGTTGATTGATGATTAAAATCAGTTTTTTCATGTTCATTGATTTGTTCTTCAAGAAAATGTACATGTTTTTTTTCTTGTTGATGTTGTTTATGAGAATTTTCATCACGTTTAAGTAAACCTTTGATGGGTGGTGGTGGTAATGTTATATTTATTGATCCATAGATATCAGGATTTAATTTTGTAAGTAAATTTTCAGCTGCTATTCGTTTTGCTGCTTGTTTATTCTTTCCATAACCATCAGCAAAATCATTTTCACCAAAACGAACTTGAAAATGAAATTGTTTATCATTCAATGAATATTCTAATTGAATAAATTCGATTTTTATATCACGTGCTTGTCCGATTTGATAAAGACGTGTAATTGGATTGATTTCTTCTGATAAACTATAATTATTTGAACCTTTTTGTTCAATAAATTTTTTATGTTGATTACTATGATTACGAGCTGATTTTTGTTTTGTTTTTGGTTGTGAGTTATCAATTGGTATTGGTAAAATTTCTAACATTTTTTCGGCTGCTATTTGTTTAGCTTCATGTTTTGTTTGACCAGTACCAACTGTAGAATATTGTTCACCAACACGATATGTTACTTTTAATGGATCTTCATGTACAATTTGAACTGAAAGTCCAAGTTGTTTAGCACGTTCGTACATAAGAGAAATTTGGGATTTTTCTTGTGCCTAAAAATACTAAAAAATTTAAAGATCGATATAATTTTGTAAAACTGACTTGTGATGGTATTGATATGATAAGAGGCATTTGATTTTGATTTATAAAACGTAATGCTTGATGTGCACAATTCATTCGAGCTTCTTGATGTGATAAACCATGTCCATCGAAATATATATCTTGTCCAAAATAGAGACGATAAAAAAACATTACACGAGGACGACTCCATGACGAATTCATTGGTGGAGTAAGATATTGTTCATTTAACAATATATATTGAGTAGGAACATGATGACGAGCAGCCCAAGTATTTAAAATAACAGCTGGAGATTGAGATACTTAAGTAAACAAAAATACTTATTCATTTATTTTTTGATTATAAAAATAAACATACTGTTTGTTTTTTGAATCAAATTATCCGAAGTTGATAAATGTTTATGTTCATTAAGAGCTGTTTGTGCAGCAGAACGTTGTGCTAATTTAATACTTCGATCAATACCGATATATTCTTTTTCACCAAAACGAAGTCGTATAGTATAAATTTTTGCATGAGCTGGACCTGTCTCTTTTTCAAGTTGGTATTCAGCGGTTATCTGATAAAATATTGTTATAAATATTTATTTAATCAATTTATTGTTTTTTTACTTTATTTCGTCGAGCTAAATCATGAACAGCTTTAATTGGAGATATTTTTAAAGGATCTTGTTGCATTTTCACATAGACTATATATACAGAGTGATAAGATGAATATATATATAGAAAATATATTTTCTTTTATCACATTATGTATCTTTCATATTAGAAACAAATACAGGACTAAGTTATAAATAGATATTCATACGATAAAATACTATTATTCACCAGGAAAAATATTTGTGATTATAAAATGTATAAGAAGGAAGTAAATCAGTGTGTTCTTTTTTATTCTTTCATCAGTACTATGTAATTAAAAAAATCTGGATTGGATTATACTTTAGAAAAAATATGGCGAAAGATGGTGTGCATATACGATTTTGAAATGTATGTCAATGATAACTATTGTAGAATCAAAGAAAGAAAACTTACCATTGTCTATGTCACATAATCGTTCATTTGATGCACCCATAATAAGTTCGGAGAATTGATCTGTTTTAAATAGAAATATATGTATCAATCTAAACAAGTAAATTCAACAACTGATGCTCTATTTAAATAATAATTTATATATATGAATATTTGCGAAGGTGCGTATATGAAGGTGAAAATAGTGTTTGTGATGATAAATATCTTTTACTTAAGGTAGACGTACCTAGTTGTAGGTTATGTTCTTGTTATAAGTACTCATGTATGAGACATCATTATCGATGTCTTCATATTGGGGAATTTTTTTATTGATAATTAAAAATCGAAAAATCTAATCATTTGATATAGTAAAAAAGATAGTTATTATGACATATTATCAAGGATAAAAGAGATTAATAGATAAGACTGATGTTATACGTCTATACAAGTTCCATGATCAAAGAGTAAAGAGTTCAGCGCTCTCAAATTTTCAAAAAATTTGACTTTCTACTAAAATTTTTGAGAATTCTAGAACAAATCGAAAACAATATATCTGTTCTTTCGCAAAAATTTCTTTTTCTACAAACACAATACACTGTTTGAAATAGCGCAAAAAACATTAAACAAGGATCAATACCTATTCTAAAAGTATAAGGCCAAATCTCAAACAAAAACACCCAGAGCCTTCTGTTCTGTTTATATGTATCTCTCTGTCTCTCTGTATTTGAACAATGCATCTTTTTTTTCATCCTTTCGTCTTCTTCTTTTTCTTCTTATGCATATCATCGAAAATATGCGTGTGAAGAAATAGGAGAAGACGAAAGAACGAAAAAAGACGTATCGTTCAAAGAGACAGTGATGGAATGAAGGACTCTAGTTATTTTTACTGGAGATTTGACCTTATTCTTTTAGAATAGGTATTGATCTTTGTTCAATTGTTTACACTATTTCGAATGCTGTAATTCCTGTTGTATTTGCAAAATTTGAGAAGTTTGACATGGATTGTCGAAAAATAATTTCAAAAATAAATAAGAAATGATTTTTTTGATCATCTTAATCAATTGTTTTTGACACAGCATCAACGACAAAATAGTTGCGAACACTATTTTTGATCTAAACTATAGCCTTTACAGACAAAAGAAATCTTCCAGTATATATATACATATATATTCATAATACAAATTATTGATATACTGTTCAAGTTTTTGAATATACTCTTGAATAACATTAATTGATAGTTCACTGTATATTTATTTTTGTGTACTATGTACTTTTATCTCTATCTCATTGATTGTCCATTTGTACTCGATCTAAAGCAAACAAAAAATTAATCGGTTGCTGCTGCCGATTTTGACTTTATGACTATTATTGACGCAAATTCTATATTAAACTCGAGAATAACATTTCCACTGAACAAAACCAATATGTATAGTCCATACTTTGGATCAAAAATAGTATTTATTATCATTCTGTCCCCAGTGGATTCATCAAAAAAAAAAGAATATTTCATCTTGTCAGAGATATTCTCCTTGGAATAGAGATAAAAAGCAATTACATTGCTATCGTTTAGATGGCATTATCGTTTTATTAAACGAAATTATCGTAAGAGGAAAGAACGTGATCATCCGTTTATTAATTTTTCTATAAATGAACACCAATCTAATGTTCTTTTAATAATTCTTTCTTTTGTTCGACTTGACGAACGAGAGAAAACTAATACTATCGTGATTATATTTTTTTCTTAATAACTCGACTTAGGCATTTTCCATATTATCTAAAAGAAAATTATTTTCTGGAAAATCTAACTTCAGAATGATTAATTGAAAATGTCTACTCAATTGTCGTTTTTTTTTCTATGCAAATAACTCTGAATTTGTATTAAGTATATTAATATCATGCCTTTCTATATACAATTTATAGAGAGAAAATAGAATTAGGAAATATTAGTTTTTAATATTTTACATTAAGAGTATGTTCGTAAGTAACAATTAGAAAAATGATTAAATCTGAATTGTTCTGTTCGAAGAAGATTGTAAAAAGTTTTTCAATTAAATATATCATGTATCAATTGTATGTAAATTAATTTTCTTTTGTTAATTTAAAAGTATTCATGCATACCAATACTATAGGATTTTATCAACAAATATTTTAATTAAGATAAACAATCTTGTTATTTTGACTTACAATAATTATAGTTCAACAGTAAATTTACAAAAAGAAACACCTATCTTCTTTCATTACTAACACTCTAAATTCATCAATATCGTATTTTTTTTATCAAAATTTTAGTAAATTAAAAAGTAATCATCGAAATGTTGTTCGATACATTTATTTGAGTTCTTTAAATGATGTTTCGATTGACTTTAACATATAATATATGAACATCATTTATTAACAAATAAAATCAATTTCTCTGAGTCGCTATATTTTCAGGCACAAAATTTCCTAATAATATCTGCTGGAAAATATATAATTCAAGTACTTCCTATTTCCCATACACCAGACATTTCCTAATAAAATTTATGGGTTTTCTATTGACATTACAATACTCCCACACGCTACAAACAATCAGAAATCATGTATCTCTCTCTCTCTATAGATATATACATATATGTCATCTGTCAAGAAATGTCATGATTACAATATTGAAATACTGATTAATATACAACTATATTTCATCGATCTATCTTTTTACATATCTTATATTGTAGAAAGAACATCTTATTTATGTTTAATTACTATACATTTGAGAATCTATCAGTTACTACAAACAAACAAACACAAAAACAAATCATATTGCAAGTAATATAGTCTCTGATCAATCAATTATTCGATTTCATCAATTGATACCATAGAACGTAACACGTACATCATGTCGCTTGTTGTTTTTTTTATAATATTGATTCAAACAAGATAATTATTTTTTTTTCTCACCATGTAAAATATATATATATATAGATATATTTATTGAATATTTTAATGATGACTCAGTATCAATGTATTATATTAGTGACAAGCATACATAATTAAACGTGATATTATAGATGATGAAATGATTCAGTCTCTAATGCAAATATAAAAGAGACAATCGACAATAAAAAGTTCAGGCAATAATATCAATAAATTTTCTTTTTTTATCCTCAAAGGTGAATGTTGTGAGTATATTAATTGAAAAATATATAAAAGAGTATAAATGCAATAATTAAAATTTTGATTCGGCTTGTCCACATCGTCGACATGAATTTTCTGATACTTTATTTTCTTGAGTACAATGACTGCATCGCCAAATCAGTGATTTATTAGTTGTTGTTGTATAGTCTGAAGAATCCGTTGTTGGCATTGATGATAGATCACCTCTACTAACATATATTGGTTCAAGATATTCTGGATTTTCTGCTCTATCAACTGGTTGTTCTTCTTCTTCCTCATAATAATATTCTTCTTCTTCTGGTTGTTGTTGTTCATCTTTTCGTGATCGTTTATTTTTTTTTCGTCGAAAAAAAATTCGTTTAAGTGTATCATCAAAGTTTAATAGATCGTGTTGCATTTGATGCATTGATGCGTCATTTTCAATAGCTTGGCCACCAAAATATTTCTTAGGTATTTTCTTTACTTCATCTACAACTTCTTCAACGGGTACAGCATTTTCACCAGTACCATATGCCCAATCATCTACGGACCAACTTGATGTTGTGCCTTGCTTATTACCCATGTTCTATTATAGACGACAGAAACTAGAGCATACAAAAAAAACTAACTGCAAACAACGTTTTTTCTCTCCTTCACCTTTAAGCATATTTTTTTGCTATATTCATTCAAGCGTAAAGTCACATCTTTGAGTCATATCTATCGAACTCCCCTATTAATCAGCAATTTCAATAGAAATCAATGAATGCTTGTAATGAATAGATATATTTATATTAAATGAGAATGTATCAAAAAAAAACAACATCAATAACAACAGCAAGAGACAAAAATGTCATCGAATATACAAAAAGAAAAAGGAAAAAAAATGAGCATTCAATACATTTATAAAAAAACACATACAAACAAACTGACGAACAATTGAATGAATACTGACCAGTATAAGATACAGATAACATGAATTGACATTGATATATATATATATTTGTTTTATTTTTGTTCACATCACTGTTAAATAGAATTCTCTAAGAAAGAAATTTTATGAGCAACAACAGAAAATTCCTCTACGTTTAGAAGGCGCTGGAGTAAGAGCAGCTAAAATAGCTGTATCAAATGTTTCTTTGAGATTTTCTTGTGTTAATGCTGAGCATTCAATATAAGCATATGCACCATATTCTTTAGCTGCACGTTCACCTTGCTCACGTGTTACAGGTTTTTGTTTCGATTTAGCTAATAATTCGACATCAGGTGTACTATTACGAAGATCAGTTTTTGTTCCAACAAGTACAAAGGGAGCTGTACGAGATGATGATGATTGACGAATTTCATCAATCCACATTTTAAGTGCATTATTAAATGATGTTGGCGACATAACACTGAAGCAAACAAGAAATACATCTGTATTTGTATAAGAAAATGTACGCATTAATTCAAAACCTTAAAAATAGAAAATAGAAAATAATTTTTGATTTTTCTTTTAAATTAAATTTCATACCACTTTGACCAGCTGTATCAAATAATGCTAATGTATAAGGTTCACCACTAATCATCACAGTAACAGAATAATTATCAAATACCGTAGGAACATATGCTTGTGGAAATGTATTTGTTGTATAGGATATAAGCATAGATGTTTTACCAACACATCCATCACCAACACAAACACATTTTATAGTTTTATTAGTGAAATTTCCACCGATTTGATTCGATGTTGACGGTAAATTTGAAGTATTTGGCATTATCTAAAAATGAACATATATGATATAATTTATCAAAAAAAGTGAAACAATGTATATCTTTTTTCTACACGTATGTAAAGGATGTTTCTGTTTAATGGTATTTTGGTGTCTGTCAATCATATTAATAGAATGTAGAAGAGAAAAAAGAATAGATAAGAACAAATGAAGAATGTAGGTGGTTCGCAGAAAAAGAAGAACATGAAAATAAATTGTATAAAGCTATTTATGTTACTAATTTATCAGATAAATAAAAAACAAAACTAACTTTAAATACTATTATTATGAATAAAATCAAAAGATGAATGAATTCATTCTTCTTTTTTTGATCGATAAAAGAAATACCTAAACTTAGTGGAATCATATTGAATGAGAAATTCTTTTTCTTTTTTTGCTAATCAAAATGTAAATATAATTAAAGTTAAACTTGCATCAGATGTTCATTCTTTCTTAATGACCTTGTCTATTTGAATCAAGTTCTGAGATAATCAATGAATGAGTAAATTAATTCAATTTGATATAAATAAAATAATAGTCTATCTTGATTTTGTTCATTATAAAAACCCAACTTAAATCCCTAAAATATTCAAAAAAGTTAAATATTCTTATTTGCTTTGTTCATATAGTTTTGACTTATTCGTTTTCATTGGTATTCAATTTGCCATTAATTATCTCATGGCGACCTCCATTTAACTTTCTTTTATTTTATTGGTTCAAATATCTTATCTATCAGCTGTATAACAAAATCAGTAAAAACTTATTTTTCATTTAATTATTTAATTCAAATACAAAAATTATTTTTAATATTATCCTTAATCTATTTTAATTCGAGGTTAACAATATTTGTTTAGTCAATCAAAAAATATTAATTATTTTCTATAATAATAATGGTGATATAAATATACAATAAGCATATTTCGTTGATTCTTTTATATAGTTAATTATATTTATTTATTTTAATACAAAAATGCCTTTTTATTTTTTAATGATTATTCAACGTATAGTTAAGTTTTTTATTAGTTTTTGGACTTTTATTTTTGTTACAATACGTGGATCGAGAAAAAAAGTATTGAAAATTAAAAAAAATTTCTATGATAATATGGATAGAAAATTTTTTTTGTAAATATTTTAGCTTATTCAATTTCAATCAGTAAAATATTATAATTGTCCTCTACAACCAATATCAATTCATCGATTACGTATGTGTATTTTCATATTTATATAACTAATAAATATACGATTTATGTTTTAAAGATTTTTTGCCTAAGAAGATTTTGGTATTAGATCTAGATGAAACTTTAATTCATTCTCATCATGATGGTTTTTCACGTAATATAGCAACTAAACCAAGTGGACCGCCAGATTTTATAGTTCGTGTTGAAATTGAAAGACATCCTGTACGTTTTTTTGTTTATAAACGACCACATGTTGATTATTTTCTTGAAGCAGTAAGAATATTAATTATTTATATATATATATTAGTTACTAATTTTATTTATTTAATTAAGGTAAGTAAATGGTATGAACTTGTTATATTTACTGCGTCCATGGAAATTTATGGTTCAGCTGTCACGGATAAATTAGATAATAATCGAAATATGCTCTCACGTCGATATTTTCGTCAACATTGTACGCTAGAATACGGTGCATATTCAAAAGATTTATCTGTTATTAATAAAGATCTGTCACAAATATTTATTTTGGATAATAGTCCTATAGCTTATCGTTGTTGTCCACTGAATGCCATTCCAAGTAAATAAAAAAACTTAGAAACTTAGTTTTTGATAATTATTTTTTTCTTATATATTTTTAGTTAAATCATGGTTTTTTGATCCAACAGATACATGTCTATTATCGTTACTTCCATTTCTTGATGCATTACGATTTTGTCATGATGTTCGTTCTGTATTAGCAATGAACTTACATTTACATCAAAATCAAATGATAACAAGCACAAATTCACTAACAACACAAGTTATTCCATTTTCTACGCAATAAAATAATACTACTAATAATAATAAATTTCGTTTATTCTTTTTTTTTCTTCTTCGTTTGTCTCCTTGTTTCGTTCATCACTATTTATTGTACATTGTTTTGTATGTATGCATGTGTATGTATTTTATAACAGAGGAAAAAAAAAAGAACGAAAAGCCCGGTTACGTGGCCAGACCAAACAGTTACCTATTGTTATTCGATACTTGCCATAGTAAACTATAACACCAATGAGCAAATGAGTTAGTGACACTGTTATGTGGTGTGTCGTATCCCCCCTTTGCTCTTTAGCCCTTCCGCGTGGTTTACTCAGCACGTTTGCATACAATATTTCTTTTGTCGTCATTCTCTCTTTCTCTCGCTCTCCTTATTGTAACGTAGGACGAGGACAAAATGAAGGTATTCAATCTCTTTTTATTTTACTCTTCATCAGTAAGTATTAGACGTACGCATACATAGCTTTTCTGGAAGAATCGATCGATTAATATGATAAAACAGGATATAGAGCATAATAAAATAACAAAAACTAACGATCAAACGATGTCTTCAGGTCGTGTTAAACAAAGTAATATATATTTTAATTAAAATATTCCCCTCTTATTAATATTTGATTTTTATAGTTTGTCAGAATTTTTTATTACATTCGGATTCTGGTTTAGCTCATCGATTACAAGAAGAAGAATGTAAAAAAAAAAAAGAAATTATATAAATTTTAATTAAAATTATTTCATATAATCATAGTTGCTGTACATTTTGATCGAAATCGTACACATCGACGTGAAAATCGTCTAGGTGTAAGTGCAGCTCGTAATGTTGAAGAAGAAGAAAAGCAGTCATTAATTGCCAAACAATTTGAGTTTTATCAACAAAAACAAAAACTGTTAGTATTTTAATATTATCTTTTTTCGATTTCAATTTTTATCTATCAAATATTTATATTTATCATCAATAGAGAAGAAAATGATATTGCATTAGCACGACAATTACATGAAGAATATGAAATTCAATCAAACTCAAATCAACGATCATCTACTAATACTCATTATCATTCACATGATAAAAAGGTATGAGTAAACAACATTACGTTTACAATGATATTCATCTTTGTTTCTATTGACAATAGGATTACTATGAAGATATTGATGAATCATTTACATTTGAAGATACAAGTGGTGATGAACATTTAGCACGAATTTTGCAAGAAGAAGAAAGACTATTATCAGCTGCAGCAGCTCATCGTGCTCATTACAAATCAACATTTGTATAAATAGATAAAAAAAACTGTTTCACTTTAATGTATAGTTTTTCTTCCATATTTCGAACAAATTAATAAAATACTATTCTGAACTACAAAAAAAACAAATATCATAATCCTATTATTTAACTGGTGTTTTTAATCGTTAATTAATTCCATAAGCTATGAACGGATAAATAATCGATAGAATATCTGTAATTGATGAAATATTGCTTCTATAAAGATTTTTCTTATCATACATGGATTTTACTAATCTTTATTTCAATGAAATGCGTACGGCTCAAAAAAAATAAAAATAAATATTGGCATCTACTATTTTAAAATGAAAATAAAGAAATATTTTGAATGAGATCAATGGCATGTTCTGTCGTCGATCAGAAAGAAATCTTTCCTGTATATAAAATGATGATAAAACAATTTAATCAAATATTTGTCGAGATCAAATGATTTTAGAAAAAAACGAACTTCATAAAATTCTTTTATAAGATTTTGATAATACTTTATTATAGATCGAAATAATAGTTTTCACACCTATGAATCTTAAATCTAGAGGAATATTTTATTTGGAGTATTCGAAATCTATATTTAACCGTTGAATGACAAAGAAACAATACAAGTGTAAGTTGAAATACGAAACAGTTTCATTTGTTTTTCGATCTTTGAGTTTTATTTCTTCTCTGATAGAGCACGTACGATGATAATTCGGATTATAAAGATTTATAAATTATTAAAGTGATTTGACATATATTATGTCACTAGTCACGATTAACAAATATCGATAGTCTATTACTAAAGTTTAAACCATGCTATTCTCAATACAAAAATAAACACGAACTCTTATTTAATCTATGGAATAAAAACCATTGATCAATGGAAATAATAAAGAATTCTAATTGTTGAATAGACTAATAATAAAAGATTAAAAAAGAAATATAAAACCACAATTTTAAATAGATAAAAATACATTATGATCTCTTGAGTGTGTCTACTTAACAACAAGAATTACGAAGATAAATAAAGATTTGTTATCTACAATAAATACTGAATTTATCTGTGTTGAAACAAATGGTGATATTAATAATATACGAATTTTTAATATGTTTTTATAGAATTAGATTACTCGTTACATATAAAACATCTAAATATATTGATGAAAAATTAATATTACATATCTAATCAATGAATTAAATCTACTATAAAAAATCCATAGTTATTCATAATAAATTTATTAATATTTTTTTGTCTTTATTTATTATGAATATAAGAAGAAATATAAAAGTTAATAAAGACAAAAAAAATGCGTTGTTATCTTATCTTTTTACTTTCTCGTTGATAAATACTATCTTGCTTTTTTTAATATGTATCAGTTTGTTGTATAATTTCATCATTTATTATTTTTACGTTATCAAAATCTCTGTACTACTTCAAAAGAAACTATCATAAAGAGTTCAATGACACACATATAGTTATTTTATACTTTGTTCTCTTCTCCTTCTTACTATATATTATGCATGATTAGTAAGTTCAATAGTCTTATTTTCTCTTCTGTTTTGCTTTTTATAATCATCTTATCGAAATACAAAACCATTGACTAAAATGTACGTATATAGCTTTAAATAAATTTAGATTTTCCTCTCAAATTCTATGAAAATACTGATTTTAACCTAAAAGGACGATCGAATGATGTACCAATGTCATTGATTTCAGATAAAATCAATTCATTTGTTTCTTTTTGGTACTTTGTAAAATAAATCTTAACAAATTAGATAAAGAGTATATAAATGATATAATCAGAGATCTTTATTTAAGATAATATTTTCATTTCGAATATAATAAGTTGTATATAATAGAAGAGCTTTATCGTTGAGTATGAAAGGAGAAAAAAACGCTTAAAACATCATTAGAAAGAGTTCAAATATGTATATAAACTATGTCGATAAAAAACAAATAAAAGTAATCAATAGTCATTCAATGGCAATTTAAACTTCAACTTTCTCTTAGCTATATGAAACTATAGAAAAAAAAATCTTTTTTTGAAACAATACGATGAATATATAATAAATTGACCGATGCACATGAAAGAATCATTTCAATTTTTAGTTCAACAAATTTGTTTTAGAAAGTATTAAAGTATTGATTGTATTCGATATATTTGAATACTAGTACAACTTATAATGTTATGCGTTCGTTTAATTCTTCTAACAAGTTTTCTTATTCCATTAATTAATTGTCAAACAATTTATGAATTATTAAATTCATTCCGATTTTTGAATGAAGGTTCTATATCAAAATCCGATATTTATGAATATCAATATGAATATGTAATGTACACAGAACCAGAAAACGTAACAAGAGAAAGATTTGCATGGGTAGAAGAAATTGCTCGACCATATCTATATCAAAGAGATTCAACTAAACCTTTACAATGTGATTCAAGTCCATTATTATCTGCAACAGATTTACCGGGTGCTGATTTCTTATCAATTATACCATCATCGGCTGATCCATCTCTTTGTCACACATTATGTTGTAATTATATGTCATGCGCTGCTTGGTCATATGCTGCATCGTCACCAGTAGATTTTAACGATTGTAAAAAAGAACAACCATGTTGTTATCTAAAAACTTATGTTCCAAAGTCTCTTGATAATCCAAATATTATATCAGCAATTATGAATCGTACATTTCCATATAATCATCCACCGACTGGATTAAGATCTGCTGTACCATTAGGTGGTATAACAACAGGCTCAATTGAATTACGTGGTGATGGAACATTTCATGAATGGACAGTTGAAAGTCAATCTCCAGCATCTGGAGCTAAATATGGTGTTGTTGGTGATGCATTATTAGCAATTCGATTAAAGAATTTACAAACCAATGAAACTGATACTCGATTAATACGTACACATCCACATCATGATTTACAAGGTATAGATACTATTAGATATCATGGTTCATATCCTGTTAGTAAATTAGAATTAATTGATTATACATTAATAGCAAATATGGATTTATATGCCTATTCAATTCTTAAACCAGGAGATTTAAATCGTTCAATGACACCAGCTATTATTTTTTCATTAAATATTCATAATCCTAATGATTATCCAATTAGTATTGATTTTATGTATAATGCACCATTATCAGTTCAAATCGATCAAATAAGACTTTCAAAAAATATTCTACAACAAATTGCAAGTGATACATATATTCAATGTATATCATTATGTGATCAAAATAGTTTATGTGCTTCATGGAATTGGCAAAATATGAATAATCAAAGTACATGTATATTATATAGTGATATTGGAAATAATGTTCATTTAAATGGTCATGTTAGTGGTATACGTGGACAATGGACGTACGATAAAAGTGGTCCATTAGTTTTAGATCGTCCAGGACATATGCCTTCAAATGGTCAATATGTATTATGGCCATTTTTATCTTCTGATCAAACAATTACAGCAACTGTTGATAATAATATTAATAATATATTAAGTAATTTTTCAGCATATGGTGGATGGTATCAACAAACAGAAATCAAAGGAACTGGTGCTAATGGTGCTGTTTCAATTTCGACAATATTACAACCTGGTGAGAAAAAAACTTTATCAATATTATTTGCTTGGTATTTTCCACATCATAATTGGTTAGATTTACCATTAGATAATTATTATTCATTATTATTCAATAATGTAACAACAGTTGGTCAATCAATAGGAATCGATAAAGATGATAATCAATTAAAATTAATTCTAAAAGATATTTTAACATTACATAATGTTTATTTTAATTCTAGTTTACCAAATTATTTAGTTGATTCATTAATAAATAGTGCTTCACATATGCGCAGTGCAATGTATTTTTCAAATGGTGATTGGAGACAATGGGAAGCTTATGATTGTAATGATGTTGATAGTGTACATAATGATCATCAACGTCATTTACCATATATTTTATATTTTCCTGAAACAGAAAAAAATAAAATGTATACATGGGCGAAATATCAACAAGCAGATGGAATGATCCAAGAAACATTTACAGTTGGTTGTATGGGTGATACAGTTCCATATGATCAACATGGTGGAAGAAATATGGGCGATGTAACAACAATATTTATATTAGAAACATTAGAATTATATCGTTGGACAAATGATTTCAATTTTTTAAAAGATATGTATTCACATGTTGTAGCTGGTATACAATGGCAATTAAGTGTATCAACAGAATTTGGTTTACCTGAACATTTAGAATGTACTTATGATATACCAAATATGAGTCAATATCCAACAACAACATTTAATTCATTCATGCATTTAGCTGCATTACGTGCATGTATGGAATTAGCACTGATTATGAATGATACAAATACTTATAATCAATGTTATGAACCATTTATTCGTGCTAATAAACAAATTGATCAATTATTATGGTATAAAGATACTACAGATACAGGTTATTTTTTAGCTTACACAGGTGGAGCAGGTGAAAAAGCAATATTTACAGATGCATTATATGGTCAAGTATTAGCATTTACATATGGATTAGGTCCGTTATATAATATATCAATAATGAAAAAACATTTAGAAAGTGAAGTTAGATTAGCTGATACACCATATGGTTTAAGAATGTTAACTGGACGTGAACCATTAACAAATCCACAAGATAATTCTATATGGATGGGTGCATCACAAGATTGGTCTGTATTAAATTTATGGTTTAACATGGATCCCGATAGTGCATTAATACAATCTGAAAAAGGTTTAAATCTTGTTAGACAAACATTAAATGATCAATGGAATGTACATGGTTTATATGCAGCTGATGGTTATGGTATTGGTGGAAAACCATGGGTCACATCACATTATGGTTTTCATATGGTTTTATGGCATTTACCATTTGCATTATCTGGTCAATATACAGATTTAGCTAAAGGTATATTATTATTTTCACCTAAATTACGATCACCATTTATTTTACCTGTACTTATTCCAAATATTTTTGGAACAATAAGTTCAACTCCATTATTAAATGGACAATCAACTTATACATTTACATTAACAATTGGAAAATTATCTTTAAATACACTTGCTATTAATAATGCTAAATATCCAAGTACTGTTAATTTAATAGCTGGACAATCAATACAATGGAGTGGATAATTATTAAGTTATAATCAATATTTATTAAGCTAACCTTATGTATTTTAAATTTTTTCTATGTAGTAAAAAATAGATTATTTATTTGAATATGGAATTTTTCTTTTTTACGTAGAAATAATATTAATCTTGATTTACATACTATCTTAAAATATTCCATAGATAAAAAGAATAAGTAATCTGGAATAGAATAATAGTCAAAATAAATTCAATTGCATAGTTATTATTCAATTATTAATAAAACTGCTTTTTTTTACCTTTGCTTATACTATTCCGGAAAGAAATGTTTGTTTCCGCAAGTTAAATAAAAAGCTTTTTTTTTATTCAAAAGTCGATTCGTTACTAGAACTTCTTTGACTACTACTACTATGAAAAAAAAAACAAAAAACTATCACGAAATTTAAATAATTACTTATAAAATAAGCTTATCCATAGTTGATTTGTCATTATAAAATCCTTTATTTAATATAATGAACAAAGAAAGAGATGTTATTTTATTCTTTTATTCAATGAAAAGTAATTTGATTGGTAATAGAATTTTTAAAATCTTATAAAATTAAATGATTTGGTATTAATATGATTTCTTTTAGAGAAAAACAAACTATAATAGGAATAGTATTTATTAACAATTGAAGAAGAAAAGAGTTCTTTTATTTTTTTAATTAAACAACTTATAGGATTTTTTTAAATATACTACGTCACAATGTTCGTCTTTTCTTTCTATTGATTAACATCCATATATATATTTGAGTGTAGAAGCATTTTCTTTCTAATTTCTTGTTAAACTATGAGCAAAGAAAGTATAAGTGCTACTATTATTGTGTTCGATGAACGGAATATAACTTAAACTATCCTAGAGGCAATATCACCAATAAATAAATGCAAAAGAAGTGTCTCATAAGACTTGATCGGAAATAAAAGCATTGAGAGGTTCTTGAAAGGCATCGTTTTTTTGTAATATGATACTATCACTAAAACGAATAAAAAAAAATGAGATAAAAATAGTATATTATTGCCGTCTTAAATACTTCTTTCTTCTGCATGAATAAGCATGTTTTGTTATTTTTTTTTTAATCAAGGCTATAATAAAAAAAAAAAGAATACCAATAAAATATGACTTTATAAAACATAATCATAAAAAACACATGACTTTTTCTTATAAGAGCAGGAAAAAAGATCGTTCTTTTCTTTGTTCGATTTTGTATATGTAACTATTTAAAACGATGCTCCAGGAGGTAATTCAATACTAATTGTGTGACGTATATTGTAATGAGACCACAACATTCTTTATTCTTTTGCATACATACACATAAAAAGAGCAAGAACGAACGAATACAACATGCAACATGAGAGAGAGAGAGAAACAGAGAAAGAAAGTTATATTTGCATGGCTCACTGGGGAACAGCTCCATGTTCGAGTAATACTTCTTGTCCACCGTGTGTAACATGTGCAGCTGCATTTGGATCATCAGCCAGTTTAATTAAATCCACTATTTCAGCTTTTTCATAGGGTATTTCCAAAAAACTATCACTCTGTTTTAATGACGGTGATCGAGCAGGCGATGATTCTTTTCCAATATTAGTTGTTGATGAAGTATGATTTGATGATGTGATTTCTTCAACATCCGGTGACGAAGGTTGTTGTGATGGATTGTTGGAAAGATCCGTAACTGGTGTATTCAAAATGATTGATGATGGATCGGCATCGATTGAGAATCGTTTGGCACATGGATGTGGAGGATGATGACGATCAAAACTTGATTGAGTTGAAAGGATTTTTGTTAGTTTTTTTGTGGCTGTTCTATTTGAAGGAGGTATAACAGTAATCGGAGGTGCCGAGTCAGCAGCTGGAGAAGGACGAGAATTAGTTGAATCACTGGCTGATTTATCTTCAGGAATGATTAATTTTGGTGCTGCTGCAGAAGATGACGACGAAGAAGAGGAAGAGGATGCCATTTAAATTATTCGTCTATAAAAGTATAAAAAGAAAACTTATTTGTCAATAGAAAAAAAAATGACAAGTATATAGTGTTTTATTCAATCATTGGATGGTACTACTTGAATCGATCGATGAGTGAGAAGTAAAAAGGAGAGGAAAAGAAAAATTTTCATAATAATAATTCTTCTTCTTTTTTTTTCTCATTTTTTTCTTTAAGCAACCTGTAATGAAATAGTACTATAATTATTTGTATAGAATCAAGAAGTAAACAAGAATTTCTACTATAATATGAATAAATCAATATTACAAGCATTGTATTTCGGTTTTACCTGTTCTGATGTTTCCTATATATATTGACGTAGATGTTAATGAACAAGTAAACGAGAAAAACAGCTAGTAGAAGAGAGAGACAGCAACAAACGACAACGTTAGTATTCTTTATAAGTGACGTGTTCGCATGTATGCGCAAGTCGTAAAGAGAACATAACGCAGAACGAGGGAGAAAGAGAAGGACACGAAGACGGATGGCGACAACAAGGGATAGAAGAAGAGAAAAAAGAGATGAAAGAGAGAAAAAAATGCGTAAGTAAAAAAAAAATAATACAATAATGATAATGAGAACATATTCGAAGGCCTGACGACGAGAATCGTTGTTCTTCGAAGCACTCATTCTCTATCCTCTCCGCTTTTATGCTGACAAGAAGAACATTTTAACGGAGAAAATGAGCATTAACCAAAGAAAGAAAAAATATTATTATGAAGAACAAAAAAAAAATAGAAGAACGATATTTATGCATGTATCATGTATATTCATAAATATGTATATGCATATATCGATGATCTTTATTTATGAACGAAGAGAAATATTTTCCTATTCTTTGATATATATAGAAAATGTCATTTGAACATCAATCAATCTATCTATAGAAAATCACAATGAATTGAATCAAATATAAATATTTCCTTTTGATAATGATAAATAATTTCCTTATCATTCTTTTTCTTAATGGATTTCCATAGAATGAGCAAAATAGAAAATAACAACTCTAGGACAACGTACAAAGAAAAGAGCAAAACCTAGTTGATTGATTTATCTGTCTCAGAATACGACGTGCGTCAACAACTATGAAGGAGATAGAGAGGTTCATTGAATTAACGCATAAGATATGACAGAAAAAAGAAGACGCAGAAGAAGAAGAAGAAGAAAAAGAAACATTGTATGAAAAAAAACAAATGCGTATTACTCTTCAGCTTTATCTTTACTATAGGGATTAGCAATCATTGCAAATGACAACTAAATCCAAACTTTTCTTTTATCCGCTTATTACATTCATAATTTATAGAAATTAGTATGATGAAGTCGAGATGGATATTAATGAAGCTCGATTAAAATTATTCTATATTTGTATTAAAATTCAAAATGACAAAAACTAGAAAGAGAGTCATTACATTGTCAAGAACATTTCTGTTTCCTTCCTCTAGTTAACTCAAAAAATTCAATAATAAATTCATCTATTGTTCACGCATGACAAAATTCTTTTGATGATTCATCGTTTTTTATAGGATTGGAGAAAATAATGAACCATTAAAAACTATGAATAAAAATCAATAGCGCGCAAAAAAGAGGTTTTGCGAAACAACAGAAAAAAATGTAATAGAAAAATGGCGATTTAAAACAGCTGAGATAGAAAATTAATCTTTTTTTTTACTAAAAAAATTCATATCAATTATGTCTCGTAATCAGCCTTATCGTCTTGAATGTCCTGAAAAGTGCCTACAAGCTCAAGATGATGCACTTAATTCTACATTTTTTATTCTAAGACAAACAGGTCCAACAGCTTTTGTTCTTAAAGAAGATAATGAACAAACATTCAAAGTATTTCTAATAAATTACATAATTAATTATTTAATAAAAATCTTATATTATAAATTAGGTATTTTTGGGCGATCAACATCAATGCACATGCAATGTATTTCAACGAGATCGAGAAGTATGCAAACATCTATGTTGGCTTCTATTGAAACGATTTCGTGTACCAAGAACTAATCCTAGTAATATTTTTGATGAAAGAAAAAAAATAAGAATTATACTTGGGAATTTATTTAGTGGTTTGGCAAAAAGGTTTGGTTGAACGAGAAATAAACGAGCTTCTACGTGGAATAGTACAACCAGATAATGAACGAAATAAATCACATCATAATCAGAATACAAAGGTATATTTTTTGTTTTGTTTTGAATGAATATCTTTAGAATTATTTGGATCTATTCATCTTGAATGTATCATGCTATAGATGGCGAACAAAAGAAAAAGCTTTCAGATTTATTGCCATGATTTTCTAATTTATAATTCAAATCTAATAGGTACTGTTTCCGTTTATGTAAATGAGAAATAGTGAAATATGTTTTTAAATAAATGGTAATTTCAATGAAAGAAAAAATAATTCATTTGTCAAGTTAATGAGTAGAAAGAAAATGTCTAGTATGAAATACTCTAGAGATTTTTCATATTTCATTAACATTGAAGTTTAACATCATAAATATTAAAAGAAAAAAAAACATAGTTAATTATAAATGAAGATAATTTTTAAGTGCAAAAAAAAATCAAACTCAATATTTTTTTATTCTAATATAGAATGATGATGAAAATGATGGTGATGGTGAAGTTAAACAACGACCAATTGGTGAAAATGATGTATGTCCTATATGTCAAGAAGAATTTTTGATTAAAAAATTACCAATTACTTATTGCAGGTAAATATTATAATGAAGATTGATTAGAATCTAGTTTTTTTTTTATTTTGTAGACATGGTTGTGGTAATAATGTACATGTTAAATGTATGAAAGTATGGCTGGATCATCAAGTATCAACAGGTGAAAAAACAATTAAATGTCCACTATGTCGAGAAACATTTGGTACGCCCGAACAACTCAAACAAGAATTTCGGTAAAAGAAAAAAGAAAAGAAATTCTTGATTAATTATATATAAATATGTGTAGAACAAGTGGTGCTCAACAAGCTGAAAAATCATCGATTCATTTAGGTTATTCATGTCATCGTTGCCGTGCATGTCCAATTACAGGAAAATGTTATAAATGTACAACATGTCATGATTATTATCTATGTCAAACATGTTTTAATTCAAATATGCATAATGAACATAGTTTTGATTATCGAGAAGTAAAATTATCGGATTTTATATGCATCAAAAATAAAATTAATAATTTTATTTAGAAATCATTTCAACGTTGGAAATTAGCAACACGTGAACATTTAACTGCATTACCTAATGCACTCCATCAAATGTTAGCAACAAGAGATATTACAGAAAATGATTATGATATTCTTCTTCAATTAGAAAAGTAAATTTAAAAACAAAATAATTGATTATTTTATTCTTGTAAAAAATTTAAGTGCACAAAGTGCAGCAATTATGGGTATACCAGAACATATTGTTAAATCAATGCCAACAGAACGAGTACATGATCGAAGTCGTTTATTACAACATGGTGAACAATGTCGTTTATGTTTAAAAGCTTATCAAACAGGTGAACGTGTTCGACGTTTACCATGTCGACATAAATTTCATATCGATTGCATAGGTAATCATATATTTTTTAATATTTTTTTTCATTCTCTTTTGACAAAATATTTTTCTTTTTAGATGGATGGCTTTTACATAGTCATCCAACATGTCCTATTGATGGGCAACTTGTATGGAGTGCTGAAATGGAAATGGAACAAAAAGAAGCAAAACGGTGAAATATAATTTATTAATTTATTAAGAATGAAAGTTTTCTTAAATATAGTTCTGCTCCTACTGCTAATCGAAATTTTACAAAACAAGGTACTTCTTCTGCTTCATCTCTACTCTCAGTTGATATGGGTTTATCTGTTACTCCTTATCAAGTACGACCACTTAATATGCCAACAAATTCGGATTTAAATCAACGATTACGACGACTTCATATGCGTGCACCTCTTCGGCCACTAATAGCGGCAACAACAAATGAATTTCTTTCACCTCTTGAAATTAATGCTCATAGTTTAGGTATTCGACAACCATTATCTTCCAATAATAATGAACGACATCAATCATTACAATCATCACCTCCATTCGTATGTGAAGAAGTTCGACGAGTAAATATTGAATTTAATCAAGATTTTACATTACCAACAACTATTATTGGTCGTCGATTGCTTGAACGTAGACGCTCAAATGCTAAATAACTCTCCGCTTCCTTCTTTTTTGCCTATATTCATACGTTATTGTATAGCATTTATTATTTTCTTTTTTTGTTTTTCTTTTGGTTATTAATTTTATTTTCATTTTTTGGAATAATTGACATTTTGAATATTAAAAAAACAAACCTATGAAATTCATCGTCTCGAATCTCAAAATGAATGTATTAATTTTTAATAAAACAAATAATTGCAAGTGCAAAAAATCATATTTATTTATTCACCAATTTTAAAAGAAGGAAAAAAAAGGAATTTTCATGCTGGTATACTTGTTTTTAATTGGTTAATACTTTTCATATTTTTCTATGGTTGTAATTGTAAATGACCAGTACTAACATGTTCTTGACATCTAGCTTTTGCTCCATCAGCAGATTTGAAGTCATTACCAACTTGTCGACCGATTTCATTATTTTTTAAATCCATTACACGTTCCCCTAATGGTCCTTCTGTATTATTATCTTCATGAAGATCAGCAAGTTTCTTGGCTTGATCACGACCAATACTAATTGTCATTAAAGCATTCCAATAACAATGACGAAATGCATCACCAATTCCATTATGTAATGTATTCTCTGGATATAAATCTCGAGCTGCTTGACCAGCATTATCAGCATCAACTTTAGCTTTAGCACAATCGAATGGACCAACAAGAAATATACATTTGATACCTTCTGTTAATGTAGATCTAATAATAAATTAATTCAAATCAAAAGTTACATTTAAATAACAAAATTTTACCCTCGTGGTTCAGCCCATACTTTATCAACGATTTCAGTAGTTGGTACTGCATGTATACAAGCAATAGCAGCAAGAGTAAGGATTAGAATAGATTGCATTGGTATATCTTCTTTTTTAGTATCAAAGGAAAATGTAAAATAACCTCAGTTTTACGAATATTTTTATATGTTATTATTGTCATATGATCTTGTTTTTTTCTTCAAATCCATATTTAATTGAAATATTAAAGGCTTTAATATATGTCCGTAAAATACAAAATATGATATGATATTTAATTTTAATTAAGATTAGATTGGGTATTTTTTTACATCAAAAATCAATGAATATACGACGAAAAAGAAAACAATTCGAACAACAATAGTAATATAAAGAATAGTTTAAATAATATATAGCTGCACAGTAGCTACACATTTATTTCTTGATAAATAATTTTTATAGACAGAAAAAGAAAAGAAACGAAACAAAAACGAATAATAATTGTTTTATAGATTAATGAAATCCACTTGGATCATATCGTCCAAAATGAGGTCGATATCTATCGAATACAAAAAAAAAAGAAATTAATAAAAAGTAAAATCAACGATTATTCTTACCGAACAGAATCAAAAGGCATACTCATTGGATAATAATCATAATGACGATCATCAGCAAGTTCATCTCCAACGAAATATGGCGGAGGAAAATCCGTTTCAAATGTACTAATTTAATATATATACGTATATATTGATAAATATAGTAGAGAGAATAAAATAAAACTTACGGATAGCGTGATGATGATGGATAACCATATGGTAAACGATCACGAAGACTAAAACCTCCACCTTAACAAAAATAATTATTTATATGCTCAACAATTTTGTATCTTATTTACCAGGATAACCGGGATTACTTGATGAGAATGGATATCGATGATTAGATGATGATGAATTGATTCGAAAATTTGGCATATTACCTCGACGTGACCATCGTTCCTATACAAAAATAAGAAAAAAAAAATAATATTGTATTAAATCATTTCGAATATATTTTACTCGATCAGATCCTCCATCATTTGATGATTGCATTGATGAAATCATATCATTTTCATTTGTATTATTATTTCCATTGTTATTATTATTATTATCATTAATATTGTTATTATTATTATTTGATGATGAAGATGAATTTGTTCCATTATTTCCATTAGTATTATCATTAAATTGTTTTTCAAATTCGTCAACATGCATTGATGGTGGACGACTAGTATTTAATGGACGATTACGAAAATGATCTGTACGTCGAATACCGCCAGGTGGTGCATTATTTGTATTCATATTACCAGGTCGAACATTTCGACGATTATTTCCACGCATTGGTGCACTCCATGGTGTACGTCCTTTGGATACACTTGTTGTTATTATTGATGTATCAACATGAGTTGGTGGTTCAACTGTAACTGTACGTTTTTTAGGTGATGTTCTTAAATGAGAAAAAAAAAGAATTAGAATTTTCTTTTTTTCGAATTCAATAAAATCTTTACTTTCGTTTTTTTGATATTTTATCAATTATTTCTTTCTTATATTCATTGAAGAAATCAAATGTTCCACAATATTTACCAATTAAATCTTCAAGATCACATTTAATCTATAGAAAGAAATAAAATAATAGTTTTTATTTTGTTTTATTCCTTTACTTTATCATTTGTTTCATCTGGATGTGTTGTTGTTTCATCTTGTACATAATCGACATCATCTAATATTGATGGTGGTGGAATACCAAACCAATAAAGTTCAGAACTTCGTTGATCATCGATATAATCATTAACAATTGTATATACAACACGATTTTGAAATTGAATATCAATTAATTCAGATCTTGGAAGAATTATTTCATTTTTTGGTAATAATTCTATTTAATAATAATAATAATAATTTTATAAATAAATCGACAATATATTAGATAGGAACAAGATGAAGAGCTGTGGTTTGTTACCATCGAAATTTGTATGAAAATATTTCTCAAACTACTTTCCTAACGGTTGTAGTAAACTGTATTTTGATAACTAAAATATCTCATTCGTAGTAGTTAGAAATTAAAACTTTCCATAGTTTTGTAGGTCGTTCTCTGAAGGTCATAAAACGCTTCCGATAATCAATAAATTCATATGCTGTCGATGAAAAACATACTGTTCTCTTAAAGCTTTGCATAACAGTCTTAGAAAATAAGTTAGGGAAATATTTCCATACGTCTTCATCACCACTTTTTAACGGTGAAAAGTAAAGTTCTTTGATTACCATTATATTTACTATCATTTTTCTTGGCAATATCACTTAGATTCTCTCAATCAGTTCTTTTCTTAAATCTTGAGAAATGCTATATTAGTCTGTTTTGTCTTTATTTTTATGGCAATACAAACCTTGATCATTGCCAGTCATTTTAAGTGATTGAATAATACTATTTGCTCGTTCAAAAATTTTTTGTAATGTTTGAAGACATTGTTGATCTTCTTCATTCTGTTCTAAAACATCTGCATTATCATTTGTTTGTTGTTTATTTTCATTATCATGCGTATTAGATGAATCCTAAAATACAAAAAAATATTTCTTTCATATAAATAATTTTCGCTCCTACATCATTAACAACTGCATTGATTAAATCAATAAATTTTTCTAATTGACTTTCATTATCCAATGAGACACCAAGTAGTTCACGACAAAATGTTACTGGTAAAGATTGTGTTCGAATAAAACTAAATAATCAAAAATTTGTTTTTTAAATTTTAAATTTTATTAATCTTACTATGAATCTGGAATAGTTTCAACAGTTAAAATTCTTTGTAAAAATACCATTAAAGCAGATACAGCTTCAAGATAATCTGGTTGTTCTTTATCAAATCGAAGATCAAATTCAGCAATTAATGTACAAAAAACTTCCTTATTTTGTGTTAAAGCTCTAGATAGAAAATGAAAACAAATAAAAAACAAAAATTTCATATTTTTATTACATTCGAATCATTTCTAAACCAAAATCATGTTCAGCAAGTGAAATCATTGTGCGAAGTCCCATTGTCGTTTGTGTCCATGTTTGTTGGTGTTTTGTTGATGATAATAAACGAAGAATATGAATTAATATATTCGATAAAAGTTCTTGATTTGGTAATGCATTAGCAAGTATTTGTAAAGAATTGTCAGAAGATTTCGGTGATGAGAGACATATATTTGCATCACATAATGTTTGAATAATTGACTAAAATAAATATTTCAAAAACTGGATTATTTTATTAATTAAATTTATTTTACAAACCATAATAGCTTCTTGACAAAGACATGTTTCATTTGATTCAGCTCGTATATGAATATATTCTAGCAGATCTTGAATAATTGTTGTATATTTTTCATCGGAAAAATTTCTACAAATAAAAAATATCATAAATTTTTCAATTCAAAGAGAAGAGCGGTGTCGCGTAATCTCTATCCCTGATATTTCAACACTTTTCTTTTAGTTTGTGTTTAAGGAAAAAACGTTTGCTTACAAAAGTGATAATAAAGCACATTTTCCAGATCGTGTAGCAATAATTGATGCAATAAATACAACTAAACGAGCAGAATCATGAATTGCTTGTTTTGATACTTTAGCTGTTTCGCTATGATCAGTTTTCCATGTTGATATAAGTTCATCCATTAATAGTCTATTGAAAAAAAATAAATATTTACTTTTGATATAAGAAAAGATCTGTTTTTTGCGTTGATTTACTTCATAATAGGTTTAGCTAATTTTGGACCTAAATCAATTAATTGCATACATAGACGTCGAAGAATTTCTTGCATTATGGAATTTGATGTATGAAATAATGATTGAATTAATTTTTGCAAACAATGATTACTATCATGTGTCCAAATATAATGAACAACTGTATGATAACGATGAAAATCATCTTTTATTGCATTTATTTCATTTTCTGCTAATGGCTAAATTATTAAAAAGAAAAAACAAAAATTTTTCATGTATTTTAATATATGTATAGAATCATTAGATAAAATACTCTACCTGTCGAACAGTAAGTGGTAACGGAATGGGTAAAAGTTCTGTAAGTAAACATAAACCACTCGTAATTGAATATGGAAAAAGTGTTGTTAAACGAAGAATTTCTCTAAGTACTGATGTCCAAGCACAATTTTGAACATTTACTAATAAAAACAAATTCATTTTTTTCAAATTTCTATCGAATGGAAATATTAAAATCATTACTTTGTTCATTATCTGATTGATTTGACCATGTATATGCAAGAAATGAATCAATTAAATTGGTTCGAATAATATCAACATCAGCTAATTCAGTTGATGGCGATGCACAAAGTGTGACTGTATAAATTGAAAAAAGTGCATGAATTGGCGTTATATCTACAAACTATAAAATAAAGAAATAGACAAATAATAAATCGAAAAGAATAACAAACTTTTGTTTTTCGATCAAGAGTTAATTTCTGTAATAATGTTTTAAAAACAGTTAATGCTGGTATCAATATTCCATATATTACAATTCGATCATGAACAACCATAGGTATACCTATTTGCCATGTACGTAATAATGCATCAGCACATTTCTATCAATTCAACAACAAAAATATATATGAAGAAAATAGAAAATAAATAGTATACTTCAAGAATATTAATTAATAATGAATATATTCCGTTACTATATAGTTTTAAAAGCATATAATCATATTTAAGTTCAATTTTTGCTCCAAGAATAAATTGATTATCTGGTGGAATAGATAAATATTGTATAATACGTAAGAGAGTTATAAGATTTGGTGATAATTCTCCTGAATTATTTGATTCGTTTAGTTGAGTTTTTACTTCATTGATAAGATTAATAGCTGTTTCTTGTGTATGATCAAATGATTTAATTTTTAATAATGGTGAAAACCAATTTCGAAGACGAACTAATCGTTGATTTGAATCTATTTTAAATAAATAAATAAATAAATCAATGAAAATAAAATTGAATTAAAAGAAATATACGTTTTTCACAAAGATCATATAAACGAAGACCATATTGTTCTAATAAGTAAATTGAATCAGATGTAGCAAATAATTCATAGATAATTCGAGCAATATAACGTGTTTGAATACTATTTTTTATTGCTTCACCTTCTCCTATTCAATTAAAAAAATCAAATTCAAGAAAATTTATAATTAAAACTAACCTGTAAAATTAATAAAATGTAATAATGGTTGAAAATTTGTTTCCATAGCAAAAACTCGAACAATTATTCGACGTTTAGTAGATAATTTTCTTACATAATGATGAAATAAAATTAATGATAGAAGACGATGAAGAACTTGTAAAAGATCATTATCATCTAATTCTATATCATCTTTTAAACTAAAAAATTTTAATTCATCTATATGACTTAATGTTTGAAATGCACACATTAATTGTGGACCAACTGGATCATTATTAATACCAACAAATTTTGTTTCCTATTAAAGAAAAAAATATTGTCTGTTTTTTTTGCATATTATCAATCATATTAAGGTAGACTTCGAAGTATATTACATTTTTTTCTGAATATGAAGTGTATCGTTAATGTTCGATATTGTATCACACGAGATTTTCTGGAAAAACTAACAGATGTGAGTTTTATGTCGATAACTATTTTGTAACTGAGATTAAAGTCATCTCTTCAATGGTGAAAACCGCAGATCTACATCTTGTTTCTAACAAACGTTATTCAAAAAATACTCACTTGAATTTATTTTCAAATGGATATTAGCATATGATGGCTCTTTCAAAAATCTCTATATTTCAGCCAGTTTAATAGTGGTAGCCAGGAAAATTTGTTGATATCTATCTCTCATATAGTGTAACAATATGCACTACTCATTCCCTACCGAATCGAAAATTTTTCTTCTATATTTCTCATGAATTCTAATTAGTCGTAATCTCTACTTTTAAGATACAAAAACCGAGTCTTATCCATTTCTAATATCACACAAAATCTTTTAACTTGCAAGAAAGTTTTTTTTCTTCTGCAAAAAAATTTCTTACAGCAAAATAGAGAGCTTTTAATAAACCATTTGGCGTTGATTTTTGATTTGCGAGATAAATTAATCCATCAAATGAATTCAAAAATTCTCTCAAAATATCTTCGATTATATTAAATATATCTTGTCTTTGATTTAATACACATAAATGTATAAGTACAGTTAATGATTTAAAAAGATCATTATCACCCATCATACGTAATACAGATGGCCATGAATTTTCATAATTTGATGTTTTAGAAAACACAACTGAGAGAATCGATTGAAATGGTGCTATATGAGAAGATTTTTCTTGAGAAATAAGATCAGTTGAATTAATTAAAACATCACGAATTGTCGAAAGAGATATATTAAGTTGATCTAACGTTATTTTTCGTTCATCTAATGTTAATGAAGGTTCATCAGATGATAAACTAAAATATAAATACAATATCTTTTAAGTATATACATATGTATACATAAAATATTTTTTATACAGTTTAATTTGTATTTGAAATGATAGAAATTCTTCGTTCAGATGAATTTTTCTTATTAAACAATTTATCAATGCTGTGGATTGTTTTAACTAAAGAAGATAAATGTAAAATACGAAAAAAAATCATTTTCAATTTACTTCATTTCCAGTTTGTAATTTTTGTATTAAACGAAAATAAGGTGATTCACGAGTAGTTGATGGAAATTCAGCATGTTGACCTTTAAAAATTTAAAAGATAGAATTCTTTTGTTTTCCTTTGAATCTAATAAAATCTTACCAGTAAACCAAAGTAAACCCGATTTAAAAAATAAACTTTGATCAAGAATTTTAATAATAAGTAGTTTGACTGATGGTGCAATATATTCATCATCATGTAAATCTAACAATTTTGATTGATAATCATTTTTCTACAAAAAACAAAAAACAAATTTTATCTTAGAAGATTACAAAAATTGTTTTACAATCCAATCATTTGATATATCTTCTGTTAATACACTTAAATGTCCACATAATCGTATTCCACATTTTATTATTCGAATTTTATATAATGTATCTTTTAATTCAGTAAATTGTTTTTCCATAATATATTCAATATTGATTAATTTTAGTGTCCATTCAGTCAAACGTTGAATAGCTGATACTGTATACAGATAAAGAATAAAAAATTAGAATGCAGAGAATAAAATCTATACCTTTCTCTTCATTTGAATCTAAACAAGCTAAAGCAATGGGTAATATTGTACATATTGATTCTAATGATTCAAGAAATCTGAAAGAGAGATTTTCAAAAAACAACAAAATTTAGAATAAAATTAAATCTTCTTACGTTGTATCGCAATGATCAATTGTTACATGTGAGAGAACTTTTCGGAAAAAAAGAGTAAGTTCTTCATTAGCTTGACGATATTTTTCATGATGAGCTTTTTCACATTCAATTTCATAAGATGTTTTGATTGGTGAATGAAATGTCTAAATAATAGAATCAATATTAAATTTAGAGAAAAATGAATTCTTTCATTTGAATATTTACTTTAAGAGCAGTAAAACGCGTTGAACTACGACTATTGTATAATGCATCACGCTATAGAGAAAAATAAATATTTCAAAATTATAAATACAATAAAATAATTATAGTTTTCATAGCTAAATTATTTTAAACGAAACTATATACGCATTGCAAGGGCTACTGAAGAACGTAAATATGTAGATAAACGATAGGAATATAAAAAATCATAATTTGAGTTACAGAAAATTTAAGCGTAGTAAAACTGGAAGTTTGATACAAACTGTCAAATGAATTTTAAATAAAACTATTTGAATCGGATAAGAAATTTCTAACAGAATAAAGTACTAACATTTTCGGGACTATAATCTGGGCTTTGGAAAATCTGACACGCCAAGTAATCGTCCTCCATTCAGAGTCAATTCTGTTACTTCATCAAAATGAGTTTTTCTTTACAACTGGAAAGAATGAAATTATCATTGGATTTAAAATCTCTATCTATCTTAGATGAAATCTGATCTCAATTAATCTACTATAACTTATGTAAAATGTTATCTTATACTTTAAATGCTTGTTGTTCATCTTCATTAAATAGTACACCATGAACACTTGATTCTTCACTTTCAGAAGTATTATCATCAGACATATATGAATCACCATCCTAAAATAAAATCTTTTTTCATAGAAAATATAGTTAATGAATATAATTCATACACTTGACATTTGCTGTTGAATATTATTACTATTATTAGATGGCATTGTATATGTATCTTGTACTCGTCGATGATTATCTCCTATACATGATGGATGAAGAAACAGATGATCATCGTCTTTTTTATTATTATTGCTATTTGAATATGGATTTTGATGTGATAAATGTGAAAATGGTGGATTTATTAATGAAACACCAATAGGATTTGTAAGTTGACTTAAATCATCTGTTATATGATCAGGAATATCTAAATGAAAATAATACGATAAAAGAAAAATTCTATAATAAAAAAAATGAAATTTACTTGGACGATATTGTGTCATGTTTGGTGGGACTCTTGTATATTTTTCATCGATTTCGTCAAGTGGTTTATCACTGTGTGGATAATCTCTATAAGAAAAATATTGAAATATAAAGAAATATTAGTATTTAGTCATATTTACGATGGAGAATAGTTAGTACGTGCTGTTGGTCGAGAACTAAAACTAGGCGCTGGTTGTGATCGAGCCGATGATAATTGTTGTTGTTGTTGTTGTTGTTGCTGCTGTTGATCATCAAGACGATTAGGAGGATACGATTGCTGAGAAGATTGATGGCTATAGTCATGTAAATGTTCGTCTAAACAAAAAGAATCAATAAAAATACCCGATGATCATTTTTTTTAAATTTATCTTGCCATTTAAACGCGTTTGTGGTGGTCCAGCAAAGTTTGATGTTGGTCGTTGTGGTTGAATATGTGAAAAAGTGCCTGTCACTTGTGGTTGTTGTCTTGTTGGTTGTTCAGGTGGAGCTACCCAAACACCATCAGAATGAGCTGCAGATGATGGAGATACATTATCGATAATTGAAGAAGGATGCGAATGTTGTTGAACACCAAATGGAGTAGAAGATGCGTTTGCTGGTGGAACAACAGCTAATGGTAATGTATCCATTGGATGTGCACGATGAGGTAATGCTGACTGTAAGAAATCAACAATTTGTTTATTATTACTTGGTGGATCATGTCGAGGAGGCTATATAAGAAAAATATACAGAGAGAGTTTTTTCGATAGTAAAAATAATGTTTCTTTATTTACTGGAGATTTTGGTCGAGCTAGAACGCCAACAACGGCTACTGTTAAAGTATCGTACTTTCCTTTGACAATCATCGAATCTGTTGGAATCTAAAATATTATCAAAAAAAAATAATGATAAAATTTTTGATGAATCATATATATATATATATATATATAAATCGTTGTAGCTTACTGAAAGTGATGGATAATAGATCATATCATTTTCATCACGAAAAAGTCTTCTAAAATATGAAGAAAAATATCGATATTGTTTTTTTTTTCAATAAAAATATTAACTATCTTACTTTCCCAGTCGTCGATATCTTACTCTATCACGATTAGATCTTGCATTGAGATTTTTTCCAAAAAATTCTAATTCACATGGCATTGGTTTTGTTGCTCTTTAAGAAAAAATATAAACATAACATAAAATAAAATATTATCAATCATTTCTTACCCCATACGTGTCGCAGATTTTTCCAAACCGATTACATTATAACCAGATGGTATGATACGAATCTCATCGATGTATACGGGTTGATCAAATTTAATTTCATCAACTTGAAGAACCTAGAAAAAAGAGAAGAATAAAAATAAAATATTAGATTACACGCAATAACCTGTTCAATTTCTCCATCGTGAGCAATCGTATCAAAAAAGAGAAATTCTTGTTGCGATGAACTCATCGTTTTCTTATTATTAACATCTAAAATCCCATGAAAAAGAACTAGAATAAAAAATAAAATAAAATATTCATTCATTCATTCATCTTTTTTCTTGATGTCTGTCTCTTTGCGAGAGTTCAATGCATAATTGGTCAACAATTAAAACAAATACGACATAAACATTGTCTTCAGCATCAGTATTCTACGACATCTATCATTTATTTGTAGTTGTACGACAAAACATAGACTAAGCATGTACAAGTTTTGAGTTTAAAGAAAAGACGAAAAAAGGAAAATACCAGTTTTATAAATATTATTCTTAAAAAATGAATAATAAATACATGAAAATATCTTTATTAATACAGAACATAATTTTTTAATAAGCAAGTACAACGCGTTTACTATGTATATGAAGAAAAATAAGTTTTTCCTTCAAAATTACATCTTTTCATTTTGTAACAAAAAAATCATCTCATCATTATATTGTACGAATGTAGAACCTATTTTAAGTAGTAGATATGTATTACCACATAGGTGTAGGTCTATTCATACATTAAATTACTATCTTCAACTAAATGCACATGTAAGAACAAACTATGTGATAATCAAGAAAGATAGACTGGCTTCGGTAAGTAAGGTAGAGCTAGTTAACAATAATTGATTCAGTTTCCATTGATTGTAAAGTAAATAGCATATTCACATGATTTAATACTACAATATATTCATTTTTATTTCTATCAATTTTGTGTTTATTTATAATTGATGGTAACAATATCTCAGACATTGTAACTATATAATGTACTAGTCGACCAAAAAGAAAATGCTATTAAAAGAAACTTATTATAAATTGCGTACGGAAATTAAAACAACTTATTTAAAATCATGAAAGCTTTGTAAGACAAGCAACAGTACGTTTGTCTACACATTATACTCTTCACTAGTAATCAATCTTTGCTGATAATAGGAATATCTCGAGATATAAAAATTTACTATGAAACATCATACTATTGTTTCTCACAATGATTACTAAAAAAACAAAGAATAAAATATATACTATGTAAAATACAAAAACAGCTGGCCGCCTTTACATTAAGTAGCAGAAATGATAAAAAAATGCTGATCTGTTTTTTTTCATATATTGAAGACAAAATAATATATTATCCTCTTATAATTAGTAAATCAATGATTTAGAACTCAGCAATAAATTACAACATCTCATTTGGTTGAAATATATGACAACGTCTATACAATCTTTGTATTAATAATATGACTAATAGTATTCTATATTTATTGTTCAATTACTACGAATATTATATATGTATATATATAATGAGCGACATCGTCAGGTGGAAATTATCTCACAAATCTTAAAAAAACCAATCAACATGCCTCTATAGCTCAGTGGTAGAGCGCCAGTCTTGTAAACTGGAGGTCCGTAGTTCGATCCTGCGTGGAGGCATTATTTTTTTTCTTCTTCGATACTTAGATATCAAGAAGATTATATCATCTATATACGAACAGAATCTATTCTACACGTTATAATTTGATCAAATACTATATTTCAGAAATATTATAATTAAATTTCAGTAATTAATCAATATATTTTACTTTCGATTACAAGATTTATTCCATGAAATTTTAGTGTTACAGAAATTTGAAATCATAAAAGTTATACAACTATATGGCATACGAGTCGAAGCTCGATATCGAAAAGACGATTTTAAAGTTTTCACAGATTTCTAAATATTCAGAATTATCCTAGAATCGAGTGAAGTTTATATACTTTCAAAATACAGTTGACACTAATTCAACGTACTGATTCATCTAAATCAAAAATTTAAAGTACTTATGTAGAAAAAGAGCCATGCTTAACTTTTTTTGTTGTTCTTGCTAAATTATCTTGAAGGTATGAGTTTGCGTAGATAAAGAAAAGAGACATCGACACCCAACCACTCTCAAACTATTTTGAAAAAAAGAGTTTTCAGTCTTATAATACAGTTTCATAGCGAATCTTTTATTATATAAATAAATTCTTGATGATTCAGGTATTCATCTACAAAATCATGAGGAATTCTACAAAGCTGGAACAATCATATATAGTTCAGCAGTATTGAACAGATAATCTTTCTAAGTTCAGCACTATCACCTAGAAACTTATTTTTCCTCAAAACTGTTCGACATTATACATTTTACAGTTCAAAAATATCGCAAACCAACATTTCTAGTTCACTATCATCGGGCAGAACCCTACTTCATTATTCCTCAAAAGAACTTCCTAGGGTTTTACTATTATCAAAAGAAATCTTTTAATATTCAAGATCACCCGGAAAGATCTTTCAGAAGTAGTCTACTACTTTACAAAACCTTTAATGACTCATTCTAACTGAAAACAACTCTCTCGAATTTTACTATTGCTATAAATAACTAGTCTAGTTTTGCACGTACTACAGAGTGACAAAATATTTCTCAAAAAATCATATTTATCTTTTTCAAGACAACATTCTCTTACGACATAATGAAACACTTACGCAAAATTTCGTCACAATACACACTAAGATTAAAAAATCAGCACTTTTATTTATTTTTTTCAGAATACTACAACACAATAAAAATATACGCAAAATCATCATCATCATCGTCCCCTATTTGTTCGCCATCGGAATATATCTAATATTTCGATTTACGATCACGACTGTCCTATGCTTTTATTGCGTTCCAAAAATTTAGAAAATATATCATTCAATTCTGTTCTGATTGTATTGTTTTCGAGATTTAGAGTGGTCAGTGTCTATATGAAAAAGTGTAAGTAAGCACGTGATATAGATAAAGACAGAAAGACACTTACTGTGTTGTGTTGCAGCCCATCAGCCAAATATTGTGCCCCAACATCTCCAATTTTATTCGAACTGAGATGCAGTATGGTGAGTCCCTAGGTTAAAAAATGTAAGTAAAGACATGATATAGATAAAGAGAGGAAGACAGTTACTTTATTTTGTCGTAACCCATCACCCAAATGTTGTGCTCCAACATCTCCGATTCTATTTGTGAAGAGATATAGTTTGGTGAGTGTCTAGATGAAAAAGTGTCAGTGAACACATGACATAGATAAATAGAGAGAGACAGTTACTGTGTTGTATCGCAGAGCATTAGCCAAATGTTGTGCTCCAACATCACCGATACGATTGTTCGCGAGATCTAGTGTGGTGAGTGTCTAAATGAAAAGTGTAAGTAAACACATGATATCGATAAATAGAGAAAGATAGTTACCGTATTGTATCGTAATCCATCAGCCAAATGTTGTGCTCCAACATCTCCGATATAATTAAATTCGAGACATAGTGTGGTGAGTGTCTAGATCAAAGAGTATAGATATAACATGATATAGATAAGGGGAGAATGACGATTACTGTGTTATGTTGTAATCCAACAGCCAGGTGTTGTGCTCCTACATGTCCAATTTGGTTGGAATCGAGATTTAGTGTGGTGAGTACCTAGATGAAAAAGTGTAAGTAAACACATGATACAAATAAAGAGAGAAAGACATTTACTGTGTTGTGGTGTAATCCATCAGCTAAATGCTGTGCTCCAACACGTCCGATTTCATTGCTCAAGAGATTTAGTATAGTGAGTGTCTGGATGAAGAAGTATAAGTAAAGACATGATATAGATAAAGAGAGAAAGACAACTTACTGTGTTGTGTTTTAATCCATCAGCTAAATGCTGCACTCCTACATCACCGATTCCATTTCCCCAAAGATTCAGTGCGGTAAGTGTCTAGATGAAAAAGTGTAAGTAAAGACATGATATAGATGAGGAGAGAATTGTAATTACTGTGTTGTGTCGCAGTGCATCAGCCAAATGTTTTGCTCCAACCTTCCCGATTTCATTGTCGTATAGATCTACTGTGGTGAGTGTCTGGATAGAAAAGTTTAAGTGAACACATGATATAAATAAAGAGAAAGAGTGACAGTTACTGTGTTGTATCGCAGTGCATCAGCCAAATGTTGTGTTCCGACATCTCCAATTTTAGTGCTCAAGAGATCTAATGTAGTGAGTGTCTAGATGGAAAAGTTTAATTGAATACATGATATACATAAAGAGTGAAAGACATTTACCGTGTTGTGTCGCAGTGCAGCAGCCAAATGTTGTACTCCAACCTCGCCGATTTCATCATATTCGAGATGTAGTGTGACGAGTGTCTAGATGAAAAAGTTTAGATACAGATATGGGATAGATGTACGAACAGAATAATTCACCATTGGTATGCGTGTTCAGATCCATAAAATAAAAGTCGGTAGGACTTCATTGAAGAGCACACGGATATGAGTCTTAATACTTCTTTGAATTTAAATTCTATTCAATGCTCAAGATTGTTAGGTAAAACGCTGAGCTAAGAAGAAGTTAGAAAGGGTTGCGTATGGGCAGAATCTTTTATCTATCAATTGCTTCAATTCTTAAATATTTTTGTGAAAGAAGGAAGCAGTTGTGGGTTACAAATAATAATGTGCCAAATGCTGCTGTGCGAAACAGTTGGAAGTCTTATATCGGCTGTTAGTTGTCTATAAGTAATGGAAAAATATAGTTTCATATTAGTGGTCTGTGAATGAGTTTCGTTCGTGTTCATCGGCAGGACTGGAGATGTATTTTGCATGAAAACTTCGTTACAGTTATCTGATTTGGCTAAATTAATGGGTATGGTTCGTTTTAGTAAGCATACTCGTTGATTTTGGTAGATGCTATCAATAACACCACACGATTCGGCGTATAAAACAATATTGATGGATACAAACGGAAGAGTTAAAGAATTTATTGGATAATGTCAGATTCATAATGAGTGAAAGGCAAATATATGATAAAACGTGGAATTATAAATATCTCTTAGGAAGTGTACTGGATGTTTTGTTTTGACAATGATTTATTCTTGAAATTTAGTTCTTGAGAAGAATTCCTTTATATGATATGCATTTCGGGGCAATGTTTTTGGAAAAAACTTTGCTTTGGAAGTAGCGTTTCTTGAAAAAATATTTCATTTTTCTGATACGATTGTATGAGAGTGTGGATGTTGTTGTGACTCAATCTGCTCTCCATCCATATCCACCGTTATGTATAGTTACAGCCATCTATGCTCTTAAGGAAATATTAGTCGGCGGTATTTCTTAAGTGATTTTTTGAGACATTATTTATAAGAAAATATACTAGCTAGCTTATAGATTGTTAATTTCATCCACGATATTATTTTTATTTTTGAAATAGTAACAAAAAAGTGTTTAGATGCGACCGAAACGATAAAAAAGAAACTATTTTTTCTAATTATCAGACGTTGTTTTAAAATTGTCATAATATAGAAATAGTTTTTGGAAAGAGATTAATAAGTGATGAAATATTTTAGGTAACAAACAGTTTATTCACGTACATTTTGTTGAAGTGATTATGCTTCTATAGAGATTGTAGGAAGGACAAACAATGTATAAGTCAGTAGACATACATTAAACTATCATGATAGAGCAAAGTTTACCTGATATCGATGATAGGTGTTTAAAATCATATTGAATCGTTGGCATACGTTCGTCATTGACGATAGCATTGTGAGATCCGATGCATGATCCAGAATTCGATAAACAATTTCTACTGGTAACGTATGGAAACTCGCGACAGTTTGGTTTGTCATTGTAGACTCCTGATGAAATGTGGGCTGTGTAACGTAGTATGCTCGTGATATGATGTGTTGTTTTTTTCTTCCTACCTGAAGGAATATACGGCTTGTCCAAGCGTAACGCTGTTACGTTTTTGACACATTCTTCTTCAATTATCTCGGAAAGTGTAATAGGTAGAACGTTCGTTCAAACGCCATTGCATGCAGCTTATCGAACTCTACTTATTCTATAAAAACGATATTTTTTTGTTGAAGCCTCGGATATCTGTAAGGGTTACATTGTCGCGTAACACTGTTACATAAAAAGACCCTTATTCTTCAGTACCACCAAGAAAACTCTAATTTCTTGCGATATATTTTGTTCAAAAGAAATGCTCTTAGAACTACGTTTGTAGAGCTTTAAACGAGCTTTCTAAAACCAAAAAAAATTTCCTTCTAGCTATTTTTGTTTGTGTGAAAAATGCAAAAAACAAACGTAACGCTGTTACGTTTTTCGTAACGCTGTTACACACTTTTTTGTGAGCCATTTTTGAGGTAGTTAATATCGTCCGAATGATTTGAATTTTTTAACGGTTACTCATTACTGTGTAGATAAACGTGTACTAAAGAATCAGATTAATTCATCCACGAGGGAGCTTAAAAACTGGACCGGAAGTTGGGGAGGGTATTGGAGGTTAAAAATTGTTACCAGCTATTAAAATCAAAACTAAATAAGCCATTTTGTAGAGAATCCAATTCTGCATTGAATGATACGTCTCTCGCAAATTTTTGGAAAACTTTCTTGGGTAGAAAACTCGAAATACGATTTTTCAAAAGTTTAAAACCCAGTTTTTGATAATAAAATCTGAATTTTTTATAAAATAAATCTCAGATTCGTAATCAGCGTTAAAAACTGCGTCTAGTAGCTTGTTCAAATCTGTTCAACTCGAAAAAAAAAATTTTAAAAACTTGATCGGCGAAGTGTCGCGTTACGTGGACAAGCCGTATATATTTGCCAAGTATCATGTATTTCACATGATGTTGCAATTACTTATTGAAAGAAAAAAAGCCGAAAAAAAAATAACGTTAACTGTTTAATGACAGAGTCGAAAGAGCAACTGTTCACAAAGTTTTTATTAAGATTGTTATATTGATATCAAATGCTATACACCATGATTACTTTATTTTTAACAGTTTTTCGTAGTTTACTGTGTTTTAGTACTACATTCAAAGTTTCATACTTTTATATAGTAGGATAGAGCATCGATTACTCTTTCGAACCATATGCTTTGCATTTTATTTTCTTCACCTTTATATGGAAATAAATAAAGAAAACGAAAATATTGTTGCTAATTATATTTATTTGTCTATGCTTTTCATATGATGCTTAGAGAAAGTCACAGCAATATGTAAACAACTAATCAAATAAGACACAATTAAGAAAAAGAAGAAGAGACAAAAACATTTGACATTAAAGACAAAAATAGAGAGGAAAAGCACATACACACATTAATATCCACGCTATCTAGATATTTAACGTGGACGAACTGAACTACTGCGAACCATTGAGGCAGCACGTGCTGCAGTTGATTCACGATAATCATCCTGAAAAAAAATAGTTATGTCTAAAATTTAATAGATAACGTTTTCAAAGATAGTCAACTTACGCCTGATGTAGTACGATTAGCGCTAACAGTTGAACGATTTTTAGAACGTAATTTACTTAATTGATTTTCAGCAGCATCAGCACGTTCAGCTGAATCCTCTACAAATTACAAGTATATACATTTATTTTATTTCTCTTGTATGAACTCTTAATAACTTACCAAGATCTGTTTGAGCTTTACGATATTTGGCCAAATTAAGTGCAGCAATTTCCTCTAAAATAAATTCATTAAAATCTATTCAAATAAAATTTCATTTTAAAATATTTACCAGCTTCTTCAACTTGTCGTTTATATACTTTGATCTTATTTTGTAATTTCTCTGAAAGATCTTGTAAACGTAATTGATTCTTTCGATCTTCTTCAACTTGAAATACAAGTTCTTTCAAACGTCGATCATTTTTACGTAATTCTTTAAGTGTCTCTTGATGACGATGTTGTTCCATTTCATTTTCACTTTCCAATTCATGAATCTAAATATAATCAGATAATGTACAAATATTTTACATATATATCTATTACGTACACGTTGTTCAAGTTTAACAATAATACGTTTACCACCTTTAAGAACATTGCCTTCGGCTTCATCAAGACGTGTTTGAAGATCTTTAACTTGTTGTTCAAGACCTTTACGTAATCGTTCAACACTAATAGAATGTTCTTGTTCTCGACGTAATTCTTCAGCAAGACGAGCAGTATCTGCTTCTGAAAACATTCAACATAAAATATTAGTTATTTGAATTATTATTCTATTATATTTACCAGCTTTCTTCGAACGTTCTTCAACATTTTTCAATTCAGCTACAGCTTCATCCAAATCAGATTGCATTGCAGTTACAGTTGATTCAAGTTGTCGTCGTTGTGATGATAAAGTAGCATTTTGTGTGCTTACTTCACTAATACGATCAGCAGCATCATGTAATTCACATTCAGCTGCTTTACGAGCTCGTTCAGCTTGTTCTAAAGCTGTTCGTAATTCTTCAAGTTCACCAAGAATAATATTAGCACGACGTTCAGCTGATGCAGCAGCTTCACGGGCTTCATCACGTTGTTGTTGTTCATGTTCAACTTGAGTTGTTAATTCAGATACACTTTGTTGTAATCGTTTAAGTGCTTTTTGTAAATCTGTATTTGTACGATTTGAATGATCCAATGCTGATTCAAGTTCATTGATGTCTGATTCAAGTTTCTTTTTCTAAAAGAATAATAATCAAGAATTGAAATATAATAATAAACTGTTATCTTTTTAATATATATATATATATACATACTTGTTTAAGTGCTTCGGCTTTAGCTCGAGATTCTGCTTCTAAACTAGCTTGCATTGATTCGATAGCACGTGCATGATTACGTCGAGTAGTTTCGAATTCTTCTTCTTTTTCATGAATACGTCGATCAATTTCTTGACGAACACCGCTCAATTCCATTTGAGCACGAAGAACTTTAGATTCTTCTTGTTCAAGTGCTGATTCAGCTTCTTCTAAGGCAAGCTGAATTTCTTCTTTTTCTAATTCAGCACGTCGACGAGCTTTGTCTAATTCGTGTATGCTATCAAAAAATAAATTTCGTAAACAAAATATCTGATATATAATTCATATTAGATAATAAAGCAATGTATATAACTAATTTCTCTCATATGGAAAGGTAATTGTATATTCTATAAAGACTCCTCAATATGCTTTGTCCATACATTTTCTTTCCTATTAAGATTAATTACAATATTTACCCTTTTCCACCATCACTTAATTGATCGGTAAGATCCTAAATAAAAAATAAATATTAGTAAATATTTTTATATAAATTAATTAATCTACCTTAATTTCGTCAGCTAAGTTCTTATTTTCTTTTCGAAGAGCTTCAATTTGTTCATGTGATTCTTCATATTGACCTCGAATTTTAAATAATTCTGTTGAAAATTGACGTGCTTCTTTTTGTGAAGATTCTAATTCAATTGTAATATCTTCACATTTTTGTTTCCATTCATTAATAAGTTTATCAAATTGTTTTTGTTTTTTATCCATAGTTGATGCATCTACAAATAATTAATATATAGAATTTTCGATCATATAGATATTTTTATAACTTACTAGCATTAGCGCGTTCAACATCAACCATTAAATCTTCAACTTCACCTTGAAGACGAGATTTAACTTTTTCTAATGCATTACATTTTGTTAAAGCTGCTTCAACTTGTTCTTCAGCTTCTGATAATTTTGATGCTAATTTACGTTTAGCTTCTTCAAGTTCTTCAGTACGAGCCATACCTATTGATAAGAATTGAAATAAAATAAAAAAAACATATCAAAGTATTATATATTAACCTTCGGATTCATAACGAGATCGCCATTGTTGTACTTCAGAATTGAGCTTAGTTACTTGTCGTTGAAGATCAACTTTACTTTCTAATTCTTCTTCAAGTTGTTCACGAGTTTGATCAAGATCAGCTGTTAAATTACGTATTTGTGAAGCTAAAAAAATGACAATTGATTTATTACAATAAAATAATTATTTAAATTTTTTTACTTACTAACTGAACCTTTGCCACGTAATTCTTCATCAATTATTCGTTGTGCTTCAGATAATTGTTGTTGTAATTGTGTTTTAGCTTTTGTAAGTGCACTAACTTGATGTTCAACATCTTCAAGTTGTCGAACTAATTCTGAATTTTCACCAGTTAATTTTGATTTATATTGATTAAAATCATGAATTTGTTTAGCATGTTCATCAAGTTTAATATGCATATCATTTAATTGTTGTTCAAGTTGTTTTGAAAGTTTTTCAGCAGTAGCTTTACCTTTTTGTATATGATCAACTTGTGAACGTAAATCATCTAATTCAGATTTAACAGTAAGTTTATCTTTTTCTAATTTATTTTTAACTTTTTGAAGTTGATCAATTTGTTCACCCATTTCAGTAACAGCATCTTGATGTTTTTTACGAAGTTGTGCAGCTGTAGCTTCATGTTGAAGATTAGCTTCTTCTAAATCACGACGAAGTTTAGCTAATTCTGATTCACGTTTTTTATTCATTTCAACTTGTGATGATGTTGCACCACCAGCATCATCTAATCGATCACGCATTTCATCAATTTCACGTGCTAAATCAGCTCGTTGTTTTTCGGTTTTAGCACGAGATTGTCGTTCACTTTCAAGTTCTTCTTCAACTTCTTCAACACGTGCTTGTAATTCTTTGATTTTTTTACCAAGATTAGTTGCTTGACCTTGTTCAGTTTCAAGACGACCATTAGCTTGTTGAATTTCTTGATCTTTTCGTTTAACACTATCTTCAAGTTCACGTTTTGCTCGTTCAAGATCTTCAATATTACTTTGTGCTGATTTAAGATCAGTTTCAACTTTACGTTTTGCTTTATCAAGATCAGCACGACCTTTTTTCTCACGTTCTAAATTTCCTTCAATTTCATCAAGTGTTTGTTCAAGTTTTGTTTTAAGTTTATTTAAATGATTAACTTTATCCTCTTCAGCTTGTAATTCTTCTGTTGTTTTGGTATTTTGTTCTTCAAGTCGTTTACGTTCACGTGTTAATTTAGCAATACTTTCATCTTGTTGAGCCATTTCATCTTGTAACATACGAATTTGATTATCACGTGTTTTACATTCATTTTCAGATTTTTGAAGATTTAATCGGATATCATCAATATCTTTTTTTAATCCATCAATATCTGATTCTAATTTCTTTTTCTTTTTATTTAAATCTTGAGATGTTGCTTCTTCTTCATTAAAACGTTGTTCCATATCTTTAATTTGATGTTCAAGATCAGATTTTTGTGTAACTATTTAAATATAAGATTTTATTGAAATAAATGAAACATAAAAAACAAAAAAATTATACCTAATCGAGTTAAACGTTCTTCAGCTTCACCCATATTACTTCGATGTGATTCTAATTGAAGATAAATTTCATTCTTTTCTAAAAAAAATATATACATGAGAAATGTAAATTAGAAATCAATATTTTCTTTTGTTTTTATTTACCTCGGAGAAGTTTAGTATTATTTTCTTCAACTTCTTTACGTAATTTTTCTTCTTTTTCAAATGTTTCTTTAAGTGCTTTAAATTCATCTTCAAGTTTTTTCAATTCATCTTCTTGTCGTGCAACTGATAGAAGTGGTTTAACTTTAGTATATAATTTCCACCATGACCAATTTCGAAGTGATAAATATTTACGACAATTACGTTGTAAAACAGATAAAGCTAAACGTTGTTCTAACATTTTTCTATATTCTCGTTTCATAATAAAACCACGAATTTGACCTTGTAAAGTAGCAATAATTTTTGATAATGCTTGATCACGTAAATCTTCAAGATGACCTAATGTTCCAGCTTTGAAGAAGACTTTTGTTGTACCTAATCGATATAATTCTTCGGATAAAGCAATTTCTTTAAGGATATTATCAGTTGCTTTTTTGGCATCAACAAAATCTTTAGGAATAGCATTTGGTGCCAAAATTGAATAACGTTGTTTAAATTCAGCATAAATAATTCGATTTGGAAATCCTTTACGACAAATACGAATACCTTCAAGTACACCATTACAAGTAAGTTGATGCATAACCAAATGTGAATCAAGAACACCTCCAGTTTTAATTTCATTCGGAATAATACAACGAACAAAATGTGGATGAGTTTGTTTTAATGTAGCCATTAATTTGTGTAATGATTCCTAAATATAAAAGAATTATTTTCATAGATACTAAAATTAATCAAAAAACTTACACGATGAGTTGCAGAAATAGTTTGCATACTTCCACCTTTCTTCTTAGCACCAGCTTTACCAGCACCTTCTTCTTCAATAACATCAGCATAGAGATGAGCTAACATTGCATTTTTTGATTTAGCAAAAAGAGTAGCACTATAGGAAAAGAAAATGTTTGTCATAGTAAAATATCAATTTTCATTCATAAATATATTTACACAGTAGTATTAATAGGATCTTTATTTTTTTCGAGCCATCCAGTAGCAGTATATGGGACAGAGCCAGCATAATGATGAACTTCAAAATGAGCTTCTGCTTTACCTTTAGAAGGTTTTGGTTTACCAAATTGTGGATGTTTTCCTAAATGATTATTTTGAAGTTTTTCCACAAATGTTTTATCTGTAGCCTTTGGTACGATACATTCTTCTTCCAAAATTGAAAGAATACCCATAGGCTGAAATAGATATGAAATGATTATAAATACAATGAAAAAGAATAATATATAAATATTTGTATAGTACCTTTTCAATTAAATCAATACAGGCTTGAAGATCCATACCAAAATCAATAAATTCCCATTGAATACCTTCACGTTTATATTCTTCTTGTTCTAATACGAACATATGATGATTGAAGAATTGTTGAAGACGTTCATTGGTATAATTGATACATAATTGTTCGAAACCATTGTACTATAAAATATATACATACATCAAGTTAAGAGAAAACTTTTCAAAAAATAGTAAAATTCTTACATCAAAAATTTCGAAACCAGCAATATCGAGGACACCGATAAAGTATTGTCGTTTAGCTTTAACATCAAGTGTTACGTTGACACGTTCAACCAACCAACAAAACATACGATGATAAATCTTAAGTATAATAATATTAATTAGAAATACTAATATAATAAATATAATAGCTAATTCAACATACCGATTTAGATAAAGCACCAATAGAATTGGTAACTTGATCTTTACTTTGACCTTTGTTGACAAATTCATTACCGACCTGTAAATAATCATAAATATTCAATAATCGAAAATAAAATGATATCGAACCTTGATACGTGGTTTAAGTAAACCTTTGATGAGATCAGCTGCATCGACATCAAGTAAATGAGCTACTTTTTCACAATCTTCTGTACTTTCAGCTTCAGCTTGTTCTTCACGAGGACGTTGTTTCCATTGAGAATTACCAAAATGCATAATAGCAGCTGTACATTTGTACATACTGTCTTTTTCAGTCTATTATATATTCAAAATAAATTATTTTTTTATCATTACATTATCAATTGATATAAACCTGATTAAAGCCAAGAATATCAAAAGCTTCGTCAGTAAGACGCATTTCTTCAGAATCATCAATACCATCAATTGTAAGCATACCCTGAGCTACAAATTGATATTTTGATGGATCATTTCCAATAAGACACATTTCTATAAAAATAGATGAAGTCATCATAATCTTGATGTATGCAAAATGAACAATAGAAAGACATACTATGTATTTCTGGTTTTGCATCAGAACACAATTGGTAAAATATATGATAATTACGTTCAGCTTTAAACAAAAATAGTGAATGAGTTTTAACTGTTTTCAAATAAAATTAAATGGAAACGTACCTGGTTGCTATAAGATAACAATATAAAAATAAAAAAACAATATAGAATAATGATGAACAATATGATAATATTTTACCTGAAAGATGACACGAGATTTTTCAAGTAAATATACTTCAATATCAGCGCCAGCAATTTTGCCTGTAGGACCAAAGTGAATTCGAATAAATTTACCCTGAATAGAAAATATATATTATCATGCATATCGATCAATCCGTAACTTACAAATCGAGATGAGTTGTTATTACGAGTTGTTTTAGCATTACCATATGCTTCTAATACCGGATCTAGTTAAGAAAAAACAACCACAGTGATATTAATTCATTGAGAATAAACGATTGAATAGATACATACTAGCTGAAACAATTTGATCTTCAAGTGTCATTGTTTTCTATTTATATATAGAGATAAAAATAAAAGTGTAACTTATTTTTTGAATTAATTACTTTTCCATCATCTTCTTTTTTTACAGTAGCAGCTGCAACCAAAGCAAAATATTGGATAACCTTTTTTGTATTTTCTGTTTTTCCAGCACCTGATTCACCAGTGATCAACATTGATTGATTTTCACGATCTAAATAAATATTTTGTTTTTGTATTTAAAAATAGCTCATCCAAAAATATCGAAGATTACATTAAGCAATAGACTTTCCTATCAGCATACTTCTCATTTCATCAATTATTATCTGCCTGAAAATAAACTGATTTTTAACAATCTATTTTATTCAATCAATATCAAATTCATGTTTCATTATATTTCCCTTATTTAATAGAATTCTCTCAAAACAAGAAAATTTTATAGATTAAATATTTTTGTTTCATAATATTCGTCTAGAATACATATAAAATAGACAAAAAAATGTGTTCTTGAATTTTTTAATTTCAATTCTATATACGTCTGATCAGATCAAATTATCAATTGTAAAATAAGAAAGAAAAATGTCTAGTATATCATTTGCTTATCTTGTATATTATCGTGATAGTAGTATAAAAGATAAATAGACACTTGTTTTCAATTTATATGTCAGAACTCTGTATGGTATGAGATAATCATATTCCCCTAGGGCGAATTTCTTCGTTTATGTAAAGTTCATTTTGCTGGTTAAATATGTCTATATAAAAATAACTGACATCTGCCAACTATTTTATCGTACTATCATATAACATAACTCGAGTCAGTTATATAAATAGAAGCAATGAGAAGTTTTGATATGATAATATTAAATGTAGATGTAAAATTAATGCTCAGTTTATGATCGTACATGGTTTCATATAAAAATTTGATATGTATGAACATTCATCAATATGAAGATAATGAGCAGTTGAATTTTTAAGTTTTAACTTTTTTAATTTCTCAAAATACAAATCATTATTGATTGTATATTTAATTATTTGAAAAGAAATAAATATTGTTGATTGATATTCTAACTATCTATTTCTGTTTCTCATTAGAAAGTCATTAAACCTTGAATGATTTATTCTCACAGCAGTATGACATATGCTATTTCATGAAAATAATCTTCTCTCTCAGCTCTTGATCTAATCACAACAAACAAGTTGCATCTGTTGATTGACGTATTACATTGCTTTATTTCTTTCTTTATTCTTTGCTATATATATATTAATATAGGTAATAACAAGCAAACTGTAAATGTCTTTTACTTTCCCTACGCCCATATCTTATTTCGCTCATTCACTCTTTCTTCATATATCAATGTTGATCCAGACGTAGATACGCCTTTCGTGACATTCCATCAAGAAAGAATATTCAAGGACATGTCCTTTATCTCCCTATGACATGTGTATCATTATCAGGTGATCTTTTAGTTCGAACAATTGCTTTTTTGGTAAACATACTTGTTTACAATAGGTTACTCACCACGAAGCATATTTGAATAGGCATTATCAGCAATGGCATACAGATGCGGTGCAACTTCAGTACGTTTTCTACCACGATACATCATTACTACCTTCATTGTGTAAATTGGTAAACGCTTGTATGGATTAATGACGACACAGAAAAGACCCGAATAAGTCTAGAAAGTTTTCAAAAATAATTAAATATGCAAATAAAAACTAAACATACGTAGATGAGCCATCGTGCATAACGATCGCGTAAATTGGCTAAAACTGAACCATCATTTAAATAGGTTAAATCAGCCATATCATCAGTGCATGAATATTTAGGTGGATTCATTTGTTGAACATTATCCTTTTTTACTACAACAGTCTTAAAAATAAAATGCACCAATTATTGTTAAATAAATATAAATTAAAAATAATTACTTCTCCTTTGCTAGTTTTTATTGTTACATCATCACCTTTTTGACTAACAATTTCACCAGCAATATAAATTTCTTTTGGCTCAGGTGCCCAAACTGCTTTTTTACCATCGAATGGTTGAGCTTGAAGTTTAATTTTTTCTTCCGATGGAAGAGCCAAATATTTCATTGCTTCAACCACCTCCGGATCGTTATGATCATATGTATGAGACATTTTTCTTATCTCGTTGAATAATGTTTAATATACCAGATTATTGATTTGAATTACAAGCGATCTTTCTCGTCGTCAATATGCAAGAGTGAAACGCACTAAGTTGCGTGATAGAAATGATCGTGAAACTTGTAAAACAAGCAATAAATATATCGTCGATATTGAGAGAAAGAGAGAATGAGAGAGAGTATTCTCACTACATAAGATCTATTCTCAGAAAACAATAGTGATAATACACTATAATCACTCTTTCTTTCTCTCTCTCTCAAAAAAAGCTACGGAACATTTTTGCACTAATATTATAGTATGCTACGGTGCAAAAACGGCACATCAAGAAAGATATCAATAGTGAGAATCTTTTTCTCTTTTTTTCTCCCTATACTCGAATGTATAATAATAATCGTGAAGATTCTATGATATTTTATGTACAAATTTGGAATAGATAACAAAAATAGATTTGCAGAGAAAAAAAATAGAGTGCATCTTTTTTTGGCATAATTAGAATGATTATATATACCATCACGGATCTTCTTTGCCATTGTTTTTCATCCAGTCATCAATAAACTTTATGGTATAATATAGCAGGAAAATAGGTGCATTTTGTTTTTTTTATGAATATTCTTGAATTATTTCCTGTCCGCTTAAAAATTTAAAAATTAGACAATTTACAAGGTATGTTTTAATGGAAGGTTCGTCATATACATATATAGATATATATATTTAATAGATTCTATCATTGCATATAAATGATTGATCTACAACAAGATATTGTACTATTGTGTAGGGCTGATCTTGTATATGGATCTTGTTTGATAATCAATTGAGAAAAGTAATATCAATAGAGAAAGAAAGAAAAAGAACAAAGTCTACAAAAGTGCGATAATGATGAGAAAACAAGGAAAAGAAAGAGACAAAGAAATCAATATACTTATTTCATGACTTATTAGACACTATATATTTAGAAACACAGCAGGAGCTTACAATTACGCATAACTAGAATTGATATCACAGAATTATGCATAGATTTTAAAAACATTGTTGATCGTTTGTTCGCTATCGATAATATTAATCAATTCTTTCCAGTAACCTCAAACGCCAAAATACAATGATCATTAGAGCAATTATTAGTTAATAACAAAAAGTATAATTATTACTTTTATTTTATTAGCACAGCTCTTGTTATTGTTTTTCTGAATGTTAAATATTAATTCATAAATAGTTAATATTACAAGAGGAAACAGTTAAATTTCATTTGTATAAGAGCACTCAGGATATTAATAGTCATTCAACCATTAAACGATATGTAGGCATATAATAACAATCAAACTTTTATAATTCTTTAGAAACTAAATTTCAATGATGTGTTTTTCATCATCTCGCATTGCAGAAGTAACAAATAACTTTAGTGTAATTTATATAGCCAGACATTTTAACAACAGAAGTTGATCCAGAACAATGATAACGATATGTATTTAAAAATGGAAAAAAATTATCAATACAAATAAATGCCGAATTCTTCGTCAGCAATAAACTGAATAATAATTTTATTTCATATTTTTGACTTTGTTGTTATAACTAGATATAATAATACATATACAAAAAAATCTTTCAACAAGTGAAAAAAAGAAAATGTGCTTTAACTTCGTTCTGATCTAAGTCACATCGCACAACCAGATTCCTATATATCAATAAAACTATACATAAATCCAACAGAAAATAAATATAATCTATTGATTGAAATGCTAGATATCTTCGTATAAAAATTCTGTGTCTGTACCATTAAAACTAACGGTCGCATACAACGACGTTCATTATAAAAATTTCCATCACTAAAAAGAAATTACAAAAAAAGAATTGAGTATTTTTTTCTTGCAGGTCGAATAAACTTACCTTGACTCTACAATTCATGGATCATATAAGAAATAGATGAACGTAAACAGGAAAGTAATCAATATTTTTTACAGATTTTGTATGTTCTTTGTGCGTATACACGTATTGATCATTTGAGAATAAAATACCGTCCTTGATAATCATGTGGATCTTTAATATGTAATGTTATTGTTATTTTAAATTTGAAGTCCTTAAAATATTGTCATCTACGTCACAAGAATAGTTTAAAAGATATAATAACTCTTCGAATTATATATGTATATATATAAATAAATTAGATTTCTCTTACCTGAACAGTAATAATTAATGTTAGATTAAGTTTCATTTTTGACATAATAGAGAATGTTGAATTATTAATTACAACCAACTAGTCATTTGTCTCCTCTTCAGTGATTACTGAATTTGTTCCATTTTCATTTTCATTATGGTGTAATGCTTGAAGTACTACAAGAGTCATCTAGAAAAACTGAAAACAAATGAAATAAATATAAGTTCAGTTAATTGATCTCTGTTGTTAAAAAAAAAGAAATATGACGACAAAAAACAAAAAAAAACTTCATTCTTTAAGTATAGCTACTATAGAGAAACAAATAACACAGTGAAAGTATGAAAATAAGAAAAGAAATATACAATATAGACAATAACATACATAGACAGAGATGAATATTTTAATAGAATAGATATTGAATAATGTTTAAGTAAGAATACAATATGGCATAAGTGTTGTTGAGCTTACGTCCTCTCGACATAGAGGACATCGAGATGATATAGCTAATAATTGACGACTACATAATGTACACATAACATGACGACATCGAGTGATTATTAAATAAACACCTGTACGTTGTAAATGAGAAAGTGTTTCGAGACAAATTGGACATTGCTGTACATCAACAGATAATTTACGTCCAGATGGAATAGGCGAAGAAGGAACAGAAAGTGGCTCATCTTCAGTCAAATCGATTAATTCACTATTATCATTATTATTATTATTGTTATTATTATCATTAGTATTTTCATCGATCATAGCAAGAAATTCGAGAAATTCATAATCATCTTCACTATTAATTTGTTGTTCTTCTTCTTCATCATCCATTAACGTAAGTTCTTCTTGAACAATTTCAACATCGACAATATCAGGTGAAGATATAGAATCATCAATTATAGAAGGTACTGATGGAAGACTATCACCAGTTATATCAATTCCTTGATCATCATCGTCATCGTCATCATCATCATTATCAGAATCCGAAACAACCACTATAGTATTATCATTTTGTTGTTCAATTTCAATAATATCATTATCTTCACTTTGACTAAAATATTAAAGAAAAATAATATTAAATAAATTTTTACGAAAAAAAATAATCTTTAACCTGTCTTCAGTAGTATTCAGTAATAGAATTATAGATTCGTCAGTAATTGTTTCTTCTTCTTCCTCTGTAATATCTTCATCATCGTTATCAGGTGGTGGTGTTTGAGAAGAAAGAAAAAAACGTGGTCGTTTTGGTGCAGGTTCAAGTTCATCAGAGATTTCAGAATTTGAAAAAGGTGATGAAGGTGAAGGTGGTGACGATGAATAATATTCTCGTTTCATTTTTTTTTTATTATTGCATTTCAATATAAGATAAATCAATTTGTAAAAAAATGTTAGTTATTTGAATAGAGAATCAACATCATTTTTATTTTTTTATGAATGAATGAACGAAGACGACGACATTCAACATATGATGATTCAGTTCTTATTTATTTCTTGATTAAAGATTGGTTTATATATATATATGTCAGAATTAGAGAATAATAAAGTAGATGTCACTGAATAGCATAGATTTATCTATAAAATCATGATTTTGTAAGGAAAAAACTTTTCTTTTTTCCCATAATAATATTTTAAAAATAAAATAATATTGAAGATTTCTTATCTATGACTATTATAAATGATAAAGATAAATCTAAAATATGATTGGCTATGCGTCATGACTTAGGGATTTTTCTTTTTCTTACTTACTTACTTTATCTTAGTTTAAAATTGAGTAAGAATATGAATGAGACATGCATCTTGTGATCAGTTGAAAATAAAAAAAAGATGATATTGACGTATATCAACTACTATTATCATTGAATATATTGATAGAATTCTTTTTATTGTAGATTATTAATATAAAATGTCAAACCGAAATAATTATTTTCATGGTGCACGACATTATACTGATCCAACACCATCTCGATACAATACAAAATATAATAAACGTAATGGTACAAAAGATTATCGTCCACAACCTAATCGTCCTCGAAATGGTGGAGATGATGTTGATACACTTATGTCATTAATGGATCATCATTTACCAACTAATAATAATCATATACAAGAATCAGGTTCAAGAGGACGTGGGCCTAGATCTACTAGAGGTCGTCATCCAACTCGTTCAACTCCTCAATTAAGGCATTCTCAAAATAATCAAACAGGTTGGTGGCGTATTACAATTCAACAAGCTGGTACTATTGGCAAAGATCGTGTTATGTCAACATTAAAAGCTCATTGTCCTCGTCAATTTCAACCTTATCATGTAAATATTGAATCAATTATAAAAAATTGAAATATTTTTGTTTATTTTTTTAGTACTTTATTGATTCTAACACTAAAGCAGGTGTTTTCTTCGTCAATAGTCAACAAGATGCTGATATGTTAAAACGTGCTAATGGCAAAGTTGAAGTTCAAAGTTTAGATATAGTAAATAATAAAACGAATAAATATTAGTTTAATATAATTTTTTCATTTTGTTTTTTGTCAATAGCTTCGTATTATGGTAAGTCGAGTTACAGCTCCAGTACCTGCAATAGATGTAGATATACGACCACATTTTAAAGTAAATAATATTTTTAAAAAAAGCTACATTCTTCTATTTATAATTTATCTTTAGGATTTTCTACTTAATCGTCGATTTGATCAACAAATATTCAAATTAGATTTAACAAATTTGGCTGACGATGAAGGTAATATTCAACTCTAAGATTCCCATTGTCTTATCTCTTTATAAATTGTATATTAATTCTCTTCCTCAATAAGATATTATAGTTAATATTTATGACTATTTGCACTTAAACGCACTCTATATTTTTTTGTATTATTATGTCCTTCTTTTCTTGTTCCGGTTGTTATTTTTGATAGTGGGACGGTGATAACTGATACACGTGACTTTATATTGTCATTTCTTCTGACCCACTGTCAAAAACTAATAACAGAAAAATCTAGAATGTTTTTAGGTGCATTTTGGAATTTTATTACTTTCTTATTTATTTTTAGAATTGAGTTCTCTCGGCATCTTTCCTCAATTCAATAAACATGCATTCATACGTGATGTTGTTGATATAATCAATAAAGATCTTCCTATGGTTAGTATTCATATTCTTTGTGATTTTTGTTCTTATCTTTTATTTTATTGTCTAGACACGGCAATTAGATTTGGGTTCAAATAATATTATGAATTTATATGAATTTCGTAATCTTCATTTGGATAATCTTGTTCTTCTAAGCGTTGCATCTAATCAAGTTTGTTATTTTAAAAATATAAAAACTACTTATTCTTTCTTATTATTTTTCAAGTTAAAAAATGTGGATGATTTTGATAATCTTAAACAATTACCTAATCTTGCTCATATATTTATTAAAAATAATCCATTAACATTATCAAATAACAAACGATCAACATCATCAATCGACGATATAATCAGGTCAGATCTAAAAAGTCTTTTTTTTCATGGACATACACAAGAGACAGAGACAAAAATCAAACATGTTCCTAAATCAAATGTTTTACTTATTTTTCTTATCTTTTTTCTATTCTCAATTTATCATTCCATTTCATATAAATGAATTCTAATTAAATTCATAAAACAGGAAAAAAAAGGAAACGATATAAAGGAGATCGTCTTTATTACATTCAATGTGAGAGTGAATTGTACGTCGAAAACTTCTACAAGAGAGAGAAAAAATAATATTGTAAAATTTTTATTGTAAATCGGTTTTCATAATTTTTTTGTACGTCGATAAAAACTCATCTACAATCAAACAATATATATTCTACCATATTCAATTGAAATCAAAATGTATGTCTACAACATATTATAAAAACAAGAAAGAAAAAATACAATCAGATATCAATTTCTGATTAATTTAATCATATGATTTATTCAATAAAATCATTTAAATTTCTATATTCAATGAAATTTATTCTAACGATAATAACATCAATTGTAGACATTTACATATACAAAATAAATATTCAAATAAGAATTATTCTTAATGAATGATAATCATTTCAATAGTTCAACAACAGCAAATGAACATAAAATTTTTAAAAAAAAAAATTATTTTTTTATATATGTGATGAGAGATGAATTTTATTTGTAAAATGTAAAAGACGATCTCGATAAAATCAAAAAAGATATATATATATAATTAAAATGAAATATGAATAAGAATAATTTGTTGAAAATTAGATAAAAATAAGATTTGAAAAATATTTAAAACATTTTATTTATACATGAATTAAAATCGCTAATATAAGCGAATAAATAGTTTGTGGCTGCTGCTTGTGTGTCTATATTTTTTCAGTTGCATTGTGCAACAAGCATCCATCGATTGGTCCATCTAATAATATTCTAGTATTATACAACAAAAATTACCACAACTCAAACGCATCGTATGTAGATTTATCTAATGAAATATAAATATATATTTTGTTTTTCTACAAAAGGATAATGCCGAACTTAAACCAGCTATTCGTTTTGCTACTGATTTTGAAACAACAACTTTACCAAAAACAATACAACATTGTGTACCAAGTTCAATGGAAGCATTTTTAGCAAAATTTATTGATGAATTTTATCGATTATTTGATACCGATGGTCGAAAAGATCTACACGCTTGTTATCATGATTTATGTATGTTGTCATTATGTATAACAACAGCAGAAAATTCAATTATTTCAACACGACAATATAAATATGGTGCATTAATATATGAATCAAGAAATTTACAAAGAGTTATTGATGATAATAAACGTTTTACATTATTACGACATGGTAAAACGGCTGTTTTGGATTTTTTAAGAGTTAAATTTCCATTAACGAAACATGATGGAAATTCATTTCATGTTGATGTTATTTCAACAGTTGTAAGTTTTATATTGATATTTAATTTCATATTATTTTATATATTTTATAGAATAATCGAGCTGTTTTTACAGTTAATGGTCTCTATAGAGAAAGTATGTATAAGAAAAAAAATTTAATTTTCCTAAAATATCATTTTCTATTATGTCATTTTAGCGGATCAAGGTACAAATGGTCCTGTTCGATCTTTTCAACGAACATTTACTTGTGCACAAACTTCTGCTGGGTAAATAGATATAAAATTTTCTATTATTCTTTATTTTTTAATTAAAATATATTTTATTATTTAGTGTACTTATCATAGCGGACCATATTATGCTCTGTAATGCAACTGAAGCTCAAATTTCTGTAAGTATAATGTTCAATTATCAATGAAACTATGTATGTTTTTTTTATCATATAGAATATGAATCGATCATCACCACCATCTTCATCATCATCATCATCATCATCATCATCACAACCAGTACCTAATCATACTAATTCAAATACAAATGATGACATACAAAATCAAATGATACTTAAATTTTCTCAAGAATCAGGAATGAATATTGCGTATTCAAGATTGTAAGTTTTAATTTGAACTATAGATATGATATATATATTTATTTTTCTATTACAGATGTTTGCAAGAAAATAATTGGCAATATGATATAGCAGCACAAGTATTTCTTGATGCTAAACAAAACGTTAGTTCATAATTATGATTTATTTAATAAATATCATTTATTTTTTCTTCTGCCTATGTTTAGAATAAAATTCCACCTGAAGCTTTCAATAAATCATAACACGCGGCCGTTTCATTTATAGACAATATCTCGAATTGAGATTTAACACAAATTTTGTTTTTTGTTTTATGTAATAGCTTTGTTTTTTTTTGAAACCAGAGTGTTCATATACTTTTTTTCCTTGATTTCATGAACTAAGTGTATTAGTGTAAATGTATCAAACATGTAATAAACTTGGAAAAAGAAAAAAAGACAACTTTCATATATATTGTACACAAATAAACATTAAAAACAGATGATTGAACTTACAGAATTGTTTAGAATATGCGTATCTATGGAGAAATAACTAACTTTTAATAAATGCTCTTAGTCATCTTATCAATTATTTATCACTCACTTCTTTGTGTCGTTACACAATAAATTATTTCTGACAATCATATGAAGGATCTCTTACATTAGTTTCTCGTTCTTTGATATGCTATTTAAGAATCTAAAATTTAGTTCTAACCGCCAACTCGCTGATCACAAGCTGGAAAAGAAGCAAGTAACTGTATGCAATGTCTGCAGACGCTACACTTATTGCTTGTAAAAAAAAGGTCAGGCAGAAACAATCAAGAGAAGGGAATCTTGGGACAGCAAAGAAAATTAAAAATTTCTGTCTTGATTATTTTAATGAGAAGAATCGCACTATATAATAAATAATAAAATAGCAACAGTGGTAGAACAGATGACACATTGTGTATGACTTTTGACTAAGAAAAACAATGGAAAAAGTGTTTTTTTCATTGAATATCTTATTAAAATAAAATGGAACGCACTGTTGAGCAGTATATAACTGAACATCTGTTACAATATTTTTCGAGTAGATGATAAAACATTCTATTAAAATCATGTAATATTCTACAATGATTTTCAATTGAATATGTACGCTTGGTAATATTGACTTATTGTCAATATTTCATGAAATCAAATAAAAATACCCGTTAATCATTATTCAAAAGATTTGTAACTCATATTTATCATCATTATATTAGAGTTTTCATTCTGTTATTTCTATACCAAAAATAGAATTGAAAGAAACCGCCTAGACATACTTATAAGAATTTATTTGAAACATGATGAAAGTTTCTTTTTTCTTTTCTTACAATTCTAACTAAAATCGAACGTAAGAATAGTACTTCATAAATAATATAAAAGATAAAATAAAGCAATATAAACCAATCTTTTGTTAGATTTCTTTATATATATATATTATAATATAAATGTATATTTAGTAAATAACTTATAAACATAGATGAAAAAGATTTATAAAAATATACTAAATCGAAGTATTCTCAATGGAATTACATTCGATAAATCACCATATATTGAATTAAGACAAGAAAATGATCAGAAATAAATTCGATTTATTTATTATATTCATAAGTGTATCTAAAGTATCTTAATTAAGATAATAAACTTCTATGTAGAACAATAATAACTAAAAGATTTTAATATTGATGATATTTTTTGTAGAGAAATCTACTCTGTTGAAAAACATCGATTAGCATACTAAATATGATGTTAATACAAGTATATTGTACTGGTATTTCTCAACTATAATAGATATGTAAACAATTATAAATCAAAGATAATCAATTAAATCAGTGGCATTTCTATAAGACCAAGTATGATATAAAGAAAGAAAGAAAGAAAAGTTCAAAACAAATTAGAATAGATAGATGTTGTCAATTGACATTCAAATAACTATGACAAACATTTACACATTGTTAGATAAAGAACTTTTATATTAAAAGTTTAATGTTATGTTTAGTTAAAATAAGATATTCGATAAAATCTTATATATACATCTATATACATACATATGTAAACATTCGATTCTTTTTCTTTATCGTCTATTGTAATTCATTATCGATTTTCTCACAAGCAATAGAATACACTATGATAGTATTCGATTTTTTATTCTTTCTATATACTTGTTTTAGATCTGTAAAAGTTTATATGATATTTATGATAATGAAATTTAAATGAAAAGGTGAAGATTTTTTGTTATATATTAAAATTCAATAGATGTAAGAAACATCTGATAAACATTGATATGGGTAAATATCAACAAATAGGAAAGAAAAAAAAAGAAATATTTGACATTATCTTTTCTTTTGTAAAAAGAATTTTTTTTATAGAATAGAATATTGAAAAAAAAGAACGAGAATGAATAAAAAGCAAACTACAAATGAAAAAAAAAGGTTGTTACATTATTGTGCAAATGCAACTATTCTATGATTCGCACATCGATAGACATACTGATATAAATATAAAATCATTTTCTTTTTCTTTCTTTCTTATACTTATGTAAGTTATTAGAAACCTTTTCTATTTTTTTTCTTGATCAGATAAATTATAGTTTTATTTGATTGAAGTATAAAAAAAAATCTTTTATTTTTTATTTTGTTTTTTGTCAATAATAGGTTTTTTTTATATGTACTTGACAAGTACCATCATAATTCATTTTTTTTCTTCATCCATATCACTCTTCAACATCATCTATAGCATAAACTACTCTGATTCTCTAAGATTAAACATTTGACTTATAATTCTTTGCATCTCATTTAAATAAGTATATAGTCTAGGGCAACTAATTTTATTTATGGTGGTGAAGATTAACAACAATTGGAGAGGGTACAAGCAATGAAGAACGATAGCATATATAGAAGAAGAAAAAAGATCGGTAGGTATTTCTCTGGCGGTCGAGAGGAGAGGACAGGTCATTTTCTTCCATTTCTATCCTATGCATATTCATATGTATATCTTAAAGGTGAACGTTGTACATTTAAAGAGAAATATTTTATTCCGCTTTTTTTTTCTCTTTCTTTTAGAATCGATGTTGATCATAATAATACTAATTCTAAAAGCAAATTAACATTGTGTTTTTTTTCCTTCTTGTATTTCTTCTCTTTCTCATTTTTCTTCTTCTTCTTCCGGTTTAAAATCTAAATATTACGAGTAACAAATAAAAAAAAAGATCTTTTTAGTATAACAAAACATTTGTTGCTTTATCAGTTTCTCTTCTTTTTTTTATCGATAATCAAATTGAACTACATTTAGCTATTCAAGCTATAATACGCGCGCCACATTATAGATATAGATATATATATATATATATAATATATACAATGGTTCTTCTGGAAATTTTCTTCTCGTTCTTCATTTTTTTTCTCTCTCTCTCTCTCGTTTCAACAGGCACATACTATCGAGGATATATCATTCTATACTTTTATTCATTCATTTCATTCCTATTTTTTTCCCTTCGTCCTCGTTCTCGCCTTCTTCCTTTTCTAAACTGATCGATCGTCATTCTATATATTTCTAAGTAATGAATAAAATTTTGACATTTAGCGAAATTTGAATTCTTCTCTTCCATTCTTGGCTGAACTTGTCCGATCATTCCCTTTTTCTTCTTCTTCTCTTCTTGACTGCTATTTGATACCAACATAATTGTTCACTGTTTCCAAAAAAAATAAAAGTTAGCACACGTGCTATATCTTATATTTTCAGATTAGAACAAATAGAGAAGAAAAAAGAAAGACAAAAGTTTCATTTTAAAACTCGTCATAATCATGGCAACAGCCTATATTTGTCCAATGTGTATTTTTAATTGTGACAATTTACCAGATTTAGAACAGCATCTTGAAGGTGAATAGAAAAATATTCGAAAAAAAAAATTCAACAATAGAAATTTTCTTTTAGCACATGAAAATAATCTGATTCAATCACCTGTTAAACAACAACAACAACAACAGGTCAATAAATCTATACGAAATAGTCCACTCTATGCAAAATCTCAAACGGCACTCAATCTTGTGTGTTTAATTTTAATCTTTATTTTTTGAACGTTTTCTTTTTCTAGCAACAACAAAATCGTTCTCCTATTGATAATTCTCAATCGCCATTAAATTCTTCACCAATTCGTTCCTCACCAAATAAAACATATGATAGACGATATTCATGTAAATCATGTCCATTTTCAACTCATAGTGTTAAAGCTTATTTTAATCATCGACAAATGGCACATAGTGAACAACTTATTATAACTGAATGTCCATTTTGTGATTATGCGAGTCAATATCCAGGCAAAGTTAAAAAACATTTAACTGATGAACATCCATTACAACAGATGTCAAATAGTATATATATATATTCTTAAATAAATTGAGATTTCTATTTTTTGTTTTCTAGCTGAAGTATCAAATCAATCAACCCGAATATCATCACGTGGAAATTCAATTAATAATACAATTGAACAAAATTCAAAAATAAATATTGATGGAACAGCAATAAAATTTACTGATTGTCCATTTTGTTCATTTACATCGACCGATTCAGAAGCATTTCGTAAACATGTTCTTACAAATCATTTAAGTGATAAAAATTTTCGTTGTCTTGTTTGTAATCGACTTTATCGATATCGAGGCGATTGTATGTTTATTAAACTTATTTTCAAATTATTTTTCCTATTTATTCAATTATTTAGGTTCATTTCATATTCGTAAAAAACATTCGGATCGTATGATCGGTGATAATATTGAATCATTACGTGAATATATTGGTGAATTTCAACCAAATTCAATGACAATTAATGAATTAAAAGAACTTCTATCATGTCCATTAACACCATCACTTGCATCAATACCATCTAATGGAATACCTAATATGTCTCGACAATCATTAATTCTACAACAACAACAACAACAACAGCAACAGCAACAACAATCAAATGCTTCGCATGCATTTCGCTGTGGTTATTGTACATTTTCATCAGTTAATTCAGGTGATGTTAAAAAACATCAAACATGGAAACATGCAAATTTAGCATCAAATATTTTACCTATTGATCCAAATGATCTTCAACAACAATTAATTGTTAGTTCGAAACGAAAAAGAGTTCATAGTACAAAATCAAATAATAATGAAGAAGATGGTCCTAGTATACGACGACCAAGAATATCAATGCCATCACAACGACAATTAACTATTGATACATCACCAACAATAAATGTAGATAATGATTTAGCACCTAAAGGTTTGTTATTGATTTAAAATAGTATAATAATTGCTTTCCTTATTACAAAATTCAAATATACAAAAGTTTTTAGATAATCTTTAAGTCGTACTATCTCGTAAATATTTCAACATTACATTGATTATGACCAAAAAAGAAATAGCTTATACTAACATTGTCTACTATTTTAGGATAGAAAATTCTATGAATTTGATGAATGCTTATTAAGATTAAAAAACTATTTGTACTTTAATGATTATAAAAATCAATTGAGATATATAAAATTCTTTTTAAATATGTCATACATACAGTTCATAACTAAATCTGAAACAAAATTTTATTTAAATAGATTTACTTTCACCTAATGAACCTATATCATCATTTGATTCTGATCAATCATTAACAAAAACGAATAATACTCATATTTCTACTCAACATCAATTATCTGCTATTGGTTCAATATCATCTCGTGTTTACAAATGTATTCGTTGTGAACGTTTAGCACCGCATCGATGGATTATTGAACGTCATATACGTGCTAAACATCCATCTGATTCAGATAATATAACAAATGTTATACTTGAAATTGATAAACCATTAACATCATCAACAAATGGTGAACCAATGACAGCAACAAAATCTTCATCAGCATCGGATCAAGATACTGCAACTTCAACGATACCAAAAGCATTTTCATGTTCAGCATGTTCACTACAATCATATCATTTATGGGTTATTTTACGACATATTCGTAATGTTCATGAAAATGATGGATCAGATGCAAAAATTATTGATAATATTAATAATCAAGTAAATGATTTCTATAATTTCTTTCTTTTTTTATATTGTTTTTTAAATAGATAATTGAAGATAATGATGATATCGAAACAGATAAACCTGTTAATAGTGTATCATCGAATACTACAACAATAAATACCAATGATAATGAGAATGAGAATAATGATGATGATGATGAAATTCAAAGTGAACAAAATGATGTAAATAATGAAGAAATGCTTAAACATTTAATAAATACAGCAATGGCAACAAGAAAAACAAATGCAACAAATACATTCTTAGAAAATTTACCAACATCATTAATGAACAATAATGTTGCTGCATCACTTGCTACTTTACTTGGACAGTTATCTAATAAACAATTACTTCAACAACAACAACAGCAACAGCAACAACAACAATTGCAAGCTGAAAAAGCACCATTAATTAAACGATATAAATGTTCACTATGTTCACATATTTCTGCTTGGGGAGGTAATGTTAAAAAACATTTAAAACGTATGCATCCAGGTGATCATTCTGGTCATGTAATTGATCTTGGTCTTGACTTAAATACTAATGCTAATCAACTATCATCATTATCGAGTAGTAATGAATTTGACGAACTGAATGAACAACAAATACTTAGTTCAAGTACAAATAAAATATCAGCAATTAATGAAAATATTCATCAAACATATCAACAGGTATTTTTAAAAATAAATTTTGTATTTTATTTCATTTTTTCTTTAGTCGTCTGATATCATCAATACAAAATTAAAAGATATTGATAATTCTCCATCATTTGCTCCGCCATCATCGAATAATACTTCTCAATCAACTCGACCAGAACGTCTTTATGGATGTTCTGCATGTCCATATGAATGTACAAATCCATCAAATATTCATCGTCATGTTGAACTTCACTGTGGTGATGATGGTGGTGGTTTTCAATGTTCACAATGTTTTTTCTTATCGAAATGGCGTGCAAGTATACGTAAACATATGATATCAACTCATGGTAGTAGTTTAGCATCATTAACAAATGTTCTTGAACCATTAATACTTACGAAATCTGATGATGCTATTGTTATTGTTAAAAAATGGTTAAGTATGTTCATAATTTTAGATTTTTTGTTTCTCATTTTTTTCTTAATCTATTTGAATTTTTTAGTTCATGAAAATGGTAATAAACATGAAGATGATCCAAATAATAATAGTACACATACAATGGATATATCAACATATTATTGTTCATCATGTCCCTATATAAATAATAATCGTCTATCATTTGAACAACATGTTATACATCATAATTTACCTGTAAATGATGAAGATATTTATACATGTACATTTTGTACGTTTAATACAGATGAAAAAGATTTATTTGAAGATCATCAAATGTTACATATTGTGAAAGAAGATTTTCCACAAGATGCAACTGCGAATTTCGTAGAAAACACGGTTATTTAAAACAAAAAAAGCAAAACTATTGGTTTTTGTTGTCTTGTATCTCTTTTGTACTTCTGTATTAAATCAATGCGATTTATGTCAGTTATCTTTATAAATATATTCTACACTGCTGACCTTTTTCCTTTCGCAGTGTATATATATCTATTTTCTTGTTTTATATCATTCCATCATTGAATTCAGAAGTCGCTCTAGTCAAATGTTAAAAAAATATTTAAATGAAAAGAAAAGCAAGATAACATGATCATTTTCTGTACTATTTAATGTTCTTTTGTTTCTATGTGTTTTTTGTCTGTGTTAGTCTTCTTTCTGTATTCTTTTGAAAGATAGTATATATCTTTCAATTTTCATTTTCTTTTGTCTCACTGGCCGTTTGCTTGGTCAACAAAGAAGTAGTTTGAAACAAATAAAACGTAACAAACAAACTATGTTATTTTAAATTCTCGATATCTCGATAGAGTCTTGACTCAGATGCTATCTAGTTTTATATGAATATGAAAGTTTTGGAAAAAAAAATATCAAAGAGATATCAAATGTGACTTATGATTAATTTTTCATTGATTTTGAAATTAACTAAATACTTGTCACTTTATTTTTTATAAAATAAAGAATTTATATTTGTTCTTGCTCGTATAATATTAATCAATATAAAAAATATAATATGGTTTTGAGTTTTGTTAATTGTATTATTTTTTAGCTTTCTATTTAATACTTTTCATAAATGAATTATTAGAACAAGAGTTTTGAATACATACTCAAATCACGAAAAAAAAGTAAATTCTAGGATCTACCATGCTACTGGATCAGATTTACGAAAAGTTTGATACAATCACTATTTCAAGAATATTATCATGAAGAAAATAAATTTATAAGCATTGCAAAATATGTCTTATATTTTGATGAATCTTGAAAATATCGTAGCTTTTCTTCATATATTATGATGTTTCCAAACTCTTTAGTCTATTTTAAACATAATTTTTATATTTATTAACACTATATCATCAAAAAATAATTTGAACGACAAAACTTTCATACACTTCAATAGTATAATTTTGTTTACTGAAAACTCTTTTTTTCATATCTTATCTATAGGATTCAATAGACAGAGAGTTTCATTGCCTTCTCAAGTTAATAATAACAAACGCCTACTACATGTCATTTATTTACAATTGATAATGTTTTATATCAGTTTGAATTATTTTCTTTTTAAACCTTTTATTAACGTAGATGAGACGAATGTTATGAATTTAGCATAAAATTACTCAACAAGATTTTCCAGAGTTTATAAAAAAATTTATTATAACTTATTATGTGAAGATAAAAATTAAGGATTGTGTTTATTTTAAAGATCAATTTACTGTAATATCGTAATGATTTCACTGACTTAGTTTTTTATCATGCTACTGAAAAACTTTATTTTTATGTTTATTTTCTTTTATTCAAGATACCTATATGTATCTTGTAATAAATATTTTTTTTCTTTATTAAAAAAATGCACACGTATACAAAGAAATATGTTAATTCTTCAATGTCTTTAATTGGGTATCTGGTTTAGCATTTTCAAGTTCAGTTAGTTTTCCGATGAGCATTTCCAATATATTTGTGTACTGGTAATGTGCTGAAAATTCAAAATTTCGACATTCGTTCAAAAAATCTTTTTGTTGATCAACTGTATCAACATTTTGATGAGCATAGATATTTCGATCAGATGCAATTTTACGAAGATCCAATAATTCAATATTTAAATTGAATATCTTCTTAAGTTCTTGTTCGATTGGTTGTGTTAAACTAATAACATACCGATGATTTTGAATTTGGTCATTGTATATCGGTGTCGGTACAGTTTTTTTTTCGAGATTCAATAACACCATCACATCCTGCTCTCTTTTTGCCCATTCAGCTATAACAATTTAAAAAAATTTTAAATCTGTACAAATTTTTATATATTACTTGTAAATTTTCTCCAGTTGTTATATTGAGTGTTCTTTAATACCACCTCAACAAAGTAAAATCTACTTAGACGAACAAGTTCATACGCTTTAATTCTACTTGCATTTAATTCTTTATCTATTTCTAGATCCGAAACATGTTTAATTAAAAGATGCAACTGTTCCGCTTGACCCTGTAAATTTGCTTGTAATTTATCAATTGTTAAAGTTATGTCACCAAAAATTTTGTTAAAATTCATTTTTGTCTTCCATATTAATGTTTAATTCCCTTTTCTGAAAGAAAGGGTTATAGGCTCGTTAAATAGGGTCATGAAAATGCTTAAAGTTTGTTTGCATTATCCAAGCAGATTGCAGCAAAGTATATTACAGCAAATTCTATATATTTTATTTTAAAAAACATCAAGAATACCGTTATCGAAGTCGAGGAACTCGAATCTGGTGTCAGTTTTTGAAAATTTTTTTAAGTACCAATTTTTTTAAACAGAGGACCCTTTTTTTACAAAAAAACTTTTTTTTTATAATGTTTGATCAAAGGTAATCGGGGTCGGGGAATCAGAATCTGAGGTCAAATTTTTAAAATTTTTTGTCCCTCATTTTTTTACTCAAAGAATAGGTTTTTTAGGAAATTGTTTTGTTGGACCCGGTAGGTGTGGCTATTCAGTTGTTAAACATGTGTTCAAAAACTATTTCTAGCAGATTCAGAAAAATCGGGTTCAAACGGGACCAGGATGGGTACCGCTTTTAATACGCGAGAACGAGATCGAAATGAATAAACCCTATCCCGCCGGGCCCTAGTTGATAACTTTAATCGGATTTTTCGGTAAAATTGAAACAAATAAGTTCAAAAAAAGAACAGTTGTTTGAAATCCTACCGTTAAATGGTCGTAGATTTTAACTGTATAATAATATTCAAAGTAGATGAAGATCTTTGCTATGATACAATTTAATGTACTCTATTCGTAACAGCTTACAACTTACTTCTTCTTCCCGTAGTTTCTTCTTCCCGTAGTTTCTTCTTGAGAATCATAGTATCAAATACCCAGTATCTTTCTAAGAGAAATTCATACGAAATGCACCTCTTAACTTCTAAGCTGTACTAATAGCGGAGGAAATAGTATAGTTAAACACAGAAACGGCTATCCGTGAGTGGCCGACCGAAGGGAGGCCGACGAACGACTAGACGTTGATTTTAAAGGTTTATCCTAAGTGTAATAAGTGAGATTTGGAGTTTTATGAGATTGCTAATGCTAAGTGATTCGGCTCTTGAACTAAAAAGAAATGTTTATTACACATTCGACGTAATAAGACCTATTCAATAAAGGAGCTGTCGATGCAATCATGGCGTTATTTGCTTGTTGTGGTGTGAGCAGGAATAGATATACAGTCGTACGACCCTGAAAGGTTTTAGGACTTGTCCGGGATTGCGTCATTTTAAATGAATAGTTTTTTTTCATATAATCATGATTCTAGGTGATCCCAAACATATCCCAGTTTGGTTATACTATTATAATTGTTGAATACAGTTTGACAAGAGGATCAATTTTTTTCATAACATCAATTTTCCCGATCGCTCGGGAATATTAAGGTTACTTTGCTCAGATTATTTTGAAACTGTAAGAATTCTCGAATATGCAGCATCAGAACTCCTTAATCTCTTTGAATTAGGTCAGTTTTTCAAAAGATGAGATATACGGCTGCGACTGATCGTTTATTCCGCAAATTAAAAATGAGCAATGTTCGATCAAGGTTTTATGAGGAGTAGAACCTATCCGGGTTCCCTTTATTGACATGTATTCGAATTCAAGATAATTTTTAATGATGATCATAGGAAATTTTCTTTCAGAAAAGGGTTAGCGAATCCATCGGATGAGCGTTACTTGTATATAAATACACATTAAAGTGTAAAAAGGAAAGAGAAAAAAAA